TTCTCCCTTTTTTCCATCTCTGGTTCGTCTGCATTTGACCGAGAAAATCTTTCGCCTTTTACTAAAGATTTCCGTGCGGACGAACAATTATGAGTAACAACGAATTTTTGGAAGTCCCCTTGAAAAAGCGGGGCCAAATTTGCAAGCAGTAGAATGACAGAGACGGAAGGGTATCGGGGCAGGGCGTGTGGCAGAAAGCGAGTGATTACGCCGTCGCACCGAGAACGCTTGGCTAGTACACAGACCTTTTACTGGTAAAAGGAAAAGAGCATTCTATTACAATAATCTTCCACCTAGCTTCATATTTTGTAGTTTTCTAAAATAAGCACTTTCTAGAAAATGAATTAGAGAGGAATCACTCTACTCACCTCCACATACGGACAAATCTATGTAGTCGTTCTCATTGATTTTCTTATTGATTTTTGGGTCGAATGTTGGTTATAATCCGCTGTTTCTTTTGCAAGTACCTAATAATTCCACCATTGCTATTTGTAAACCAAAAAAAACCAATTTCAGCTCTGGCACGCATCAGGAAATGCTTTGTTCACCGATTCATTCTTTTGCTAAGCTTACTTTTACAAAATTTAACTCAGAATACAGTTGACAGCGATGGTTTAGAGAGATTGGTGTATGGATGGTTCAGAGAGATTGGTGTATGGATGGTTCAGAGAGATTGGTGTATGGATGGTTCAGAGAGATTGGTGTATGGATGGTTCAGAGAGATTGGTGTATGGATGGTTCAGAGAGATTGGTGTATGGATGGTTCAGAGAGATTGGTGTATGGATGGTTCAGAGAGATTGGTGTATGGATGGTTCAGAGAGTTGGTGATGGAGGCAGAGAGATTGGTGTATGGATGGTTCAGAGAGATTGGTGTATGGATGGTTCAGAGAGATTGGTGTATGGATGGTTCAGAGAGATTGGTGTATGGATGGTTCAGAGGATTGGTGTATGGATGGTTCAGAGAGATTGGTGTATGGATGGTTCAGAGAGTTGGGTATGGATGGTTCAGAGAGATTGGTGTATGGATGGTTCAGAGAGATTGGTGTATGGATGGTTCAGAGAGAGGTGTATGGATGGTTCAGAGAGATTGGTGTATGGATGGTTCAGAGAGATTGGTGTATGGATGGTTCAGAGGATTGGTGTATGGATGGTTCAGAGAGATTGGTGTATGGATGGTTCAGAGAGATTGGTGTATGGATGGTTCAGAGAGATTGGTGTATGGATGGTTCAGAGAGGGGCCAGGGATTGGTGTATGGATGGTTCAGAGAGATTGGTGTATGGATGGTTCAGAGAGATTGGTGTATGGATGGTTCGAGAGATTGGTGTATGGATGGTTCAGAGAGATTGGTGTATGGATGGTTCAGAGAGATTGGTGTATGGATGGTTCAGAGAGATTGGTGTATGGATGGTTCAGAGAGATTGGTGTATGGATGGTTCAGAGAGATTGGTGTATGGATGGTTCAGAGAGATTGGTGTATGGATGGTTCAGAGAGATTGGTGTATGGATGGTTCAGAGAGATTGGTGTATGGATGGTTCAGAGAGATTGGTGTATGGGGGTTCAGAGATTGGTGTATGGTGGTTCAGAGAGATTGGTGTATGGATGGTTCAGAGGGATTGGTGTATGGATGGTTCAGAGAGATTGGTGTATGGATGGTTCGAGAGATTGGTGTATGGATGGTTCAGAGAGATTGGTGTATGGATGGTTCAGAGAGATTGGTGTATGGATGGTTCAGAGAGTTGGTGTATGGATGGTTCAGAGGGATTGGTGTATGGATGGTTCAGAGAGATTGGTGTATGGATGGTTCAGAGAGTGGTGTATGGATGGTTCAGAGAGATTGGTGTATGGATGGTTCAGAGGGATTGGTGTATGGATGGTTCAGAGAGATTGGTGTATGGATGGTTCAGAGAGATTGGTGTATGGATGGTTCAGAGAGATTGGTGTATGGATGGTTCAGAGAGATTGGTGTATGGATGGTTCAGAGAGATTGGTGTATGGATGGTTCAGAGAGATTGGTGTATGGATGGTTCAGAGAGATTGGTGTATGGATGGTTCAGAGAGATTGGTGTATGGATGGTTCAGAGAGATTGGTGTATGGATGGTTCAGAGAGATTGGTGTATGGATGGTTCAGGGATTGGGTATGGATGGTTCAGAGAGATTGGTGTATGGATGGTTCAGAGAGTTGGTGTATGGATGGTTCAGAGAGATTGGTGTATGGATGGTTCAGAGATTGGTGTATGGATGGTTCGAGAGATTGGTGTATGGATGGTTCAGAGAGATTGGTGTATGGATGGTTCAGAGAGTTGGTGTATGGATGGTTCAGAGAGATTGGTGTATGGATGGTTCAGAGAGATTGGTGTATGGATGGTTCAGAGAGATTGGTGTATGGATGGTTCAGAGAGATTGGTGTATGGATGGTTCAGAGAGATTGGTGTATGGATGGTTCAGAGAGATTGGTGTATGGATGTTTCAGAGAGATTGGTGTATGGATGTCCGATGCACTATGGCCTCAATCTTCGCTTAATTAGGTAAAAGATGATAAATTTTAAAAAAATAAATCTAATTTAGAGTCAAAATTGAAAAAAGGTTTTCGCTTTCTTCTTGGAGAACGATGGGGAGGCTAAAAAAAAAAGGAGATGACGATTTGCGGAAACATATTATGTGGTTGGTACAGAATAATCGAAAAAAGTGATTTGATCAAAGATGATCAGAAACGAAACATAACAAAAATGTTAAATTTCTGATATTTACAAGTACGTCGCGAAAGAAAGCTACGGTAAATACTGTAATTGGACCCCATGGGGTACTATTTTTTCCCTCCCCCTCTAGGGTGGGTCACTATTAGAGGGTGGGTCACTATTTTACACCACTTTTCAAGTTACCAAATCAGGATACATTCAAATAATTTTTTCAAAAGCAAACTTTTTCTTTAGTTTTTATTGATTTTAACCAATAAAAGAGGAGTGGGGCATTATTTTTTCCCTCCTGATACTCACTGCTCGTTTCGATGGGAAAAAGTTGCGCCCCTCTAATACTACCCCACTTGGTGGGGTCCAATTACACTATTTACGGTATTATTAAGCGTTTTCCCTCGATAAAGTGACCATAAATGGAGCTATGGTAATTTGAAAAGAATTCTTGTGAAAACGGTTTCAGATGTGGCCAGCTCGAATGCTCTGACCGTATTCTCTCTAATGGTAGTGCACTCTCTCTAATAGTATTGCGGTCCAGGAAGGGGCTTGAAAAAATAGTAGTTCGCAGAGAATACGGTATTCTTAAGACCGGAACCACCGGGATCTATTTGCCAGAAAAGCTTTCAAAAATAAGCTTTCGTAATATCTTAAATTCACACACCCTTTTTGCCAAATTTTCTTCAAATCTATTTTGTTTCAATTTAGGTTACAAATTTCTGTGATGAATGTACATGCCCGGATTTGGTGTTCACTCTGAATAGCCATTGGCAACTATTAGGGTGGTGCAAAAGAAACTGCCGATTTGACGGTAAATTCAAAAAAAGATGGCGTTCGATGGTGACATGATCACAATGGAATATTTTCGCAAGATCTCGAGTAGATCGGCATGGATCGGCATGAATAACGTCCCTCAGTTTGGCTTCGTTCACGACTTCTGGCCTCGAACCGTGCTCGTAATCTTCCAAAGTCTCGTCTCCCTCTCAGAATCGTTGAAACCAAGTCTGACACTGCCTAAGAGACAAACTGCCATCTCCGAAAGCAGCACGAAGAGAACGATGCGATTCGGCAGCAGACTTTCCAATTTTGAAGTTAAACAGTAATGCTGCTCGTAGCTCAAACTTTTGCTCGACCATGATCTAAATGAAAAAATATAAGCATTTTAAAATAAAATAAACAAGAACCAAAAAATTCAAATGTCAAAATGAATAGCAAACAAATATGCGAAAAAACATAAAAAAAATAATGCCGTTAGCATCGCTCGTTTCTGACAAATGAGAGCTGATACCCATCGGCAGTTTCTTTTGCACCACCCTAATATTACGCGGTAAAGAATGAAAAAATGAACTTGGCAAAGGAAAAGTTCAGTTTCATTACAGTATTCTAAACAAAATTTGAGAAGTTCTTAAAAAGATTTCAAATGTTTTAGTAAATGCAATTTGATGTTGAAAGAGTCGATGAGAACTCGATTTCCGAGCGAATTATTGGGTTGGGGACTATGACTCGGCGCCAAACTTTAAAGGGACTTTTTGCACACATAAAGCCTTCTTTAAATATACCTTTGGTTTCATCAAAAGGATCCACTATTTCTCTACAAAATGACTTTTGAGAGATTCCACAAAGCTTTTCTTTCGTGGAGTTTATGGACTCCCAAACACAGCTAGTCAAAATGGCAAAGAGTCCGACTCATCATTTGAACAGTTTCTTTCACATAAACCTTCTTTGGTGTTTATATAAAAAAGATAGAGCACATTCAATTACTTAAGTTGCCAAATTTGCAGGAAGATCCCACCAATGGTTTTTTCTAGATCACAGTTTGTAGTTTTTGTGAAAAAATGGCTTTTTCTTGAGCGGAGGCGCTGTTTGAATTTTCTTTTAAATGTCATTTTGTAGAGAATTAGTTAACCATTCTACTCATATCAAACGCATATTATTTGACGAAGTCGAATAGAAGTTTTAGACATTTTTTTCATTTTCGGCGCCGAGTCATAGTCCCCAACCCAATAGATTCTCGGCGATGTTTTCTTTAGTGCATTCTGTTTACGGCTACACGAACGGTCAAGCTTCACTGGCTTAAAGCTTGAATAATGTACAACAATTTTGCTTTTTCAAGTTGCATTTTCATTTGGGTTTTCTAATCTGAATTGACATAGAACAAATTGTAAATTTTTTTCACAATAAATACCAGAAATTGGATATTCAAAAAGAGAATGCAATTGTTGGTTCAAATGACAATTTCTAATTGTAAGACAATTCTCAAAAACTTGTGAAAAAAGTTAAACTTTATCTAGAATTTCTTAAAAACTCTATTTCGTATTCGATGGGCAGAAATTCTTGTCATCATACGATCGAGCGGATCTCATTGCACATGTGAATTCAGCTCTGCATTTGTCCTCGAATGGACACAGCTTTTTGTAGTCTTTGTTTCGGTAGTAGTGACTAAATGGGTATATTGTGAAAGTTAGTAATATCAAAAGACTTTTTAAACTTTAAAAACAGGATAAAGATGTCCAGTGATGTTCCAAATGGGTCCTAAAGTCTATAAGTTGAACCAAACCAAGATCAGAGCTACAGTCAGACAAAGCTAACTATGGAGTGATGTTCCAAATGGGTCCTAAAGTCTATAAGTTGAACCAAACCAAGATCAGAGCTACAGTCAGACAAAGCTAACTAGGTATCGTTGTTCATTCTGCATTGAATTTCGAAGTAGTCTATTTTGTAGAAAATTTTTCACTAATTTCAAATATCTAGATCGTTTGTGTGTAGTGGGTTCAAATTTTTGATTTAAATCCATTTGAAGTTTGAGTGTAAAAAAGTAGTTGCGTTCGTATGTAGTTTTTTAAAAAAAAGCGGTTTGTCTGGGAATTCCGGGAACCAGAGCCGAGAGTTTAAGAATTCCAGCGCCGAGAGTTTAAAAGTTTAAGAGTTCCAGCGCTTCCGAGACGGCGACGAAAGCTTGGAAGACCAAAAACACGGGAGTCGACCTCAAATCATCGACAACGACGCATTGAAGGAAGCCATTGAGTCGGATCCACGCCAAGCCACTCGCGACCTGGCAGAACAGTTCGGCTGCACTCATGTCACCATTGAGAACGATCTCCTAGCGCACTTATCACTTGGCCACTTGGCCACTACGACACATTTCCCCAGATGATAAAATTCCCTGATACTCGCGCATTCAGATAAATAGCGCAACACTTGAAAACTGTTTTTTACACAGAAACTTCAAACGGATTAAAATCGAATTTGCTTTCGGAATCAGGAAAAATTTGCTACAAAATCTCACTCGATAGTAAATAAAGAATGATTTCTAGTAAGTCAAAACTAGAGCTAACCATTCTCTGAATTCAAATCAAACCAGAAAATGGCTATGGAACAACTTTATTATACGGACTCACGTGTGAAATTTCTGGAAAAGAAGTGAATCCTTTTCGAATCGTTTAATCAACGAATTCCAGCTTTCCGGCGACAAATCGTGCATTTGATATTCTTTCTGAAATTTTAAATCGATAAGAAAAAGCTAAAAAGCATGTTCTACTATTGTATAATATCAATGACTTTAACTTGCCTTTGTATTATATCCCAATTGCCAGTTTGGCTCCTGATTTTTCTCGTTTGCCTCATTCACATCACCCCAATAAGTGTCAGCATCGGTGACAACCTATTTAGAGATTTTTATTTAAAGCTATGCTAACATTTCAAACGTATGTACTCCCAGAATAAGCTCCATCAATTGTGTAGATTCTGTAGGATGGATTCATGAAATCATAGGTGGTAAGCGAGCCGGCGATGAAATTGAAATGAGTGGCTCGACCGGACGGGTTACCGTTCTCATAGAAAACCTGAATAGGGGTATTGGCAATAAATAACTCTTGAATAACATAACGATCTAAGGATTTTCTAGTCTATGAATTGTCTATGAATTGTCTAGCCTATGAATTGACCTGAAAATGATCGTTGTGCGTGTGTCCCATGAATTGAGCAGAGATCGTGTTCTCGAATCTTAAAAATGTATTGGGTTGGTGGAAAAGTCCTTTCGGATGTTTCGTGATCAGCGTCAAAAATAAGCCCTAGACACAAATTTAGAAAAGCGGCGGAAAGGCTATTGATCTGAGGGTCGCTGGTTCGACTTCCACCGGTGACAATATTTTTCAAAAATTTTTTGCTAAGATTCTGAAAATGCGTGTCTAGGGGTTATTTTTGACGCTGATCCCGAAACACATGTTTTTAGCCTAGGTTTCTGCACGGGAAACTAACGAAACGTGAAAACAGCCATTTTTTGGCTCTGTCGCCCTTTACTAAAATAGCTGTAAAAACTTTTACAAAAGAGATATCTCAAAACGGTTTTTACCAATCGATCCGTCTTGAAATCAGCTTTAGGATGAGCTATAAAACGTCAAAATTGGGCAAATTTAAGGTACTCTCCCAAAAAATCCGAAAGGACTTTTCCCCCAACCCAATAAATTAAACTTAGACATTGACATATCTATCCTACAAGTAGTCGAATTACCAAAAAAATAAAATCCAAAACCTATCTACTATTTTCTAAACAATGCTATCACACTAATCTTGCATTTTTTCTATTTAAAACTTAAATCTAATGTCATATATTGATGCACCTATTGATAATCGCATAGTAGTTGAAAGCCCATCCCTTCAAGCAATAATTGACTCCAGTTGGGATATGTGAAATGATGTGAACCTGGAATTTTCATTGTTTCTTGTAAAATCTAGAAAATCTTATTGAATTTGATGAATGATTTGACTACCTTTTCTCCTTTCTGTTCTGAATCCAAGAGTTGCTCGATCAGCCATTGAAGTGTCCCGTCTGGATCAACTTGATCCAAGAACATGAAGCTAAAATTTACATAATTATTGGGTTGGTGAATTGAAAACTGCCGGCTATTGTCATATGTGGCAGCTTGAGGACTTTCTTCAAAAGAAACCCATTTTGGTGCCAATGGAAAAGTTGTAGAAAATCAAAAATCAAGCTTATATCCAAATTTTCAGAACAATTCAAAAACTGGTTTTCGAGAAATGCGAAATTTACGAATTTTCACAAAACTTGCATTTTAAGCGAAACTAATAAGTGTATCTTTTTGGAAATTTGGCTATAAGCCTCATTTTTGATTCTCTACAACTTTTCTATTGACACCAAAATGGGTTTCTTTTGAAGAAAGTGCTCAAACTGGGACATCTCCAGTCCTCCATTTTTGAGTCTCACACTTGTCTCACACACAAACCAAAATCCTACGCAGAAAGAGGAATCCGAAAATTGCCTGTAAAATGGACAGAAGTCGTCAATAATAATGGAAATTATTTCGAATGAATTGATGGTCTTATGTTGAATAAACTTTAGTTCAAAGTCCCGCAGTTTTCAATTCACCAACCCAATATACCAGATCTTTAAGTAGTTTGGTTTAAGTTTAAGTTTATAAGTAGCCTTGTTTGGGAGCTTTTCGCGCATTCTCCATACAGTCCGGACCTCTCCCCTTTTGATTACTATTTATTCCGGATCATGAGTAATGAGCTTGCGGGAGAACACTTAGATTAGGAAGAAGCAGTCAAAAATTGGCTTTGAAAGTTTTTCGGTTCAAAAGCAAAATCCTACGAAGAAAGAGGAATCCGAAAATTGCCTGTAAAATGGGCAGAAGTCGTCAATCATAATGGATATTATTTGGAATGAATTCATGGTCTTATGTTGAATAAATTTTAGTTCAAAGTCCAGCAGTTTTCAATTCACCAACCTAATATTTATGCAAGACGCAAACCAGCTTATCTAGCTTAGCTCAAATCGCAAATCGTTAACGGCTAGCCGTTAACGAATGATTCATCAACCCAATATATACATAAAATTTAAATAAACCTTACAAATTCCAAAAATGAACTTACAAATTCCATGTTGAACAGTAGACAGAATTGATGGAGATCAGCTTAAGGTTTTGCTTGATGTAGACAGCGTAAGAGGCTCGGCTGAAATCAAATTCAATCACAGTTTACTAAAACATTGTGCAAATTTCTGACTAAAACGAACTATCGAACATCTTGAACAGCTTGTGGAGTGAGATCAGGTGCCCATGTGTTTGCCAACTCTTCATACAACCATTCTGGACTGTGCGTCTCATAGCCATCCATTGAATGGGCTGGCATGCTAAATTTTGAATAATATAAACATCTTTCAATAGATTCAGTTTGACTTAAAAGACAAGAATGACTTAAAAGCATTTTGTTAACTAATTCCCCTTCAAATTCTTCCTTTCAAGTCAAACTTGTTCGCCAATCTCCCAATTTCACTCAAATCTTTTTCTCTTTGATTTCAATCAATAGGAAAAGAAATTCTGTGTTAATTGATATCAAAATGAAAAAGATCAGAGTGAAATTGGGGAAGATATGTCGTTTTTCTGTTGAAAACCTATTGACGTTGACACTGAAAATTCCTACTACTGTAGAGTTTTGTTAATTTGTTGTTTAAAGATACGATTAAAGAACTCACCCATCCATCGGCACTCCTTCATGATTCCCGATTGCTTGATAGATTGGTGTGTGCGGGAAGAATTCTCTCAAAACGGCGGTGATATTCTCGATATTGGCTTTCGTTCGATCTTTTGTGTAATCCCACATGTCGTGCGCTTCGAAATCACCAGTCACAATGATGTAATCAAGCTGTAATTTTATGATTTCGAGAGTTGAAACTGATGAAAGCCTTTTTGGGGTTTACCTTTTCCGTTTGATTGATATGCTTCATAGCGCTGACATATGTTTGGAATGGGAGATCACATTTGGCTGTGGCTCCCCAAGGACCGGCTGGAGATTTGGCAGCTAAAAAGTACTCACTTTCAACAGATTTTAATAATCATTTTATCAATTTTATCAAAAACACTCAAGTTGTAGCTGATTCGGTTTGGATTTTGTTTATTTTAAACACGTTTCAATCCCTATCAATCTGTTATTGTTTTGTTAGCTGATAGTTAGCCAATATTTCGCCGAATTGAATGACTTAGGGACGAAATTACGTTAAGAATTTTATACCAAAAGAATGCTTAATAGGTTTGATTGAATTTTTTTCATTAGAACAAACCCTTTTTCTCTCGATCATTGACTGTTGGAGGGTAAACACGACAACATAAGGCATATGTTCCGAAAGCATCGATTCCCTTTCCATTATTGCAATCTAAACTTCATTAGGTTCGTAAAAATTCAAAACATAAACCAGGTTTGACATTAAAAACATTGTATTTCTAATCAAGTAAGCTCTTAAGCCTCAAAATTTACCAGAATCTTCTCCAACCGCGTACCATCGATCAATGTGAATATCGGAAAGATGGAGAACTCTCATTGTTGGTTTGTTGGCCTGAAAAGGAACAGGTACAAGTGAACTTAAAGCTTTAATATCTAGATTTTCTTTTCATTTTTAAATCTCACTTGTGGCTTTGGCCATGGTTTAACAGTTGGTTTATTGCCTGGGATTGTCATGTTCCACAACTCTTGCAATGGGTTCTCTGATTGGCCACAATCTGAAGCTGAAGATTAGCCACAATCTCTGATTAACCACAATCTCTGATTGGCCGCAATCTCTGATTGACCACAGTCTCTGATTGTCCGCAAATTTACAAACAAAGCAAAATTCTGTTTATAATAAACTTTTTAATGTCTCTGATTATTTTTTTGTTTTCATTTTAAAGTCCAAACCATCAATAAAGGCTCCGCAGATTTCATCAGGTGTGAAAATGGCTCTTTGCAGGACGAAGATGATTTCTGGCTAAACTTAAGAAATAATTAGAAGTTTAAAAACTTTAAAATTTAAAGATAATTTTAAACTAAATGTTTCCAATTATTTTTTTACCCCAAACATTTCAACGATCGAATTGCAAACATGCGGCTGTTCGACGTTAAGACTTCGGCAAATACCTCTAAAATTTTGGATTTTAAGACATTTGATACACTCTCCACCTTGTCAATCCAACTTTAAACTCAAATATCTTGATCTTAGGCTGTTCAATTGAAATATTTTTTATACCAATCGATAGAGAAAGACTTGGCGCATCCAATGAGACCAAGAATATTTAAATTGGATACCGCAACACCAAGATATTTGAGCTCAAAGTTAGGTTGCCGATGGCAAAAGGGATGGGCGCTTATCAAATGTTCGATAACGAGAATTTTGAGACTTTATAGGATATTTGATGTTTGCCATTGACAATCTAACTTTAAGCTCAAATTTCTTGGTGTTGGGTCATACAATTTAAATAGTTTTTGTAGCAATCAACAGAGAAAGACTTGACGCATCTAATCATACCAAGAATATTTAAATTGGATCACCGCAACACCAAGATATTTGAGCTCAAAGTTAGGTTGCCAATGGCAAAAGGAATGGGCGCTTATCAAATGTTCGATAACGAGAATTTTGAGAGTTTATAGTTAAATGAATAGGACATTTGATGTTTGCCATTGACAATCCAACTTTAAACTCAAATATCTTGATCTTAGGCTGTTCAATTGAAATAGTTTTTATACCAATCGAAAGAGAAAGACTTGGTGCATCCAATGAGACCAAGAATATTTAAATTCAACACCCCAACACCAAGATATTTGAGCTCAAAGTTTGTTTGTTAATGGGAAAAGCGGCGAGAGCTTATCAAATGCGCTTAAAGTTTAAAGTAGTTAAACGAATTTTCTAGAAAGTTCACTCACTCAATAACTCCAAATATTTCCTCATCAGTATTGTTGGATTTGATCATTACTTGAATGGTATCAATGAGAACTGTGCAAAGGCCACAAGACAATGCACGAACCTCGGGATCGGGGTTTTTCACAAAACTCCATATTGTTTTGGTCATCTAAAAGTTTATCTCTTTTGATAATCAAAAAAACTTTTAGCTCTCTATATCTATAGCTAGATTTTCAATGATATTTGACTAGTCTGTGCCTGATTTCACAAGTCTAGATCGAACAAAGATTGGGTAAACTAGCTTTTGACTGGGTAAACTGCTTTTGGCTGGGTAAACTAGCTTTTGAAACACATTAAATGCTTTCAAATAAATGTTAGATTTAGTCTTTTAATAAAGCTTTAAATAGTCATTTTGAATAACAGAATAAAAGTTACTTTTGAATGTCTATGGAAATCAAAAAGCTTTTGATGATTACTGGTAAACTTTTCTATGAACTCACATAATATCGATTCAATTTTGCATCTTTTGGCACCCTTGAATCTTGGATCATCAAACCAGCTGCTGCAAGACCAGCAAAAAGAAAAATCAAGGCCAAGTTCCGCATTTTAGGTCAAGAATTGCTGTAGACGTTGTTAAACAAAAAATTTTTCCAAAACGTGTTTAGAACGAATGACTTCAAGTGAAATATTTCAATGAAGTTTTCAAATCCGGCTACTTCTTCTCAATCAGGTTGAAAGGCCATGTGTTATCTCTTTTCCTTTTTTCTCGACTCCAATTTTTACATGGCCATAAAATGATTGTTCCCATTTTCGATAAGCCTTGTCCCTTGCTCTTCCTGGATTTTTTTCTTTAAAAACTGATCCCTAGAGTCATTTGTCGTGCAAAAACACAATGTATTGAGCAAGTTTCGAGAATATTTTGTCATGGACTATGGACAGTGATGTCAGTGAAGGCTATCTGAACTCTTAGAAATGCTCTACTCCCAAAATAAGTGCCCCAGAAAGGGTGTGTTTACAAATTTCGGGCACAAAATACATTCCACGTTTCACTGGAAAGACACCAGCTGGCTGGGTGTTTTGGGCATAGTTTGAGCCCTCGATTTAAAGGGCTTTTAAAGGGATTTAAAGGACTTGAAAGGGCAAATTTTCGGCTTTTGCATCCATAGCGCAGTAGGTAGCGCGACTGTCTCTCGATCACAAAACCGCCCATAGGTACCGTTCGTTCCCCTGTAGCTACCTTGATTTTTGCTTTTAAAAAATTTAAAACCTGAGATGCACAACTAAATAAAATTCTCTATCTAACAAAGAAAAAAATTATTTAAATCGGCTCACTGGGGGCTGCGCTTTCGGCCATATGGACAAGCGGACACTTGTCTTTTATATATAGTAGATTAAAAAGTGTAAAAAACAGAGAAAGCAAAAGATTTTATCCCTAGAAGAATCGAACCCATGACGTTTTTCACTCAAAAAGTGCAAAAACAAAGAAAGCAAAAAAGATTGCATCGGGCCAGGATCGAACTTGAGACTAACCGAGCTCAACTTGGCAGATCGGACGCCGGGACGCACTACCACTCGGCCACGCGGTGGCTTGTATTCATTAATTTCGCTTTTTAAGAAAAACGATCAAATTATGTGTCAAATGTTATTAGATTTTATGAAACTACGTAAAAATTTTGGTTTATAATGGCAAACTTTCAGCTCGATCGGCTGAGCCGTTTTCTCTAAAATCGCACAAACAGACAAACACACACATCGGTGGCAGACATACCGTATTTTCTCTAATAGTAGTGTACCCCGCCGAGTTGGTGACTATTTTACGGTTTCCAAGCTTTTGCAGAAGCTCAACACTCAAATCCCCCACTAGATCTCATCGTCAGCTACATTTTGTGACCCCACATCGATAGGTTCTGAGAAGCGGTTCTCGAGCTTTCGAGGAATTTAGGCGACGCTCAAGGTGCACTACGATTAGAGAAAATACGGTACTCTCTCTCTCTCTCTCTCTCTCTCTTATAATAAGCATAAGATTTTGCAAAAAAGACTGTATTTGGCTTAAAATTTCAAAGAATCGACAAAAGCGAAAGAATCAATGCACTATTCTATACCCCAAAAACCCATAAACCACAGAACCAGTGTGCGCAATTGAGCCGAACTTTGTCACTTTGCTAAAACACGAAACTTTGCAAATCTTCAAACTCTTTTTTGATAATCATTTCTGTTTCTAAATTTTAAAATGCTTTTTTTTTGACTCTAATTGGGGAAGTTAAAGATGAGAACTATTGTACAATAGCAATAGATTATATTGGGTTGGGGATTATGACTCGGCGCCGAAAATCAAAAAAATGTCTAAAACTTCTATTCGACTTCGTCAAATAATATGCGTTTGATATGAGTAGAATGGTCAACTAATTCTCTACAAAATGACATTTAAAAGAAAATTCAAACAGCGCCTCCGCTCAAGAAAAAGCCATTTTTTCACAAAAACTACAAACTGTGATCTAGAAAAAACCATTGGTGGGATCTTCCTGCAAATTTGGCAACTTAAGTAATTCAATGTGCTCTATCTTTTTTATATAAACACCAAAGAAGGTTTATGTGAAAGAAACTGTTCAAATGATGAGTCGGGCTCTTTGCCATTTTGACTAGCTGTGTTTGGGAGTCCATAAACTCCATGAAAGAAAAGCTTTGTGGAATCTCTCAAAAGTCATTTTGTAGAGAAATAGTGGATCCTTTTGATGAAACCAAACGTATGTTTAAAGAAGGCTTTATGTGTGCAAAAAGTCCCTTTAAAGTTTGGCGCCGAGTCATAGTCCCCAACCCAATAGAAAGAAATCAGATCAAAATGTTCTTGATTTTTGAGAAAAATAAACATTTGAATAGAAGGAAGATGATTTGTGAAAAAAAAAAAAACAAGAACAAAAAGCATATTCGAGATAAAAAATGGTGATGCTAAACTTTGACTTGAAATTCCAACCCAATTAAAACAATTAAAACCCAATTAGAACCCAATTAAACAATTAAAACCCAATTAAAACCCAATTTAACACTTTTAAATGCAAATTTTCACAAAGAAATCAACTTTACCCTTACAATTTGATGGAAAACAATTTCGATATTAAGCTCGCACAGCTAGAGAACTACAGTTACCGTAATCTACCGTAATCTATCGTATTTCATTAGTTGTTAACCACTACACCAAGTAGGGAATTTACTTAGAATAAAAGTTTCAAAGAAATTCAAGAAAATCGATCGTACAAAGAGCTCTTATGCAAATTTGTATTCATTCTTTTTCAATTTCCATTTGAATCTTTGTCATTTTAGCGAAAATCCTCCAGCGATCACCTTTTTTTGATCGTTTTTTTCGATTGTTTATGTATAAATCAAAAATATTTTCCCGTTAATCATTGAATAACATTTTTTTTTTTTAGAAAAACAAGTCTTGTTGACTAGGAAAAATTTGAATAATTTAATCTGTGATTTCGTTTTGGACAATAAAGATTGAAAAAAACAGAAACTGACAATGAAACCGGTATAAAAGAAGTGATGGAAAGCCTTCCATCATCAAATTTTCGATACTTTCATTTTTTGAGAAATGCTATTCGCTTTGGTATTCATTGTGCTTTTAGCCGGTGTGCAGGCGAGCACTGGACTCTCGTGTGCCCAATGCACGGTCGGTTTTTGGCCCAAAAAGAGAATCAAAACACCTTAAAAGTCTACCTCAACACGATAAGTTGTAAAGTTGAACTAGTAACACTTATCTATTCGTTGAAGTACTTGAAAGTACTACTTGATGGACAACAACTTGTACATTATTATACAATTTATACCATAGGTTACTCCCAGTTTTAGTCAGGCTAGACTTGAGCCAGTCCTAGCATGGCTCTTTTCAAAGATTTTTCAATAATAGTTCATTTTTATATTGAAAAGTTGATAAAACAGCAATTTATACCATTTAAATATAAAAATAAACATTTATAAACATTTATACCATTTACATAAAGCATTTTACCATTTAAATCGATTTAAACACTCCAACATTCATTTTTGATTAAGAAAACAAATGGATTTTTGAATTTTAAAACCCTATTTGCAACAGTTTTTAACAGTTTTAGCAAAGGTTTGAGCTTTTATCGTTTCTTGGGATTAGATTTGACATAAACTAGTCAAAGTCAAAGGAATTTTGCAATTTTAGGTTACTTCCAATCAGGCTAGACTTGAGCCAGTCCTAGCATGGTTCTTTTTAAAGATTTTAATGGATTTTTCAATAATAGTTCATTTTTATACTGAAAAGTTGATAAAACAGCAATTTTTTTCTCAAAGGAAAACATTTTTAGACCTATGCGAATCAAGTGAAAGCATTCTGCGGTGGGAATCTCAAGACATTGACTCAAGCTTGCATGAAAAATTATCTGATGACAACTTGTAAGAAGAATGGGGTGAGTTTTGGATAGAAACTATTAGGTTGAGTACTAAAGAGGGAAGAATGATTGCATCCCGTGGCCTTTTCCGATGGTAGATAGATCATTCGACGCAGAATTTCACATAAATACTGTAATTGATGAGCACTCTCGAATAGAAAGGTAGGGTAGAGGGGGAGGGGAAGAATAGAACGGTAGGGAAGAGGGGGAGCGAAAGAATAGAACGGTACACTGTTCAATCACAGGATTTACGGTAAGTTTTTACCCCTTCGTTATCTAAATGAATGAGTCTAAAACTACCAAATACTAAACAATTTCTTTCATTAAAAATCTTTATCGTTTACTTTTTGTCCAAACAATTTTGCGAATTATAGAATAATCTGCGTGATTGGTACTTTTAAAATATTGAAAAATGAGTACATAAAGAAAACGGTTGAACGGATTACCGTATTCTCTCCAATAGTAGTGCACCCCGCCGAGTTGATGACTATTTTAAGGTTTTTAGAGTTTTCGCAGAAGCTCAACACTCAAATCCCCCACAAGATCTCATCGTCAGCTACATTTTCTGATCCCACATCGATAGGTTCTGATAAGCGGTTCTCGAGATTTCGAGGAATTTAGACGACGCTCAGGCTGCACTACTATTAGAGAGAATACGGGATTCGGCCATCACTGGATTCACCTAAAACTATTGTAATCTAGAAGTTAAATGCCTGAGAAAGAGGTATCACCTCACAGCTGTTACCGTAATCTGCTAAAGCTGCTTGCTCTATTCTCTTTCTCTCCAATAGTAGTGCACCCCGCCGAGTTGATGACTATTTTACGGTTTCTAAGTTTTCGCAGAAGCTCAACACTCAAATCCCCCACAAGATCTCATCGTCAGCTACATTTTCTGATCCCACATCGATAGGTTCTGATAAGCGCTTTTCGAGATTTCGACCAATTTAGGTAACGCTCATCTATTAGAGAGAATACGGTATTCTGAAATTTTGTTTGTAGCTCTAACTTTTAATCTAACTTTGTAGATCTTTTTTATCTGTCATAAATTAAATTTTATTAAAAGAAACGAACTAAACGCATGATCGGATCATGAACACTTACCGTAAATACTGTAATAGTACCCCACCCCCATAGTGACGGTGCGGAGCGTTGCGTAGTCTAGCTTTGGACGCGTTTTTCTCGACACTGGTTTATGCTACAATGCGCGCTTAGGTATCAAAAAATAGCTGAAATTCAAGGCTATTTTTTGATACCAAAGACGCATTTTTTGGAAGTACAGGTGCTTTGAAAAAAATGAAATACTAAAAAACTTTTGCGACTACGCGACTGTACGAGGGAGGGTGGGGTACTATTACAGTATCTACGGTATGTTTTTATCAAAATAACTTCAAACTCTTGGTGATCACTTTGAAATGACGGGTTTTTCCATTACAGTATTTACGGTAGCTTCTTCCTAATAAAAGAAAACCTTCAAAACAAAGCTTTTCAGAAACTTTTAAAAGTAATTTAGAGAAATTGGGTTATCTAAGAAAAAAACTATATTTCATTAGTAGCTTGAGAATTATTCAATGAGAAAATGAATTTAAATGCAAAACTTAGTACTCAATCTAATAAGATTTATCTCCAAGTCCATTGAAGTTCCTTTGAAATCAAAATGATTACAAAAAAAGTTCAACAAAAGTGGTAAAGAAAGTTTGAATTGATTGAAAAGTGAACTCTTTTCCCCTTTCGATTTCAGAACTCAGTCGCTACTTGCACGAATGCTTACAATCAACTCTTACCGTTTTTCACCAAAACCGTCACACAATCTCGAGCCGGGAAATCGATTTCATTCATGTGTCATGGGATTTATCAATGCACATAAGTGAAATCTTTTTATAATGTTAATTTCTCTTTATATGGTATATGTCTTAGCCGTTTACGAAATTCAGTCGCTAAAAAATCATTCATTAGCGGCTAGCCATGTTCATAATCAAAGCTGTAGCAAATCAAAGCAAAGGGCTTGGTTTTGTTTGAGCTTTACTGAAAATCTGGTGAAAAACTGATCGATTAATCATTCGTAAACGGCTAGCCAAAAAAATTTCATTCGTTAGCGGCTGAATTTCGTAAACGGCTACGACATATACTTTTTGATCAACCCTTTACCGCTTAAACGTTGTTTATGTTATGTTACAAATGATAACTCTTAATCAAAATAAAATTTGGATTTTACAAGCCCAGAAAACAAAGCTTTGTAAGTGAAAAACATTCATTAGCAATTACCGCTCAGCCGTACTTTGTGCGCGCGAACAATCGCTCGCGATCTGGCCCCCTTTCACTCCATATACCCCTCACTCTCCCCCTCTCCCCAGGTACTTCGTTTCTTTTAGAGTCGTTTGCATGGCTTTGCTTTGTGACGCGCTCGCCCAAAATTCGATCCAAATCGTTGTCAAGTCGGCCTCGTTTTGTTTTCAATCAACTTTTGTCAGATGAGAAGCGAGCCCCGAATGGGCAATAATTTTTGGGAGTCCCGAGAGGGACGAAAAAGACGGAAACCAAGAATCGCTTAGGATTTTGGTTCGAAACGATCCTTGAAGACACAAATGAATTTCATTGAAAGATAACCAATTTACTCAACATGCAACAAAGATAATGTCTATTCTTGGCTTCATTTTCAGTAAAAGCAAACAATACCTGGTATTCCTTGAGGGATTTGACGTTGAAATTGCACCCAACGACTTTCCGTTTGACTGACTTCTCATTTTTCTTTCTTTCTTTTCTTTCATTTCAAAATGAACCCGGTTATTCATCAGAATTGGATGATTTATCACCTGAGATTTAAAGATATATCTATTTTTAGCTTTATATCATAAAGCATCACTGTTTTATCTTACAAATACTTACCAGTGTCTCCTTTTTTTCCTCGTTCACTTCTAGCTCATCTATGAAAAGAGATATTGAAGCTCTTTTCGAAGTTAACTCATAAATTCAAATGTTTAGTCAGAAATCCAGCACTTTTCAATAGCTTTACTTATCACTATTTCTGGTCAATTTTCAGATTAAGAAGCCAAACCAAATCAATCCATTTAGCTTTTGGTTTGTCTTGAGAAATGTCATTACGTTAACTCAAGTATATAGCCTGCTTCATTGCATAGGCTGGATTTGTAGGTTTTTCTGTAAACTTTATATATTTATCGGCAATGCGTTAGACTTTCACTGAAAGCTGTAATTCTAAAGAGCATGCTTACAAAAAGATCTGCTAAAGAATTTTCGATACTCTGAAGATCGATTCCTGAAAAAGATTCTCATTTTTGATTTTCTTTGACTAAAAGTACCCTCAGTTTAGCATTTTATCATTGATTTTTGGAAATTTCAGATCTCAAATGTGCAAAGTACACTAATGGACAATGAAATATGATATTTGAAAAAAGATCGTAACTTTCGCGCGTCTGTAACTCCCTTGTCTTTACCGTATTTCTAAATATTAATATTACCATTGCGTAGCCCTTGAAAAAAGCTTTCAGACAATGTAAAACACTAATGGTTTAAACTCAAAGACAAGAGAGTTACAGACGCGCGAAAGTGACGATCTTTTTTCAATTATGATATTTCATTGTCCAGTACTGTACACTTTCTACGCTTTTCCTTCAGAAAATCTTTGAGATCCAAGATCATTCTTATCATGACCGCAAAACTGTGCAAATGTGCAAAGTACTTCTAAATTTTCCCATTACCAGCTTTTCCCTTTTCAATCAACTTTTTATCACAATAAAAATCACAAATGAATTTTTTCACAAAATAAGATTTGGTAAGTAAGAGGATAGGTCAATTTTCAACGATGAGGTCAACTTTCTTGTAGATCTTTGTCAAAGGGGGCACTTTCTTTTTGGTCTATACAATCACTGGAGATCTCTCTATCGATAATCAGCATTTTTAAACGATTTGCAGCAGACGTCGACCTCGAAAATGTTGAACAATTCGGCTAACTCGAAATTTTCTCTGATCATCGTGACGGAGCGCTGAAAGGAAACTTGAATACAGTCTCTCTATAACGGAAATCTATAGGAAAACTTTATATAGTGGAATGGAATTTTGGTCCCGGCCGACGTTAAGCTATATTTAACGGCACTCTATATAGCGGACTGACTCTCTCTATTTTGATTTCTTCCATTCCATTATAGAGAGTCGACTCTCATTTTTCGAGCATTTTTAAAGTTTAAAACTCTTTCCGAATTTTCGAATTATTATTAAGTGTATTCTTTGTTTTCCGAAAGATCAATAGTTTTGAAAAGTATCGTAATCTTTTTACTTTTCATTTATTCGACTTACCGTCTTTTCTCCAATAGCAGTGCACCCCGCCGAGTTGGTCACTATTTTACGGCTTTCAAAGTTTTCGCAGAAGCCCAACACTCAAATCCCCCACAAGATCTCATCGTCAGCTACACTTTCTGACCCCACATCAATAGGTTCTGATAAGCGTTTCTTGAGATTTCGAGGAATTTAGGCAACGCTCAAGGTGCACTACTATTAGAGAAAAGACGGGATTTGGCGATCACTGGATTCAGCTAAAACTATTGTAATCTAGAAATTAAATGCCTGAGAAAGAGGTATCACCTCACAGATGTTACCGTAATCTGCCAAAGCTGCTTGCTCAATTCTCTTTCTCTCTAATAGTAGTGCCGAGTCAGTTGATGACTATTTTACAGTTTCTAAGTTTTCACAGAAGCTCTACACTCAAATCCCCCACAAGATCTCATCGTCAGCTACATTTTCCAACCCCACATTGATAAGTTCTGATAAGCGGTTCTCGAGATTTCGAAGAATTTAGGCAACGCTCAAGATGCACTACTATTAGAGAAAATACGGTATCTATTGAAGAAGTAGAGGGACAAGAGAATTTCCAAGTTTTGACAATTGTTGAATAGAATAGTTGATAGATATAGGAAAAGAGTAGAAATTATTAAACCAAACAAAAAAATTATTAGGTTGATGAAAACCTGATGACACCTTTTTCACCATTCTCTTTCTAAATCTCTGGAAGTCCAGCTGCTATTGGGATTTGCTTTAATTAGACAGAGAATAGATTAGCTGTTTGATTTTTGACACTTTTTAATCAAACTCTTTTTCAAAAGTGGTGACTTTTTGGGCGACCAATTTTGTCTGTGGAGGGTGCCTTTCTATTACAATATTTACGGTATCAAATTTTGAAGTCTTTTTGAAGCTTTTCTCATAACTCACCGCCATTTTTGGTATCAACAACATTAGGGAAGCCATTTTCGAGGTAGTTGTCGGTCCATCATAGCCTTGTTGCCTGAAAGACTCTTCATTTCAAAAGTTCTTTTCTTAATTTTTCAACTCACTGATAGTATATGTGAAGATCCCTGAAAACTTGATCGTGTGTCTCAAAGATTGTCTTGATCGTTTCTTGCTTTAAACCAGGGACACCTAAAGTTTCAATCTTCTTAAAGTTAACTGAATACCTTCTTGTACCTTAAAGTTATTGGATTGGTGAATTGAAAACTGCCGCCTATTGTCATATGTGACAGTTTGAGCACTTTCTTCAAAAGAAACCCATTTTGGTGTCAATGGAAAAGTTGTAGAGAATCAAAAATCAAGCTTATATCCAAATTTTCAGAACGATTCAAAAACTGGTTTTCAAGAAATGCGAAATTTACGAATTTTCACAAAACTTGCATTTTAAACGAAACTACTAAGTGTATCTTTTTGGAAATTTGGATATAAGCTTGATTTTTGATTCTCTACAACTTTTCTATTGACACCAAAATGGGTTTCTTTTGAAGAAAGTGCTCAAACTGGGATATCTCCAGTCCTCGATTTTTGAGTCTCACACTTGTCTCACACACAAACCTAAATCCGATGCAGAAAGAGGAATCCGCAAATTGTCTGTAAAATGGACAGAAGTCGTCAATAATAATGGAAATTATTTCGAATGAATTTATGGTTTTATGTTGAATAAATTTTAGTTCAAAGTCCGGCAGCTTTCAATTCACCAACCCAATAACTGAATACCTTCTTTTACCCTAAAGTTAAGTGAATACCTTCTCAAAGTTAACTGAATTACCTTCTTGCCATAAGAATAGAGCAATGATTGCTAAATATTCATAATCAGTGATTTGAATTCTTCGCATATGACCGATGATCGTGTTGAGAATGTAAGCCATTGCAGGGCGGAAGATTCTAGAAAAATTCTTCTAGTTTTTCAGAATCTAAAGCTCTCTGATCTTTTAGAATTTGAATTTTGATTCAATGATTTAAAGAATGTTTTTTTTTTTGTTGTTTTTTTCTGTAAAACTCACGTCGCAGCTTCTTTTGGATCCGCTTTTACCGATTCAGCATTCTCGTAATATTTCTGAAGTTCACTCAATTTTATATATCCTCCATCAGGCATAATGATTCGATCATCATCTAAAATGGTTTGGAAATAAAAATTGCAACAATTTTTTTAAAGTTTACATCAAAGATGGGAATTTGGAAAGCGATCAAAATGGCACTTTAGCGCACTTTTTCGATTTTACTCTATAATTCGATGTCAAATTAACAGATCGACTTAAGGTTGGTTTTAAAATGATCCTCATTAAATTTGGTTATAGAAAGCTACAATTTATTTTGTCTACTCAAGTGTAAGAAGATAGAGAAAATTAGTGTCAAAGTTGAACTACCTACTTGGAAAAGTTGATCAACTTGGATGGTCTATAACTCGAGGTATAGAAATTGAATCAACGTATGGTTGGTTTTAAAATGATCCTCATTAAATTTGGTTATAGAAAGCTACAATTTATTTTGTCTACTCAAGTGTAAGAAGATAGAGAAAATTAGTGTCAAAGTTGAACTACCAGATAACTTTCAGTTATTTTTTAAAAAAAAATACCGACTGGGGCTACCAGTGGTGAATTTATCGCATACACGAAATATATCAATCACAATACAACGACACACACAATACTAGGCTATATCTTAACTTAACCCACGTCATGACAGACGGCTCCCTAACCCTAAGCTCAATGGGGAACTAAATAGCTTTTTTGGTGGTGAAGGGAAGATGACGATGAAGGAGTGGCTTGTCACTTTAAAGAACTGGGGCCACAACCACCAGACTGCCCTCCAGAAAACCTCTCAACCCGAAGGGAAAGGAAATCCGAAGGGGGGTGACCATGTCGCATGTGGGGTTCGAACCCTCGACCTTCCGATTAAGATAAAAGACACTTAACCAGTCAGCCACACGTGCTTATCTGGTAGTTCTTGGCTTATTTGATGCCATTTACTCTAGGAATCAGAATCAGACCATAAATCAAAACCATTAAACTTTGAAAATGCTAAGTTTTTGTTTTAAATTGAATTTAGAGAACTTTAATTCGATTTCCCGAAACTTTTGAAGATCTAAAAGTGAAATCCTTATGCTATTTTGTTTTTTTTCTTTACTTAAACGTGCTTGTTTATGCATTTACCTTGTGTCAAGGTCAACTTGCGCCATTTCACCCTAGCCTTGTTACATCCACGTAACATTTTTACTAGAAATCTATCTATCTTTCTTTCAGATTTTCTTTGTTTTAATGATTTTTGATTAAATTCTATTGACAGTTTGATTTTTAATTGAATAGAATATAGGAAAAGAGTAATGTAACCAAAATTATTCATACTTTAAAAGCTCAACAGGGAATATTCTCGTTTCTTCAAGTCCTAAGTTCATTTAAAAGATTTTTTTCGATCTTTTCAAGTACTAAATTCCTAAAAACTACAGTAAAATCAAATTTAGCGTTTATTTAGCGTTAAATTAGCATTTACCAATAAATTTACAGTGTTTTTATTGAGCCAATACTCTTTCTCAGACTCACTCTCATCCGTGCCGAACATTCGATACGATTGATAGGCTCGATCGACGTGTGAAAGGTAACAAAAGAAGTTTTTGAATAGAAGAACCTAAAGCAAAGAGTTTGCAATGAGAGCTAAAGAGGGGGTTTAAAAAACTAAAAAAAAATTTTTTTCACCCAATAATAAAAAAAAAAAGGAAATAATAATAAAAATAAAAAAAATTAATAAAAAAAATTAAATAAATTAATTAGTTAAATAAATTATGGTAAAATAAAAAAAAAAATGATTGTTTATTAAAAAAAAAAAAAAAAAAAAAAAAAAAAAAAAAAAAAAAAAAAAAAATAAAATATAAAAAAAAGGGGAGAGGAAAGGGTAAAAAGTTTAAAATATATAAAAGCAATTTCAAATCTACCTTATCTTCAAAATCAATTTGAGCAAATGGATGAAAATAGTTGTTGACAACGCTTGTCACTAAATGAGCTTCCATTTGACAGACTTTCTTTGATGACTCGAAATTGCTCATTCGAAGGGTCTAAAATGAAAAATTTTCCATTTAAAAGCTCAATTTTCTTTACTTCTTTCGCTTCAAACATTTCCTGAATACTTTGATTGTCGACAAGACTGTTCGTAGCTTTGCGGATAGACAGAAAATGGAGATAGCCTTCATGCATTTTCGGGAGGATTTTCATTTGTTGTTGGGGTGGTGGAGTGAATGAGGAATATGGAGGGGAGATCATCTGAAAGAGGATTTATTCAAGTTAAAACCTTGGCATGATTCAGATCAGATTTCAATTCCAAATCAATCAAAAATGTGGCAATCCATCAATTGATTGCTCAAGCGAGTTTAAAAAACTCAAGTAAGAATTGGAAAAGAAAGATTTCCGGGGAGGGGATTGAACCCTCGACCTTTCCTCTGTTACAGGCAAATGCTCTAACCACTGATCTATTTGGTAACTGTTTGTAAGAGAAAAAAAAAGGAAATACAAGGGGGAAGAGAAGGAAAGATCCGGTTTAACTTTACATCTCATTGCTACTTTCTCAACAATTTAAAGAAAAATAAAAGTATTAAGGCGTCAAAACTGAATAAAACTAACAACATCAAAGCTTAAACTATTCAATTTTCTTAACTGAATACTTTTATTTTCGCTTACTTTAGTTTAATTCACTTCACTTTAATCAAAACTTTCGTTTACAGAGTCTAAAGTTGAAACCTAGCTCTTTTTCTAGCTTTGAAATGTTAATATTGCCTCTTGCTTCTTGCCTCAAGCCTAGCTCTTTTTATAGCTTTGAAATGTTAATATTAGACTCAAATTTTCTATTTAAATGATTATCCATTTAATAATAGCTACTAGAACTTGAAAATTCAACTCACCATATTCGCAATTGGTGCTACAGGAGCTGTGGCTGAGAACAATTCGTTTCTATTGTAGAAAAAAGCGTCTGAGCTGCTTGGGCGCTCTGAAAGCAGTATTGATAAATCAATAACAAAATTATATCTAGATCTAAAAGATATAAATATTCTCTTACCCAATATATCCCCGTTGTTCGGTTTCTTGAAGGCTGACGATTCGTGATTTGTCCAAATTCCACCGAGAGGACTTGAGCCTTGTCGAGTCGAAGGCACGTAACCAGCTGAATAGAAAATAGAAAATAGAAATTAGAAAAGAAAAACTTAAAATATTATATTATTGGAAGTTAATTTGATTGAATACCAAAAAAAAAAGATTATTTGTTTCATGGAAATCTTTGTCAGCTCGGCGGGAGTGGGACAAATGCGATCTTTTCTCTGCGCACCTTTTTTTTGCTGGGAAAGGCCTTAGGCAAGGCCGCAGAGCTTCGAAAATATTTCCATAAAAGGGAATCCTATGCGTAGATTCCGAATTTCGACAAATCGGACCTCGCTGACACGTCAAATTTGGGCTAAAAGGCAAAAACTATGCAACTTAACGCTTTTCCGCAGTTTTTGCCTTTTAGCCCAAATTTGAAAGTGTCAGCGAGGTCTGATTTGTCGAAATTCGGAATCTACGCATACGATTCCCTTATATGGAAATATTTTCGAAGCTCTACGACCTTTCCTAAGGCCTTTTCCAGCAAAAAAAAGGTCGCATTTGTCCCACCCCCGAAAAAAACTAAACAAAATCTAATCTGATACATTAGTTGGCTTGATACGCGAAAAAAGGTGCGCTAATGGGCCAGGTGCGGAAAAAAAGGTGCGCAAATGTCCAGGTGCGCAAAAAAAAGGTCGCATTTGTCTCACCCCCAGCTCAGCGACCGAATACTCTATCTAGGCTGAATACCCTATTCTAGACTAAATACCGTAATCTAGCTATTCTGGGCTGATCCAGCTATTCTGGACTATTCCAGCTTTAATACCGTGATCCAGACAGTCTAGACTGAATGCTCTATTTAGACTGAATACCCTAATCTAGACTAAATACCGTAATCTATCGTTTTTTTTTTGAAAAAATGATTTCATACTTTCAAAATCTTTAGTTTTAATGTTAAAATCGTAAAATTTAAGTCAAAATATCTTGTTTTTAATTTATAAAACCCACGAGAAGCTTGATGATCTTTCTCTTTACGTTTGCCGATACCGTCTCGGGATTGTTGAACAGCTGAAAAAAAAGTTATTTGAAATTTTAAGCTTTAATGGACATTGTAAATCTAAAACCTATCTCGAAATTCGCTAAAATGAATAAATTTGATTGATTTTAAAGCTTTCACCTGTAATCTGCATTCCTTCGGTGAGGCATTTTTGATAACGACAATGGCGACACATGTTTCGAGCGGCTAAAGTTAAAAGTCATTTACAAGATGTTCAATTTTCATTTCTTTTCTCCATTTATAAGCCTAAAGTTGTTCTAATAGATAAATATTCATTAGAAGTCTTGAATAACGTTTAGATCTGATAATCGGATAGCGTTTAGGTCTGATCATAAGCAACGAGCGCACAAGTAAGCTCACAAGTAAGCTCACAAGTAAGCTCACAAGTAAGCACACAAGCAAGCTCACAAGCAAGCACACAAGTAGGCTCACAAGTAAGCACACAAGTAAGCTCACAAGTAAGCACACAAGCAAGCTCACAAGCAAGCACACAAGCCAGATAGATTTACCAAGCAACGTATCGACGACAAAATCTGACTATCAATTCAACTTTACATAATCATCTATGTTTTCTCAGTAAATCCTCAAAGACAAATTTGATTTCATCAACTAACACTTGTGAATTGAACATTTCGCATCAGCTCGGCAAATGTAATCCAGTTTCAGGGTGACTGTTCGACGAAAGAAAGCCGCACAAGCACGACAACTGTATGTCCCTAAAAAGGAAAATTTCTGTTTACTGTTTACTTATAACTCTAAACTCACCAAAATGTAAACCATCCGACAAGTCATAACAGATCTGACATGTCCTTGGTTCTCCTTCTGATCCATGCAATATCGTTTGTTGTTCATTCATCATCGCAATTACATCCAATTTACTCATCCCCACCTCACCCATTTTCTCGTCTTTTCCACACTCACTTTCCGATGAAGAAGATGGAGATGGACAAGATTGATGAGCACTATCAGAAGCTCTAAAATTGAAATTTTAAATAAAGAAATTGATAAGAGTTGAGTTACAAGCCAAATAACCAAAATGATCAATAATTTGATTAAAAATTCAAAACTAAAACCAAATTATTTCATTTTCGTACAAGTATTGTTCTCAAAATCCTTGCCAATTTCTCGTTACCAATGGAGAAAAGGATTCAAAAAGAAATGAGAAAAGAAGCCGATATTTATCTGGAATAAATGAAAGAAAGTTTTTGATTGAAAATTCCTGAAAGATTAGAAAAATTTAAAGTAAAAGTATTGGAATTCATCAGCTTTAGATCCTTCTTTATCCATTCGATTAGGAAAAAGTTCTCAATCTACTATGTAAAACAGTTTCAAAAAGATTCAGTCTTTGTAAAGAACTGTAATATGTAAAGATTTGTGCTACGCGCCATCAGTACCTCTAGAGTGCGGCCGCGTAGCTGCGTAGATGAGCAATGATGCGATAAGCGTAGCGGATGCCCAGCGCAGCTGGTTTATCAAAAAACAAAAAGTTTCCAGTGTTTTGGTTTACTATAGTAAGTTGAATTTCTGAAATTTTATTCAGAAAAGAGATTTAAGACTTCAAAAACATATTGTAGCCAAGAAATATTGAATCCTAGTCTATTCTTAAACAATGAACTTTCAAATAAGAATGACATATCGTTTGGGAATGAGAGAAAGGGGTTTTTCCTTGAAATTTCTTTGATTTAAACTAATTTGAGTAAAAGTATTAGAATCCGTAAACTTTAGCTGGTTATTAGAAGCTTCTTTATCCATTAAATCAGAAAATTCAACTCACTGTAATGGGCTAATAGATCTTTACATATTACAGTTCTTTACAAATACTTTTACAGAGTAGATTGAAAATCAGCGGCCCATTACAGAAAGTTGAATATTCACAGCTTTATCTACAAATTTAAGACTTCAAAAGCATTTGATCATCTCGTTATTTTAACTTTTAAATACTTTTACAGAGTAGCTAAGAAATATTGAATACTAGTCTATTATTAAACAATAAACTTTCAAATTCCAAATAAGAATGACATCAAAAAAAAGAAATAATGAAATAATCAGTCTTTTTTTGCCTCGAAAATCACCCTTCCGTTCAATGATTACAAATTTTCAAAAAAATTTCGTCATTTCAAGGGGAAAATGGCAATGATCAAGTGGGGAGAAGTGGTGGAAAAAGGAAAAAATTCCGAGGGTAGACTATTTGTCAGCATCTACTGAAAGGGGGGAGAAAAGTGAGTAGGGAAAAGGGGGAATGCTCATATTTCTTGGTAGTGAGGCTAGGTGGCTGAATTGAAGTCTAGATTAAAATTTAGCTTGATTTCCTTCAAGCTTAGCTGGATTCTGTAGGGTTTCTGTGTAAGTACAAGATCTTAAAGTGATCATTGATTAGTTCTGATTAGATGAATCAAGAATCAAAAGCGCAGGCCTAACCTCAAGCCCTAGATCTAGGGCCTAGGACTATAAAGGAGTAGCTAAACCCTAGTCGTAGATAGATCTAGATCTGAATGAATGAATTGTATCTTAGCCAGCCAAAAACTCTATCCTTTTATCCCGGAAAAACAAGATTACCTTGATCTACATGCAATTTCGAAAGTCTAACAATTACAAATCAAAGAACAAAAGTCTGAATCATCTACCTCCGTTTGCGTCGCAGATTCTCCAAGGGATTGAGTTGATAAACAGATCATAGTACAATAGTATTAGAAAGGTCAGTAGTAAGTACTAGTGAAGTATTAGTGAGATCAGTGCAGGGGGTAACCCTTATGTAGGGATGACACTTAAGGGGCCCTAGCCTATAGCCCGTAGCCCGCCCATCCTCTTGAACTCCTCCCCCTTCCCTCTCACCCACTCCATCCCTGAATCTGAATATAAGGTAGGAAATACAAGAGCATAAAACATGAAACTATAAGAAAATGGGGAAAAAGGGAGTCGGGTGGTGTGTTTGGATCAATTCTGTTCTCTGCCCTGGGTAGAAACTAGAGAAATGAGAGAATGGGGGAATTGGGGAGAACGGAGAGATTGAAAGGCCTTTTCTCCACACAAACTAGAGCTCTTTTCACTTCTAGAAATAGAGATGGAGTGTGTGCGAGTGTATGCGTCTTTTGCCTGAGAAAGGCAAAACTTTTCAGCGGAGAGGAAGGATTTTTTTTGTTCGGGAAATTTTGTGCTCAGCTGGTTATCGGAAAATTTGGATAGATGCCTGTAATTGGCTGATTAGTGCCCAGTTTTTGCTAAGTTGGTGACAATTGTTCGACAGAATTTGACAAGTCGCTAAAATTTATTGGCTGTTGACTGAATATCTTGCGACACATGATAAGATTTGAATACCGTATTTTCTCTAAAAGTAGTGCACCCTGAGCGTCGCCTAAATTGATCGAAATCTCGAGAAACGCTTATCAGAACCTATCAATGTGGGGTCGGAAAATGGAGCTGACGATAAGATCTAGTGGGGGATTTGAGGGTTGAGCTTCTGCGAAAACTTAGAAACCGTAAAATAGTCATCAACTCGGCGGGGTGCACTACTATTGGAATTGGTTCCTTCTCTCCAATAGTAGTGCACCCCGCCGAGTTGATGTTTATCAGAATACGGTATAACAATAATAGTTATTACATAATCTACTATATACAAAAAAAATAAAACGTCCGTCCGTCTGTTACGCCTACGCGACAATACAAAATACGTTAACGTAAAATTAGAACGAGGTGAGCTAGAAAGCTGAAAAATTGTTCTCAGGGGTTTTTGGAGGCGAGGAAACCAAATCTGCAATCAGATTTGTGCTACGCGCCATCAGTGCCTCTAGAGTGCGGCCGCGTAGCTGCGTAGATGAGCAATGATGCGATAAGCGTAGCGGATGCCCAGCGCAGCTGGTTTATCAAAAAACAAAAAGTTTTCATTTATGCAGCTAGATCTAATTATAAAATGCCACCGAATTTGAATTTATAGCAGCATACACAATACGAATTTCGAGAGCAATTCATTAATGAAGCGTGATGAGCAATGATGCGATTAAGATAAGAATGAAAAAAGACAAAAAATGAAAGAGAACAAACGAATAATCAAGTTGTATGAATGTGCATGAAAGAGTTTTGTTTGAGATCATTGATCAACACTTTTATTCTATTTTTTCGAAATCGTTTTCTAAAGATTATGGAGATCTGAATTCTTTTGATTAAAGGTGCTACAGAAAATAGCTCGATATCTCCACCCATTCTCCATAAAACCTCTTTTTGGGGGGTGGATAAAGAAATATGAAACGGACTGTAGTTTTGTTGATGATGACGGGCACAGGAAATCTTGATGATCTTCCGAACATTGTGAAAATTTAAATACCGTATTTTCTCTAATAGTGGTGCACCCTGAGCGTCGCCTAAATTGGTCGAAATCTCAAGAACCGCTTATCAGAACCTATCAATGTGGGGTCGGAAAATGTAGCTGACGATCAGATCTAGGCGGGGATTTGAGTGTTGAGCTTCTAGGAAAACTTAGAAACTGTAAAATAGTCATCAACTGACTCGGCACTACTATTAGAGAGAAAGAGAATAGAGCAAGCAGCTTTGGCTGATTACGGTAACATCTGTGAGGCGATACCTCTTTCTCAGGCATTTAATCTCTAGATTACAATAGTTTTAGCTGAATCCAGTGATCGCCGAATCTCGTATTCTCTCTAATAGTAGTGCATCTTGAGCGTCGTCTAAATTGATCGAAATCTCGAAAAGCGCTTATCAGAACCTATCGATTTGGGGTCGGAAAATGTAGCTGACGATGAGATCTTGTGGGGGATTTGAGTGTTGAGCTTCTGCAAAAGCTTCGAAACCGTAAAATAGTCATCAACGCGGCTCGCCGGGGTGCACTACTATTAGAGAAAATGCGGTAACCATTAAATAACTCTCCATTTAAAGTATCAATCCAAATAGACAAGTCAAGAGCAGATTTCCATCGATGAGTGATTCAGTGGTGCATCTTGGACCAAGCATTCTTATTCTGAATTTGTAAAGTCTTTGTCTTTTGTTAAATACTTTTAACTCAGAAAAAGTCGAATCATAGAAATACTTTGGGCTTTGAAAACGCACACTTTCTGGCGCATTTTGTAGTTAGCAAGGTGCTTCCTGCTAATTTTGTGTTTCTCCAAACTGGAATGAGCTTTTGCTGAATTTCTTGGTGTTTCCAAGCTCTAAACTAAAGCTCTAAACTTGAATGTTTCAGCAAAACAATTATTATCGTAAAAATTCTAATAGAAGATCATGGTTTTCTAATTTTCTAATTGACCGGTCAAAAAAGTAGGTAAAGGTCCAGCAAATGAATCAAAAAATTAAAAATTGTTAGAAACTATTTCAAGCGATAGCCCTTTGCCTAAAACGTACCAAAAGCGGGTTTAAAAGTGAAATTCTTTTCTTGCCTGGTACGTTTCAGGCAAAGGACTATCGTTTGAAATAGTTTCTAACAATTTTTAATTTTTTGATTTATAGAAAATCCATGCAGGACCACCTAAAGTTTTTTTTTAAAAATATTTTTTGTTTCGGAAGAAACTACGTTTCCAATTTTACTTTCCTATCAATTAGGGTTTTCTAAAAAATGGGGATTGAAATGCTTGTAGACATACAGAATGGTTAAAATGACAGTGCAAGTTTGCGGCAACCGCTATTCTTTTTCAGTATCATCCCTGCTACCCTTATTCAACTAAAATATAACAAAAATATGTATTTAAATCTAACTTTTAGAAGCATTAGCTTTAGATGGATTGAAACAAAAGGCTCAAACCAAACTGACTGACTCAAAAATTGACTAGTAAAAGTTTAGATTACAAAGTTTGATAGTGCAACGAAGAGGCTAATCATTATGTGCTGTTTATTGAAGAGCTAACTATTAATACTTCTTTCGATGTTAACTAGATAAATTAGATGATGATAAAGGCGGAGAAAAGAGGCCAAATACGGAAGTCCTTTTCTCTATTGGACACAAAACCGATCCTCTTGCAAATGTGATCAGTAAAATCTGTAGACTTGAAGCTGAAAAGCTCTCCTTGAACCATTATATTCTCTAGACATTGCCTTAAATTATTTTCCTTTTTTTGAAGAAATTAGCTTTTGGTTTGGCGAGCGAGCGCTTGGCTAATGGTCAAAGACTAACAATTTTCCTCGCCTACTTTAACGGGGGTCAAATCAGCTTCCGTTTGTGAGGAAAGGTTACACGCTTTGCCCAATAAATAGGAAGAAATCATACTTTCAAATAGTTAATGTCTTTGATAAATAAGAGCCGTGGTTTTTAAGAAATTGCAACGGAAAAAGGGCGAAAAGACTTTCTCACCAGCTTGATACAAACTCTAGACATCATAAACCAGTTCAAATAAAACGTCATTCTCATCACGTGGGGGTTTTCAAATGATGAGAAAGATTGTTTGACTGCAAAAATCATTTCCTTTTTTACTGTAGGTAAGGAAAAGAAGAGAATTTGATGATTTACGACTGTTTGCATAAGGATTTTTCTCTTACACCCGAAACGATCCGAGAAAAGCCAGCAAATGGCCTTGTTGAAGTGATACGGTAGAGGAATTTTTATCGAATTCTTGAAAAAAATAAAATTATATTTGTTTACAGTAGTTGGTAAAGTTTTTTTTAATGCTTTTCGCTTTTGCGGAAGAGTTGCGAAGCGGAAAATGGGCTTGTCACCAAAAATTCTAAATTTGGTGAAAAATTTGACTTTTCATTTGGATACTGTAGCCAGATATTAAAAAGGAAAAATTTCTCTAAGTTTCTGATCTAGATCTTTTGTTTAGGAGACAAATTTCAGACATTTCCTCATCTACTTCAACGGGATCAAGTCAGTTTTCGTTTATACGTACGACGCGACGATGCGTACGCTCATCCCTCAGCGTTCGCCGATGTGCCGTGTCTAGAAGAGAGATTTTCCTCCATGTACTTTGTGCTTAAAGCTTGCACAATCTTTCGGATGAATGTGCAAGAAATGAACATACAGAAGTGCAAGAAATGCACATACAGAAGCGCAAGAAATGAGCATGCAGAAGTGCAAGAAATGCGGACTCCAGTGCACTTACCTAGTCGGATCGTAGAAGAACTTCCCAAAACCGCAAAACGAGTTCGCTAACGGTTCGAAATCGCCAAAAGAGAGACCAAAACCCAGCGCCCAATATGAGACACCGCCGAACACTACATCAACCACATTCTAAAAGAAAAGTATCTTGAAAAATTGTGAGGAACTAGAGCAGAAAGGCTCTCTTAAACTGGCTTCGTTTTTTAATCTGAATTTCGCTTGATTTTACTACAAAGATTACATCCAAATTTACATTTAAAAAATGTAAAATCCATGCGAAATCTGGGTTTTTCAAGTTTCAATTAGATTTTTCTTTAAAGATTACTGTAATAAACTTATAGAATCAATGATTTTATGTGATTTCTGTGAATCGTTCAATCGAAAAGCTTGAAATCAATCAATTTTTAGTGATTTTTCTGAATAACCAACCGAAAAGCTTCAAAAATTTACGAATTTCGCATTTGAGAGCTCTAGACATTAGCCAGAAAATCTCTGAATCTCTGTGAAATGCTAGAGTTTTTTTTTTAAATGAAACCTATTGTTTTTGATATCTTTTTTCATTTCCAGGCGGATTTTCCAACTGTCACCCGCTTTGACAAAGTGTTTCCCCGAAATTGGAGTGTTGATTGGTGGGGGAAATGGGTGAGAAGAATCGGAAAAGAACTCATACATCTTAATCTACTCCATGAAATCTCCGAATCTTTTTTCCTTTTTTTTTGAATCTTTTCTTCATGTTAAAGTCTCACACCACAAAAATGACCTCGATTTTTGGGGAAAATTCGGTGTACAGATGGGTAAACCTCTCATTTCAACACCATTCTTTCAACTTTCAACACCATTTTTTCGCAACAAACTTTTTTTAGACTCTAACTCTCTCATATCATTTCTCATTTCTCAACTTTTTGAGCTAACCAACAAAAAGGCAATCTTCAATCTCAAGTTATAAAGTTTTAAGGCAAATATTCATTTGAAAGTTAGCAAAGATCAATGGCAGCTGAAAATCCAACTTTTGTACATTGAAAGCGTTGATAATTTGCTTATTTACTCAACGCTTTCTTGTGAATCTGTAAGATATTCAAGACCTGTAAGATCTGTAAGATATTCTAAGGTTGCAAATGAGTCTCACGATCATTAAATTTAGATTTTTTAAATTGGTTTTTCTGAAGCTGCTTTTTGTTCTCACTATGAGCGTTGATAATTTGCTTATTTACTCAAAGCAAAACTTGAAGATTCTCATTCAGTTTTGTGAATCTGAATGAGAATCTTCAAGTTTTGTTTCTATTTCAACATTTTTCCCAGATTGAACAACTCTAAAAGTTTCTCGATCGTATTTCACAATCATCGAAGAGGAAGAACATTTCCCTCATTTCCTGTGACTCAGGAAACTTGAACCATTTTGAGAATTGAACCATGAGTTTGAACATACTAAAATTAATCTACAATTATTTTTACTTTGCTTTGATTAGTTGTTTCGACTAATCACTCTATTTGTTGAGTGGTTCTCTTGAGGAAATCAGAGTGAGAGTCATTGTTGGAACACTCAAAAATCAGTTCTCATCATTATCTGAAATTCATCGCAATCATCTCTATTGTGCAATAAATTTATACGCATTGGCTTGTTTGAAACCTATTCGAAATGTACTGAACTTGCAATTTACAGCCTGGTTCTTTTTAAAGAACATACCGTAAATACTGTAATAGTACCCCACCCCCATAATGACAGTTCGGAGTGTTGCGTAGTCGAGCTTTGAACGAGTTTTTCTCGACACTGGTTTAAGCTACAATGCGCGCTTAGGTATCAAAAAATAGCTGAAATTCAGGGCTATTTTTTGAGATCAAAGACGCATTTTTTGAAAGTACGGGTGCTTTGAAAAAAATGAAATACTAAAAAACTTTGCGACTACGCGACTGTATGAGGGAAGTGGGGTACTATTACAGTATTTACGGTAATAGAAATGCAGGTTCATCTTTTTTAGCCATTCCGATCGCTTGGGCTTAGTCTAAAATGTAAAAATGGGATTTCAATTTGAAGCAAGTTTAGATAAGCACTTGATTTCGCTTACCATTTACAGGAATATTCTTCTTGATTCAAAGCCAAACACCTCTCCATGCTCATTTACATCCTTTTCTTCTTCTTCTCTTTCTTCATTTCCTTGATTGTATTGTTTGAGTGTCCGTCTCTTCCTTTTTCCCCTTGTCAAACGAACACACCAAGACAAAAAGAGGACTGACTCATTTCACACAAAAACAGTCTCTTTTCTGTTTTTTCTAAATTCTTTATGTTAACCATGTGCACTTTCAATAATATTTTGAAAACGACAAATATTTCTTTGATAACTCATAAGTGTTCTTGGTTTTGAGGACAGACTTTTTTTATTTGATACCCTTTTAGACATTCAGAAAAGTTCAAAATAGAAAATCCATCTAATAGGTACAGTACTGGACAATGAAATATCATAATTTAAAAAAGATCGTCACTTTCGCGCGTCTGTAACTCTCTTGTCTTTGAGTTTAAACTATTAGTGTTTTACATTGTCTGAAAGCTCTTTTCAAGGGCTACGTAATGGTAATATTAATATTTAGAAATACGGTAAAGACAAGGGAGTTACAGACGCGCGAAAGTGACGATCTTTTTTCAAATATCATATTTCATTGTCCAGTAGTGTATGTAAATTTTGTGCACTCTTATTTGTTTCTTTTGAATTCAAAAATTCAAACCGCATTAGTTTCAAAAATTGAAGTTTTTTGAGAACTGGAGCTGACTGTGAATGAATTTAACTATCTTAATAACTTTGAAATGACTTTAGCTTTGAACTTTGACTTTAAACTTTAGTATAAACTTTGAAAAATAATGGTTTATAAGGCTACCAAAAGCTGATAACATTCAGGAACTAGCATGCCTTCTACATGAAATAAAAAATTCGATTTAACGATGCTCAGCATTGCCAACTAGCCCTAGTTACGTTTTCTGAAGTTTCAACTTTCGCCGTTGACAGTTGGCTAAAAAATGGACCAACATTCAGCGATCAATTCTTGCTAACTGTAAAAGATTCCCATCTGAGACCTCAAAAGCTATTATAGTTTCTTTATCTGCAACTCCAGACCGCTATTATTGTTAGTTGTTTGCTTTTTGTACCCATTGAGTAATCGTCATTACCCTCTTCCTCTCACCGCAATTCAAATGTATCTCGGTGATAGATACAGACTCGTTTCCCATCGCATTCCCTCTCTTTCCCCCATCCAATCATTTTGACAGAGACACGTTAAATGACTCAGCTTGTTCAATCTCTATTTTCTTTTTCTTTTTCTTTTTCTTTTTCAAAATTGTGTTAATTTTATCGTTTTGTTAACAGGTTTTCAAAAAGTAAATCCATTTTTTGCAATTCTTTTATTAAATTTCAGTTAATGTGGTTATTGAAATGGATTTTTATGAGAATTTTCTTATTCTTTTCTATTTTTCATTTTGTGATCACTGAAATAGCTTATGACAAGGTTGGTTTTAAAGATTGTATCTTTAAATTTTAAAAAAATCTAATACAGTAAGAGTTGTAGTAGTTGAACGTTTCAAAAAATCGTTATTGATTGATCGTTCTGAAAATAGACCAAGTCTTTGAAGGGTTTAGGTTTGCTTTACAGTTCATCTACTTTTTAGTGACAATACCCATTTGATAGTTGGATTTTGGATAGTTAAATGCAGTGGTCTTAAGCCATTCTTTTAGGCAATTTCCCCAAAACACAAATCTTCTCATGGATCCGTTTCTTTGGGTCAACAAATACCCGATTGGTCTGAAGTGACTTTGAGAGGAAAGCCGAAAATTCTTGAGATCCTGCTTGCAGTGGATGGACCTGTGGTAAGATGTTAGAAATTGAATTTAAAGAATTTAACACGTTGACGACATTGTCACCTGATGCTGTCTGACACATATTCGTTCGCCTGGGACATTGTCACCTGATGTCAGGTGACATTTTGTTCCATGCGATTGTTTATGCAAAAACGCCATTGTCGTCAACGTGTTAAAATTTATAGCATTCTATCGAATGCTGAAAGTCGACTAATAAACACTTCTGATTTCAGGCCAGATACTACGGTAACAATCGGGATAAGATCAGAGATGGAGTGCTCTCTTTGCTGCATGGAGTGAATCAGGTTTTCAATTCAAAAAAATCTTTAATGTCTCTCTTTAGTACTTGCATCAGCTTCAAATCCAATTGCTGATTGTTGACTTGCGAGTGGCAAATGGATATAATTTGACACTTGAGGATTTCAAGAATTGGAGAGAAGAAGAGGAGGATTTGGTGAGGAAATGGACAAGAGTTAAAAGATAAAAATATCTAGCTATTATATTGTATAGGTTATTGAATATAAATCCATCAATTTCCAGCCACAACACGATTTGGCGATGCTATTGAGACTGCGGTATGATGGAGGGATTGCTTCAGTGGATGGAGTCTGTACAAGGGAAGGCATCGGAATCTCGGGGGTAGTGTTACAAAAATCAGATTTTCCTATGCAGATTTTCAGTTCTTTCCTGAAGCCCCTCATGAATATGCATCGGTTTTTGTGCACGAAGTGGCTCATTTACTGGGATTGGCTCATGATACTCGGGTGAATTGTCGATGCTCGAGTGGAAAGAAAGGATGTCTGAAGATTGAGTAAGTTTTGAGTTTTAGAATTTAGTCGAATTTCGTTTTTCATCCATCAGAAAAACACTTGAATCAAATTGTATATCTTTTTTTGAAAGCTTTTTTTACTTGTCAATGTTTCAGAGGCTTTGATGACTGCTCCGCTCAGGCGCTAGTGGAAATGAGTGAGAAGAAGAGTTGTTTACAAGAGACAAACGATCACCCATTGAGCATACCGATGTGTGGGAATGGGATTGTTGAATTGGGAGAACAATGTGATTGTGGACCGGCTAAGTGAGCTATGAAAAGTTTATTGAACCATTCTTTTATTCAAAGTTGAAAGTTTATTGAACTTAAACCATTCACTTCATCAATTTCCTTAAAAAGACTTTCAGCAGCTTTCTAAAAATAAAAATCGATTTAATTTTTATCAAAATTTAAAAATCTGCTTTGTTTTTTCACTTGAACAATGAAACTTTTGGACTTAATGATACAAATTAATCAATTTCTATTTTTTATAGTCTAGTTAAAACACCTGTTATTCTCACAAATTTCGGCGTCACTTTTGCAAAACCGAAAAACATCAAACAGACTTTCAGCAGCTTTCCAAAAATAAAAATCGATTCATTTGTATCAAAAATTAAAAATCTGCTTTGTTTTTCACTTCAACAATGAAACATCAAACGTTTTTTTTTCTAATTGTATAAAGTTAAAAACAATTCAGACATTGTCGAAATTTGTTGTGCGATTCGCAGAGTTGTCAATATCGTCTCTCAAAGGAAATCCTCTACTTGATCGCGTTTTTTCTCTTCGCAATCATTGGAGCGATTGGGTATTGCTTTTTGAGGTTTGTTAAAGCTAAGACAACTTGATTGATCTCAAGACAACTTGAGACAACAGCTTGTCTTTTCTAAGCCTTTCTTTTTCTAAGTCTTTTCAAATTTTAACTTTGCAGAATTTTGCCAGCTTGGAAAGCTTTAAAAAGTTAAAATATCAAATCGTTTCTTATTTTTTAGAAGTCTCTGCTCTCGTCTAATGAACATCACCAAAAAGTCAAAAAGGTTTGTTCTAAAACTTGTTTTTTGGCTTTTAAATCTTGAGAAATCTCTAGTTTTCAATGATTCGATATTTTCCCACATTCGTTCACACTTTTGGAGAGAATTTGTAGCCCTCAACTTTTTGCATTTTTCAAAAAAAATGGGAACATTTTCACAAATTTTTCTGATTAAAGCATAGAAATTGTCATTGTTGTTTTAGAAAAGCTCTTCCAAATTTTCAACCATTCGTCGTGAGCTCTGTCTCATCACAAGCCGATTTTAAATCATCGGTTTTAACAAACTCATCGACAAGGATGTTGATCAAAACCGGCAGCGAGGATAGTGCATCGAGTACCGCTAAATTGTTGCCCGATTTCTCGAGGAATCGATTAAGTTTGTTTATTCAGAAAGAATTCTAATTAGAAAACTAAATTAGAAAGTAGGCAGACTCAAATCTTTGTCATTTTAATTTTATTAGAAGCTTGGGATTTTATTAGAAGCTATAAATTTTATTTTATTAGAAGCAGAATTAGAAGCTTGGGCTTCTAATTCTTAAAAATTTTGTTGGTGAAACTTTTGGTCTTTTCTATAAGTTAAAGACACGAGAAAATTATTCTTTCAAAACTTTAATGATTCAAACTAAATCCTATTCAGATCGTGATTCAAAAAGCCGTTCTCGTCGCACCGAAAATCTCATCCATTTGGACTCGGAGATTCCAATAGTCGACCCAGTGAATCACTCGGATTACGTGAAAATGCATCCAGCCAAGTTTCATTTGGGATCGGCAACGGATCAACACGAATATTTGTCACCGAAATCAACAAGTAATCGAAAGGCTTTTCGACATAAATGAATCGATTTAGCTCTACCAAAAATTCGCTCAGCCTCATTGCAGAGGGGAGAGAATGCACAGATGAATCGATCACCGATCATCCCTTTACGTGTCGCTCCACCACCACCAAATCAGGTAGAAAATAGATCAATTGTAAAGTTGAAAGCTGTAAAATTCTCAAAAAAAACCTATACAGTTGCAATTTTAGTCAAGACGAGCCTCCCGCTCGTTCAGCCATTTACCGGGTCTGCCCGCTTCATTGAGTGCTTCCTACGGTGAAGCAACGGCAGCTGTTCTTCGTGATCTTCGATCTTCTCGTATTTATGACATTCCCGCTTCATTTATTAGTCAACAATCATTCGATGAACCACCAGCAATTCCTCCAAAAAAAAGTCTAGCTGGACTGGCTGTTTGAGTCATTTTGTGTAGATTCTTTAGCCAAATTTCTCATTGATTATCAAAACTCTTTAGTTTCAGGTCAATGTACATATTTTTAGATTATTAAGACCTTATTTTCTTCTTTGTGATAAACTTCCCCCTTTTGTCCCTTTCTCTCTGTATTACCCCTTTCTCTCTCAATTCATTGCATTCCTTTACAATAAACGGTCACACTGAGTGCCAATTTGACAAAAGCACACTTTAGCAAATGTTAAACGCGACTTCAAAACCAACTAATTTGATAGTTTTCTTTACGCAAGAGAATAAATTTGGAGTTATATGGTGAGCTTAAAACTTCTTAAAAAAATACCGTAGTCGACAAAGTCGGTTTTTAAAAGACGCTAGATTTGACTTTTGAAAAGTATAAAAGCAAAATGCAAAAAAATTGGGAGGCGTTTTTCATTTTTGGGATAGGCTAATTTCCGCCATTTTATTTGTGCAACAGGGTTATTTGTCGACTTTATGATTTTGGTTTCATTTTATTGCACTTATTGAGATCTACAAAATCAAACCAAAATCATAAAGATTGGCCGACTTAGAAGAAAGTTATGGCGAGTTGCGCAAACGATCCAGTTGCGCAAATGACTCTGTTGCGCAAATAAAATGGCGGAAATTAGCCTATCCCTCATTTTTCTCACTGGTTGGCGCTATCTAAATTCAGAAATGAGAAGTTCAAAAATATCCAAATTAAGAAATTTTTTTGCAGAAATGCCGAAATTAAGAAATTTTGGCACTATACTAGTCGGGGGGGGGCAGCTATATTTTTGAGATCTTTGCTTTTTAAAAAGTCACTTTTTGACTTCAAAAGGTTTGGTCATCGCATTTCTGAACGTAAATTTATGAATTTAAGTAGGGCCACTTTGTTGCCATTAGTTTGTCACACTATTTTAGATAATTGTTAATTTTTTTGATTTAGCTTTATGCCACGTGGTGATTCGACAACTCGGCGACGATCAGCGCCCATGAAAGCTCCGGAAGAATTGGAAACAAAAGAAGTCCACGGGATGACGCTTCGATCGGGCACCCACTCAAACAATAGCCCTTCATCGAGTAAGGGATTTGATCTTTTTTGAATAGGTTGAGAAGGTTATTGAGTGGGTATTGGCATTAAACGAAGAATCGTCTCTTTTTTGAACATTTGCTAGAAAAACTACCGTTTAGCAAGTTTAAAAGCTTCGTCTTAAAAAGTTAAGGACAAAATTTGGCGGCAAAGCTTGTACCAATAGAGGATAAACTACAATCCGGATGGTTTAGATTCAAGGTAAAAACATGCCATTTTTAAAATGAAAGCCATTTTTTATAGTTTTTGCTGCTAAGCACTTAGTGTTAGTGCAGTTTCTTGCTGGCTCTGAGGCTTTAACTTTTATTTACTTCAGGTAATTCACAAGCGGAACGCGGTCGAAGATCAGATCCTTTCCCGAAAAGATCACCGGCCGTATCGCCCAATCGATTTGCGAATAAAGCCCCAACTCTACAATACATGTTTGTGACCGACCGGAATCAGCAAAGGGACATTGGATGGTTAGTTTATTTTAAAACCTACTTAGAGCTAATAAAACATGGAATCCTTAACGTGCTTATTATATTCAAGTTTTATCTTAGGCTCAATGACATCCCGGTTTATAACGATGAGACGAATTTGGAAAATTCCAATGCTCCGTATCCAGAAGAGGATGTTATGCCTGGTGCAGAATATTTGGGAGAAGAACGTACGATACACAGACCTTCTCTCATTCATATCAATAATTATGCACCAGTCGATTATTTTGAGACCTTCTACAAACTGCTCGGCAATTTAATCAACCCTAATCAGTTAGTTTTCAATTAATATTATTATGGAAAGTTTACTCATGTTTTGTTAACTTGTTGGATCAATCAGCTGAACGTAGACGTTCTAGCTAACTATGGATACTTTAGTTATTCTTGTTACACTCAAAAATGTTTTCTTTTTTATATTATATCGATATCTCACCGGCTTTGTGATTCTCTTCTTTGCCATCTACGCATATTTCTACTTCCCAAACAACACAAAAACGGTTTCCGGTTTGGAGGATTATCGGATTAAACTTATGGTACTTATTCTATCCTGTGGCAATCAGACTAAATTTTTAGGATTTATCAAGGGAGTATAAGCTCGATCAGAAAGAAATGGCGGTGATTGGCGGTAAGTTTTGTGACTAGATAAAGCAGAAAAATAAGGTCATAAGTTAATGTAAAATTGAAGGATGACATTCGTATATTTAGTATTGTTTACTTTAGAGATGCTGCCAATTTGGGCTCGTGGTGGAACGATGAATCCGATGGTTATTGTGCTTTATGGACAAGATGAGAAATTAAATGCCTTTTATGAAAAGGTTTGTTTTATTTGCATTTTACCTTTGTGGCTGACAATTTGGATCAAATATGATTATTTAGGTGCTGAGGTGGACATCGAACGTCACTCGTCAAAGGATAGCAAGCGGATTTTATTGTTCGGGTAATTACAATTACAATTCAACTTTAGTATTGCTTTGCGTGAATTGGTCATCAAAATGTTAGTCATTCTTTGTGAACCTTTTTAAATTAAAGATCTTTTTAGAAACGACATCAAGAGCTCAACTTCACAAATACTTCGAAGATTCTCTTGGTGGAAAAAGCGGCCCCGTTTTTGCTGCTGTTCGTCATTTGCAAGAGCTAAGGTGGTCTTTAATAGGTTTAATGCATTTGATAAGTTGATATGTGGCTTATAAATTCCAGAAGTAGTGGAATTTTAATTGTAAGATGTAAGCATTGATTTTAACGATTGAAAACCAGATAAAACCAACACCTAAACCTCCAGCAGGCTAGAATGACATCAATACGGATTGTTTGTTTGGAAAATCATTAAGAAATGCAACATAACCCCAGTCTAAATCTCTAGTAAAGTGACATCATGTTTGTTGTTTAGATGGGATGCACCGGTGGCTCTTCATGCATGGGCGGATGATGGACATCGTTTAGCTGATCACATTTTTATTCTTTTGGGAATCGATGGACCACCAATTGTAGGAGACTGTGAAGTGAGCGTGACGAAGTGAGTTCTTGAATCAACAAATAAGGCCTAGCTAAGGTGTTTTAGTATATCATAGAAAATTGGCTAATATGTCAACTATCTATCAGAGTCTAAAATTGCATCATAAATAAATATAAATCGCCCTTTAAAACCTTTTCTCAATAAAGTTCAAATTCAGTGCTCTATCCGCGCAGTGGATCAAACAAGGCGGCAATGCGGATGCGATTCCTCCAATTGTACACTCAAGAATGCATTACTTCATTTGTCTTTGATCAATGAATTGTTTTTTTTTGTTCATGGGTTTATACTTGTTTCCTTTTTCTTACGAGTACTCTAATTCTATTCTTGCTTAATTCATCGGTTCGAAATTTCTTATCTTTATCTTTTTACGCGTTTATTACTTGTTTTATTTATAGTGAATGTTTAGAATACAATTGTCCAGTTAAAATAAAGGATTGTTATAATACAATTTGCAAGCTTTGATTGTTTAAATACAATGTGATTTTTGGTAAACTGTCCAAGTTTATTTAACGGTTAAACAATGGATCGGTCGGGAATTGGCTGTATTCCCATAGGTTGGACGGATTTTGTAGGTCTTTGAATCGGTCATTCAAAAAACATTGAACGGGCGAGAAGAAACAATTTCGCTCGAGTTTGTGTTGATAACTAAAATTTTGTTTGGTTGTCATCGGGTAAACTTCTGTACAGTAGTTATTAAATGCTCACCTGAGAACTGAATATTCTCGCCTCTCTTTCCTTGCCAAATAACAATTCCCAAAAAGAATAAAAGTTAGGACAAAAGTTAGAATCATCTCGCGAATTCTCAATAGGCCAAGTGTCATTTTGAATGAGATGCACATTTAGAGATTGAACCGGTCTACATAATTCCCCGCCAAAGTCATGGGGCACTTTTCATGAAGATTATATCCGTTTATCCCCCTTCTGATGATTTAGGTACTTTTTTAAATCTTGATGCAGATTAAAGTGACTGTTTATGCAAGCAAACCAGCCTGTTGGGATTAAAAAACGGCACTTATTCTTTTGGCTTACCGATTTAATTATCCCCCAAAAAAATTGCATTTGATTTCGCTGGATACGGTAGGCAAAACGGATTTAAAGTTTTTGTTCAAAATCTGATTTAAGTAGTCATCACTGGATTTTATTTTTTTTTGCGTCACTTGCTGCTATTTTCAAAGCCTCTCAAGAAAATTGCAAATTTTGGATAGATCGGGGTTGATCACGGGGTTAAGCCGTTGGAATATTGAATTCGTGAGCTTTTCTGAGAATAGTTATCGTGTTTTGAATAAGTTTCCATTTGAAACATTAAAACTTGAAGAATTATGAAACTATTTTGGTGGGCAAAGTGTATCATTCGTAAAGCAATAGTTGAGCATAAGTCACTCTTGAGAGAACTTGTCAGTCTTTATGATTTGTGTCAAGCGTATTTACAGAACTAGATTTTCTTTTTTCAGATCTCAATCACCTCATCGGCAATTGTTGTGCGAGCAGAGAACGAGCAGCCGTAGTTTGGAACAGGCGAGAAGAGAAGTGGAGTGTGATCGAGAGGAACGATAAGAGAAACAAGCAGACGCCCGCCGAAAAGAGGACATGTTCGCCTATGCTCGCTTCTTTCGCGATTACGTGAGGGCAATCGGAAACTATTGGTTTGCGTCCACCGTCCACAAAGCCATGCCTACGCTTACGCCGATTGAACCATTTACGAAGGTTTGTATTTTTTAAGTTCTGAATTTATATTGGTACTTTCGCTGTTTTCGTGTCTTAAAATACAAGATTCTTTTGGACTTTGGATGCTCTAAAGTAAAAATTTAGTAAGAGATTTTAGCATAGTTTGTGAATAGTCTCTGAATTACGCACAAAAGTTTCTTTTTAGATTACCCCGTTGGTGACACGCGTCCTTGGTCAAAATCCCGGTCCATTCACACTTCAAGGGACGAACACTTATCTCGTCGGAAGTGGAGAAGAGTGAGTTTTTTATTTTCTATTACAATTAAAAACTTTGAAGTTTGAATTCATTGGTTCTTCTATTAGGAAAATTCTCATCGATGCCGGCGAGCCGAACATTGAGGCGTATACAAATTTGTTAGGATCGACACTTACGGTAAATTTTAGTGACACAGCTTGTCTATCTTTCTTTTTAGGGTTCCCGTATCGTTGCCGTAATCATCACTCATTGGCATCACGACCACGTTGGAGGACTTAATGACGTTTTCACGAAGGTATCATTTATTTACTATCTTAGAAGTATGAAATGACTGAATTATTAGCATCTAAAGCTATGAATGAATGAATCAGTTAGGTTTATGTATTATTTGGAATAGCAAAATGATTTAGGTAATTGGATCAAAAGTGCCGGTGTACAAGATTAAGCGAGAAGGCTTCAATGAAGGATCGGATATTCAATTTGTCGAAGATGGGCACGAGGTGACGGTTCCTGGAGCGACTGTTCGGTAAGTGTCTTTGGCCTTCAAAAGTTACATTGGAAACATATTGATATTAAGTAAATGAATATTTGTTAGCATATAAATTCTCCAATTTCTCTTTTTAGATTTGTTGCTACACCGGGACACACCGCCGATCACGCATCTCTATGGCTTGAAGAAGAAAAGGCGATTTTTGCGGTTGGGTTTATTTTGAGAAAAGATTTTTCTAACTTGAAAGACTTTAAAATGTAGCTAGCTAGCTTTTAAAACTTTTCATACTTAATACATTTGAATTTTTAGGGTGATTGCATTCTTGGCGAGGGAACGTCCGTGTTCGAGTGTCTCCACGAATACATGAAAAGTCTAGAGAAGTTAAAGGGTCTCAACCCCGAAGTGATATACCCAGGTTATTTTTTAATTAATTAGCACTTAAATTTGCTTTATAATTTTGTAAGCAAATCGTTTTTAGGACATGGTCCCGTTGTAAGCGATCCATTCGCGAAGATCACCGAATACATCACTCATCGAATGAAAAGAGAAACGGAGATCATCGAATTTATGAGCAGTGGAGAGGAAAGAACGAGTATGGACATCACGAATGCCGTATATTCGGTAATCTTTGATTGTTTTTTGATATTTTAGCTATTGGATTCCAAACTTTTGAATTTAGAATACCCCAGCATCCGTGATGATCGCCGCTCTCAACAACGTACGTCTTCACCTCAACAAGCTGGTCAAAGATGGAAAAGTGGAGAAGACCGGCTTCGAAATGTACAGATTTATGCCAACAAGCAAACAGTAACTTTTCATTTTTGTGTGATTCGATTTTGCTACATATTTGTTGCTTGCTTTAAGATTGTATCTTTATTTTTTGTCTAGATTTGCCTCAAGTTTTTTGTTTTTTTATATACGGGTTTGTTGAGTAAAATTGGTGATAGTTTTGAACGGTATGCTTAACCGAACCGAACCGAAGGTTTTTAGTGTTCGACATACACTTGAAAGAACAAATTGCAACAGCAGTAAACCAGAGGGGGGTACATAATAGTAATAGGATAAACCGCTCTTCTCACCATATAAGGCACTAACGCACAATCAGAAATAATTTTTGAAGGCACCACCTGGGTTCGGAAACAAGAAACCTAAATATTTTAACATTACTCTACCAGATCGACTTTGTTTTTGAGCGAAAGACGCTGTGCGGCGGCGTAATCGCTCGAATTTAATCTTGACGCTTTGATAAAATTTCTAGAATAAGCCACAATGAGTCACATGTTTTGAGTCATTTTGCATGCTCGTGAACAGATAATTCGATCTTGAAAAGGCGAAATATTGTTGTTTTTCACACAAATTCTATATCTGAGCTGATCCTTAAATCGAGACATTCGATCACCAAAATCTGCAATTCATTTAGCAGATTCTTATTTTGAGATTTCTTCAGAAGTTTCGGTCGTATAATGTGCAGTAAATTGAAAGGTCCAAAAAAAGGTGTTTGGCATTCTTCTTGATTCCAGTTCTGGCAAACATAGCTTTAAGCTCATTGCTTCAAGGCTAATATCTAAATTAGTCATTTCTGGGTAATTTTCAGAATCAAACTCCATTGGCATAAAACGAAGAAGAGTCGTTTGTGTCAAAGTGTCAAGTCGATTGTGTCAAATGGTGGCTGGAATGAGACGCTCACAAATGAGAATAATGCATTTGACGATTGACATTTCATTGTAGACAAAATGTTTAGCCATTGTATAATTGGATCAGAAAGTCGAGAAAAGTCGCAAGATTCCAGTAAATCACTGAAACAAAAGATTTTTTGGCCCCTAGGGCCTTCCAAAAATTGCGCTGACACCCATATTTCAGGGCAGAAAGCGACGGGTAATTGGTATCAGTTTTCAACCAGCAATAAACGCACCTCGGCTAGGCCTCATTGGTCACGTTATCGCCTCTGCGCAAAGCTGATTTCAGGGGGGAAAGGGAAGGGTATAGGGGAAAGGGCTTGTGCCAGAAAGCGAGTGATTACGCCGTCGCACCGAGAACGCTTGGCTAGTACACAGACCTTTTACTGGTAAAAGGAAAAGAGCATTCTATTACAATAATCTTCCATCTAGCTTCATATTTTGTAGTTTTCTAAAATAAGTTGTTTTTAGAAAATGGATTAGAGAGGAATCACTCTACTCACCTCCACATACGGACAGGTCTATGTAGTCGTTCTCATAACTTGCCATGACTCTGTTTTGAAAGCTAAATTTAGTCTAGCTGTTTTTCAACAGGTTTAGAATAGGAAATGGAAAAGAGGTGAACATCAGTTTTTTTCAAAACTCCTTTGTTAGTTGAAAATTTTGGTGCCAATTTTGATGGTCTATTGTGAAAAGAGCAACCAACAAGGGAGGAAAGGAAGGGGTATAAGGAAAGGGACTATGCCAGAAAGATAAAGAACGCTCAAAGGAGCCACCACATTATGCTGGGGCCTTAGTTATTAAGACTGACTCTTAGCTAGCTATTACAGGTGACAATCGAGACTAACATCGATTACGACAGTTCTCGAAAATACAGTACCGAACAAAAATATATGAAGCTCCGGTTTTTTTTGCCCAACTTTGAAGCACTATAACCGAGAACTGTAGATTGGAGTCTATAAGTGTTATAGTGCTTCTGAAAGTTTGAAACGAGATCTGAATGCTTGTCATTTGAGAAGGGATAATAATTCTTGATGAATTGAAGCTGTGAAAGCTTCCAATTTCAATTTGTCCCGCTTTTTCAAGGGGACTTCCAAAAATTCATTGATACTCATAATTGTTCGTCTGCACGGAAATCTTTAGTAAAAGGCGAAAGATTTTCTCGGTCAAATGCAGACGAACCAGAGATAGGAGAAGGGGGAAGGGAAGGGATATAAGGGAAAGGAGTATGCCAGAAAGAGAGCGATTAGAACGCGCGCAAAGAACGCTCAAAGGACCACTTAACAAGTTTATTACCAACATTTTCACAATTACGTTTTTTATTATAAAGAGCGTTCTAGTTTTCGCGCATTCGGGAAGCATTAGCAACAGTGGAAGGTCACTAGAGTGGCACTAAATTTCTTTGAAAGTTGCACTTGGCTAGAATTCTAAACTAGGTCGATATTTCGAATTGCTTATTTTGAAATTTTGGCCACATAATGCGCAGTAAACACAATTAGTAAAACTGATTAAAACCGACAACGCAAGATTGTCAAAGCATTGATTTCCTCTCAACTCGGGAATGAGAACAATGCATTGCCTGGGGTAACACTAATGCACTAATATCAAAAGGCTCTTTGCGTGTTCGATTTGTTCTGGGTGCGATGGCGTAATCACTCGCTTTCTGGCACACACCCTTCCCCTATACCCTTCCCTTTCCTCCCTCAAATCAGCTTTGCGCAGAGGCGATAACGTGACCAATGAGGCCTAGCCGAGGTGCGTTTATTGCTGGTTGAAAACTGATACCAATTACCCGTCGCTTTCTGCCCTGAAATATGGGTGTCAGCGCAATTTTTGGAAGGCCCTAGGGGCCAAAAAGTGCTTTTATTTCAGAGTTTTGTGGGAATCTTTGTGTGAGTTTTCTGGACTTTCTGATCCAATTATACATTTTGTCTACAATGAATGGTGAATTGAAGACACAAATTTATTAGCTCAAGGCTGTGAAATGGACAGAATTGGTGATTTGAGACAGACACATGAATAACTTATTGTGAGATAAAAAAAGTTTTAAAATTAATATTTTCTGATTTTGTGAATCTACGATCGATCGTGCGCTATAACACAAGTTCAGAAAATTCACACAAATCTCTTACATAAAAGCACCCAATAGGTAACGGTCGAACTTTGGATAGCATCAGCATCCTTGCAAATTTTGTCCCGCTTTTGCAAGGGGACTTCCAAAAATTGACATATACTCATAATTGTTCGTCTGCACGGAAATCTTTAGTAAAAGGCGAAAGATTTTCTCGGTCAAATGCAGACGAACCAGAGACAGGGAGGGGAGGAAAGGAAGGGGTATAAGGAAAAGGAGTATGCCAGAAAGAGAGCGATTACGGGTCGGAACAAAGAACGCTCCCAGGAGCTACCACATTATACTTGGGCCTTGGCTATTAAGACTGACTCTTAACTAGCTATTACAGGTGACAATTGAAAGAGTTCTCGAAAATACAGTACTGAAGAAGTTCCGGTTTTATTCCCCAACTTTGAAGCACTATAAATCGAGAACTATAGATTGGAGTCTATAAGTGATTCTGAAAGTTTGAAACAAGTTCTGAATGCTTTTTGAAAAACAAAATAAACCTTGAATTTCATTTTTATGAAAAGAAGTTTATTGGAAAACCATTTTATACCTTATCTTTTTTGTTTAGATGCAAAAATTAATTTATTTTTGGGAATTTTCTTGTCAAAATTTTAGATGCACTGAAATGAAATTTGTGCTTTATTTTGGGGAAATCAAGCACGCTTTTCATAAAAGATTTATTACAATTTACATCATTAAACTATAAAAATGGAAACTAAGTTATGAAAAAATCAAATCTTTTGTAAGACAGACACTAAAAAGTCGCTTTTTCTTTAGAAAACTCTCAAAATTGAGGCAATAATTAGAAACAGAGCAAAGAAAAGCTTCGTTTCTTTGACGGAGTTGCACAAATTCCCCTCACAACAATACCTTGTCCATTTCACATCTTTCCGCGTTTGTGGATCTTGGACTTTCACCGTATCCTTGCCCGCGCTCTGAAAGGATTCAATTATAAGGGACCGCACAACGTTTTGTGGTTTTGTGTATTTTCTTAATTTATAGTATGATTATTAAAATTCACATTAGTATGATTGTTTCAGGAATGGTGAAAGCGTCTCCAACGACAATCGACCTGAACCTTCCGATTTCATCTCGTTTCTGGTGGCCACCCCCACCCGATCTTAATCCATTGAATTACCTGTCTGGGGTCTTGAAGCAGGGTATGAAAACCACAAAAATATCGAAAGTTTGAAGAAGGCGCCATCAAAGCATGGGATACCCCGATGAGCCGGCAACGCGTTGCAGGCCGCTGAATGCCGATGGAGGCAAATTTTAATTAATTGTTATTTTGTTACTCTTATATGTTGAAGAAAGATTTTAAGTTAACTTTTCGAGTGGATTGCATATTTGGTTAGCTGGCCTTTCTGTGTTGCGGTAATTTTGGCACCCAGTATTATAGGCAATCAATGTCCAGGAGTTATCTCAACTTCCAGAAAATCGAGTTTACTTTAGGTTTTATAAACTATTAGCAACTATTTAAACCCTTTAAACTATCCATATCCCATTATCAGAAAGGATTCAGGTATAGAAAGTCCTCTAGTTTACCCTTTAGATTAATAAATTGCCTCTAGTCCTCTGCTTTCTAAATTTATACATTATTTTGAGAATGAAGAACACGCTTTTACCATCAGAAATTTATATGAGTAAACTGTAGAGATGGATTTGCATATACAGTAACTTATAGCTCATTTGCAAATCTTTGAAAAACATACATTACAAACAAAAGCATTTTTCGGATCATCATCACATCCACAATCCCATCCAATTGCTGCCGCTGTGCCGACCTAAATAAAAAATAATATGTATGAAAACAAAAAAAACCAAGTTTTTTTGATTGTTTTCTTTACCTTGCCAACAGATTTTATACAGAAATTGCAATCGTCACCACACTCGGTTGTGTCTTTCTAAATTTGTAACAATCAAAATCGCTAACTAATTAAATTTTCACCTCTAGCGTATGAGAATTTCCCTTTCCCAGACGTTCATCATAGTAACATTGAATAGACAAAGAAACACCAATTAAAGCGCAAAAAATGAGAGCATTTTTAAACATGATTTATGAAGACAAAGGGAAAAATAGTCTAGTAGCTTAAAAAGTGAAATGCGCTCAAAGCTATCAAAAGCTATCAAAGTGATAAAAATTAATGCTATTAAGAAAAGGAAAGGATTTAAAATGCTGAGCGGATGCGTTTCGAGATAAAATTTTATGGATCGAAGAATTCTTTGTGAAAATTTGCACTCAAATATCAAAGCTTTCAGTGTGAATGGAAGTTTGGGCCAAAAAAATTCTCATACGCTTGTTTCCAGGACTTGATCCGGATAGATTCAAAAGTGATCAAAACGATAAATTTACCCAGATCCAAATTTTGAGTCTAGTAAAATTGTCGAACTTATCAACTACTGAATTTGTCGATGATCAACTTTAGATTCGAATCAACTGAGCTCAAGGAAAGTCTGAAAAGCTCACAGAGCACATTTAGGAGATTCTGATCCTTAGCTTTACAACTTTGTGCATTTTCAAATAGCTACAAGTGACGACTTTTCAACTTTTATTACATTTACTGACCTGTAATTACTGTCTTGTATCAATCCACAATGAAATTGGAAGAAACAATGAGAGCAAAAGAAGAGAAATCCCCAAAATTCCGCAAAATCCGAGCACCAAATAGCAACACCATTTTTGATTGACTTTGCGAGACTGAAATTTGAGTTGAAAATTGACGAATCAGATTATTGTTATTGTTATTATTATTACGCTCACTCTAGTACAGCATGTTTCTTCAATCACTTCTTTTTCTTATTCTTTTACAACATCAAGCTGGATCTTGCTTTTTGGCATTAAAAGGTCTGTTCTCTTTGTGTAGCCAGATGCTCTCTGTGCGGCGGCGCAACCACTCACTTTCTGGCACACAGCCTCCCCGCATATGGCCACCATTCCCTTCCCTAATCAGCTTTGCGCAGGGGCGATAACGTGACCAATGAGGCTTAGCCGAGGTGCGTTTATTGCTGGTTGAAAACTGATACCAATTACCCGTCGCTTTCTGCCCTGAAATATGGGTGTCAGCGCAATTTTTGGAAGGCCCTAGGGGCCAAAAAATCTTTTGTTTCAGTGATTTACTGGAATCTTGCGAGTTTTCTGTACATTCTGATCCAATGATACATTTTGTCTACAATGAAATGTGAATTCAAGACACAAATTTATTAGCTCAAGGCTGTGAAATGGACGGAATTGGCAATTTGACACAGACAAAAGAGAACCATTGTGACTGTTGCTTACACAATTCTAACTTCCATTGTTGATCTTTTGCATCCAGATACGCACAATCACTTTGAGTGTCATCTAAAAAATGGGTATTCAAGGTGTTATGTATCAGAAATGCTCACTTGTTTGCGCGAATCGTTGAAAATCGAATGGAGTCCCGTCAGTCCATTTCCATTGTCCATCAGCACCTTTTTGAGCTCCAAGCCACCATCGAGTGTCTCCAGTTATGTCTGAAACGAGGTTCCAAATTATGAACTCTAGAGAAATTCGAAGGTTTTTATATTTCAAATTTACTTACTTGCAAAGATTTGTGCATAGAGGGCATTCTCGTATCCACTGTGAATCGAAGGCAAATTTCCGGAAAGCTCTTGACTGCAATCGTCTTTTGCCCAACTCCATGGAGCTAAATGAATAAATGGAAAGGTTTCGAATGAGAATTCTTATATTTCGGACAGTTTTCAACCTTTACTCAACTTTTCTCGATCCTCAACAGATTTTTGAAGCAAAAGTAATTTGGTCAAAGGATTTGACTATTCAAATATTGTACTGGATCTCGAAAAGATTTGATTGAGAAGCTTGAAAGGTATTCTTATTGATTTTTAATAACTTTATCAAATCGAACGGACCATAGGCTTTCAGCCAACGCCAACAAATCTTCAAATCAGCTTGGTATGTGTAAGTAGGCGAACATTTCGGATCGGCCGCAAGAAGGAATGGAATCAAAAGCAAACCGAGCAGTGATTTCATTTTCGAGAAAATAAGAAATCAATCTTGAATGCTTGTTCACCCAACAAGGAAAAGGTTTGCGCTTTGATTTCGCGATAAAAAATTATGGACGAAAAGGAGGGGACGAAAAGGAGGACACTTCTGTCATACTTTTCTCTAAAGTACAGACAAAATTCTGCACAATCAGGGAAAGTGAAATTATGTTTTTTATACTTTTTGTTGGGTAGATACTAGCATAAGCAGAATTCTCGAAAATTTTTGAACATTTCGTGAAGCTTTTGATCAAAAATAGGTATTTTGAGGGTGTCACTCTTCCGAAACAAAGCCAATTTTCGTTCACCTTCTGTGGTCAAAAGAAATAGCACGCATTGTAATTAGAATTTGTACAGAACACTTCTAATTCCGGGCTACAGGGTGGCTGGAGGCAAAAACTGAAGCTATATTCAGATGCCAACGAAAAACAGCATAATAAAAGTCATTTAAAAAACTCTGAAATGCTTTGTGCAAAGAGAGAGATTTCCTTTCCAATGAACTCTTGGCTTTTTGGCATTGTAAACATTTTTTCTTAGATAATTTCAGCTTTTTAAACTTATTATTAATATTAAAATCCGAAACAGAAGCTTTTTTGACTACAATTGAAATGACCTGTTTCTATTTGTTCAGTTTAAATTTAATCATATCTATTTTTACGTAAATGTTTAACTTTATTGTCAACCTTTCTTTCTACTGTGTCAAAATTATAAATAACTTTTCCCTTTTGCTTTTGTTTTCGTTTCAGCTTGTCAAGCTCAGTGGAACCTGTTTCAAATTGAATTGAATTTATTCGTTTAGTTAAAAAATTGTTCTTGGTGAACTTGTTATTTTTGGAAAATGGATATGAAATCTCTTAGTTTTATATAACTTATTCAACGATTACTTTAATCAAAGGTACAAATCTATTCACTTTATGGATAGTCATTAGTTTTATCAGCATCAGCAAGCACAGATGGCAGATGCTGAACGCGAGCCTAGAGCAAGTTAAGTCCTCGATCAGCCTTTGCGCCTTTGAGTCATAAATCATGGTCATCAAAATCATTTGCAGACATTCTAAAGTGTAAATAGATATTACTGTATTAGAGTGCCATCTTGCTTTTGCGTATTAAAAGATCTGTTCTCTTTGTGTAACCAGATGCTCTCTGTGCGGCAGCGTAATCACGCGCTTTCTGGCACACGCCCTTTCCCTATACCCTTCCCTTTCCTTCATGAAATCAGCTTTGCGCAGGGGCGATAACGTGACCAATGAGGCTTAGCCGAGGTGCGTTTATTGCTGGTTGAAAACTGATACCAATTACCCGTCGCTTTCTGCCCTGAAATATGGGTGTCAGCGCAATTTTTGGAAGGCCCTAGGGGCCAAAAAATCTTTTGTTTCAGTGATTTACTGGAATGTTGTGAGTTTTCTGTACATTCTGATCCAATTATACATTTTGTCTACAATGAAATGTGAATTCAATCGACGGAATTGGCAATTTGACACAGACAAAAGAGAACCCTTGTTCCAAAGCCCTAGGGGCCAAAAAAGGGTTTCATTTCGAGATTTGGTGAAAGCTTGACCCCAGTACAGAATAATCCAGATTAGAAAATCCAAAAAATTACAGAAAAGAGTAAACCTCCGAAATGAAACCCTTTCTGGCCCTTAGGGCCTTCCAAAAATTGCGCTGACACCCATATTTCAGGGCAGAAAGCGACGGGGAATTGGTATCAGTTTTCAACCAGCAATAAACGCACCTCGGCTAGGCCTCATTGGTCACGTTATCGCCTCTGCGCAAAGCTGATTTCAGGCAGGAAAGGGAAGGGTATAGGGAAATGGCGTGTGCCAGAAAGCGAGCGATTACACAGTTGCAGCGAGAACAAATCGAACCGCAAAGAGCCCTTTGATATTAGTGCATTAGTGATACCCCAGGCATTGTTGGCAATGCATTGCATGGTGCAATGCAATGCACCTTGCATTGTCTGTTTTAATCAGTTTTACTATTTGTTTACTGAACATTATGTGACCGAAACTCCTGAAGAAATCTCAAAATAAGAAATTCGAAATTTGCTCGATCAATATCGACCTAGTTTAGAATTCCTTTCAACTTTCAAAGAAAATTAATGTCCTTCAACTTAATGACCTTCAACTATAGTTAATGCTTCTCGAATAAGTGAAAACTAGAACGCTCTTCATAATAAAAAACCTAATTGTGAAAATGTTGATAAGAAACGAATGTGTTCTTGTTTAGATCAAGAGCAAGCTGACAGTTCATGTGCAATCGTTTACTGTGTTCTTGGATAATGTTCTTGCTTCCCGATACAAAGCTATTAATTTGCACAAACAAACAATTGCAGAGTGAAAAACGAAAAACAACCACAACGTCAGTTTGACACAAATTGTAAAATATTCCAGTGTGCCGAATACATCTCAATCTATTGTTGTACACTCGATGAAACTACCGAGAACTCGATCCACTCCCTCTTGAAATAAACAATGCACAAGAAAATCTCGATGCCAAGTTTACAGCCACAAAGCATTCCCAGAAAATACTATCGTTTCTTTTACGATATATTTTACTGTCTCTTGCGATATCCAGTGGAATTCCCTTTAGTGTCCTTCTATTTCTCCGTTCTTGGAACTTTTATTTTTTTGTTGAAAAATCTACTCGAATCTTTCCCGTTTTTCTGCCACCATAATTTTTTTTTGAAGTATTTGTTGAACTTGAAGAACTATTGCCAATCAATTTTCCCCAATTCACTACAGAAAGTATTTGCAAAAAATAGCATACACTTGTTAAGTGGCCCCTTGCAGGGTTCTTTGTGCACGGACGTAATCACTCGCTTTGTGGCAAAGCGCCTCAGCTTATAGCGAACCCTTCCCTCCCTTTTCACATCTCTGGTTCGTCTGCATTTGACCGGGAAAATCTTTCGCCTTTTACTAAAGATTTCCGTGCAGACGAACAATTATGAGTATTAACGAATTTTTGGAAGTCCCCTTGCAAAAGCGGGACAAAAATTGGTAAGATGACGGGCATTTGAAAGGCGTTAGATATTGTAATTCCAACAATTTTGCTCATACAAAAGGCTCATAAACGGCTTCTTTCTGACTTAAAGTTGAAAATCTGGGTGAAACAAACGGTTCCGTAAATTCTATTCAATGAAGGGACAAAAATTCACGGTTGCTCCCGTGGTTTTCGTCCAAGAATTGAATTGAACCATTTGCAAACCTCTATACCTAACTTCAAACTCATCGCTTCCACTATTCTTTTATTTTGTACCATGGTGTGATCAAGACGTAAGATTACTTAGAAATCAGATTCAAAGATATTCAAAGATTTTAAGTAGCAGAAGATTAGACTCTTAATGAACAAGTGCTCTTTGTGCGGGCGCGTAATCGCTCGCTTTCTGGCAAAGGGCTTCCAGGTATAGGGATCCCTTTCCCCTTTTCACATCTCTGGTTCGTCTGCATTTGACCGAGAAAATCTTTCGCCTTTTACTAAAGATTTCCGTGCAGACGAACAATTATGAGTATTAACGAATTTTTGGAGGTCTCCTTGCAAAAGCGGGACAAAAGTTGGTAAGATGACGGGCATTTGAAAGGCGTTAGATATTGTAATTCCAACAATTTTGCCAAAAACGAGTACTAGAAGTTTGCAGAAGATTGCAATGCTTTGGTTTCAAATCAAATAACAATAAAATTTTGGTCTCAACCGACAAGTCTTTGTGCCAAATATCTACTTCCACCAATATTCAAGCACTAAATCCATCAGTCTCAAATAAAGGATCACATCCGAACTGTAAAGTACTTGCTGTTTCTGCAAAGGGAAGAAAAATTTGTTTTCCGATGCCATTTTTCATGTCAGAGATTTCTTATCAACAATCGGAAGTCGAAACGCAAAAGTTTGCTCTTTGTTGGTTGCTCTTTTCACAATGGACCATCAAAATTGGCGCCATTTTCAACTAAAAAAGAAATCCATTTAAACATTTTAAAGCAAAATCAAATATAAAACATTAAAAGATAAAAAATATAAAAGAGGTGCCTGGTTTTACGGAGATTGGTGGATCTGAGTTGGGATAATTTTGATCTAACTTAAAATTTAAAGGGCTGCTTTCTTATGTATGTATTTCTAGCAAATGTACATCGGTCTTCACATGCAATTCATGGCATTCAAGTTCAACAAAAACAATTAAAAAGGTGATGGGAATCAAAGACAAAAATGAGCATAGAAATAGAAGCTGGAAAAGGCTCTTCGCATAGCCAAAACTCTATTTGTATTTTGTCGGTGATGTGCTTAAATTGTTGTTGCCTTTTATGGTTGGTTACTTAATCAATTTATGAAATCTCATTTAGTGGCATGATTTTCTTCATGACAAGAGACGAAATAATCATCTAGCATTACAGATGATCACTGTGAAATAAAGAAAAAGCATGAGAAGAAAAAGAAATGTTTCTTTCAGTGAAAAACTCTTCAAACACTCTTTGTTTCTTGAAGTAAAGTGAAAAGAAATTCAAGTTGTTTTTGGACAATGAATATCAGTGTTTAATGTTTTTTTTAAAACCAATCTACACACAAAAGTCGACTGAACACGTGAATAGACACATACAACAGGGAAAGAGTTTTAAAATAGCCTCTTTCCCCTGAGACAACAGGTGATTCGTATCTCTACTTTCATCCCTTTCATTCCTTATCTCTCAATGGTGAAAATGTTGATTCTTTGAACTGAAATCTTCCGGGGACAAGAGAAAAAAAAGACCATTTTCATTGCCAACTATTCATTTCGTCGAAAATGAAATCAAAATTGCCTCAATTGCGTCAACCATATGGATTTCGTCGCTCTTCTCGGAGCCCAGGTGGGGACTATAAATGGATCGCAAATCGTAACTTTTTCAAAGCTTTCAAAGCTTTCAAATCTTTCCATATTATTTCTTTTTAATATTGAACTTGTTTAGAAACATGTCGAACAGTGTTTATGATGTGATTGTGATTGGAGCCGGTATCGTGGGCTCGTGTACCGCGTATCACTGCTGCAAACTCGGCCTGAAGACTCTACAAATTGAGCAAGTAGGAAAGGCTTTTGATTTGAAAATTTGAAATTATAAAAAAGTATAGTTATCAAGATATTTTCTAATAGAATACCTTAAAAAAGAACTTCTTAAATTGAGAGATACTTAATAAAGTACATAACATAAAGGCACACTCCAGTAACTTTCTAATTTGTGAATATTTCAGAATGATCTCAAGCAAATTGAAATTTAAAGAGTCTTTCTCTTGACTTTGAGCAAGTTTTGGAGGAAATTTATGGATTTCTTTCAGTTCAATCTTGGTCATTGGCATGGTAGCTCTCATGGAATGTCAAGGATTACGAGATTTGGTATGATTTACTAGCTGATTTACTAGCTGATTTACTAGCTGATACTAGCTGATACTAGCTGATTTACTAGCTGATTTACTAGCTGATTTACTACTTCTTTGTTTTGTTTTGAATTGTTATAAGATCATGATCTATTTTAGTCCATAGTCACCCATCCTACGTGCCAATTGTCAAAGACACTTTTGAGCAAATCACCGAATTCGAGGCGAAACTAGGCGAGAAGCTTTGGGAGTGCGTTTTGTACAAATTTTGATACAAGTTTCCTACTTTAAATACTTTAAATGCAATGCTAAATTTTAATTTTTCAGAAAAACAGGAATGTTGTGGACGGCCTCTGATGAAATGGTGGATATACTGGCGAAAGCCTCGATTCAGACTGGACTCGAGCATGAGGTTTTGAGCTCAGAACAGGTACAAATTGAGCAATTAAGAAAAGCTTTTGATTTAAATTATAAAAAAGTATAGTTCTCAAGATATTTTCTAACAGAATATCTTAAAAAAGAACTTCTTAAATTGAGAGATACTTAATAAAGTACATAACACAAAGGCAAACTCCAGTAACTTTCTAATTTGTGAATATTTCAGAATGATCTCAAGCAAATTGAAATTTAAAGAGTCTTTCTCTTGACTTTGAGCAAGTTTTAGAGGAAATTTATGTTTTATGTATGTTTAACGTTAACGTTAGTGTCAATGACATAAAAACTTTCTTATTAACTAACTGTAACACTTGTAGATCAATGCCCGCTTCCCGCAGATGAGTTTCGGCTCTGAGTGGCGAGGAATCTACGATCCGAATGGGGGAATGATTTACGCTGATAAATGGCTTAAAATCTATCAAGTGTGTCTTTAAGTTTGAAGCTATTTTAAGTATTTCTTTAACTTTTCACATTTAATTGTATTCAGGGGGAATACCGAGCTCTTGGCGGTCTAGTGCACGAGAACGAGGCCTTTCTGGGTGACTTCTTTCATCTTTTTTTTTAGTTTTCTTTGTTCTTTTTCCAGTTAAAAGCTGCTTTTGTCAAAAATATGTTTAGGTGTAAGCGAGTCGAATGGCGTCACTCAAGTCACTACCGATAAAAAAACCTACACGACACTCAAGTTGGTGATCGGTGCCGGCACATGGCTGCAAACGGTTCTACCAGAGATTGCTGCGGTCACTAGACTTCAGGTATTCTAAATTCACCAACTTGAGGTTCTAAAGCTCCGGATCTTTCCTATTTCTTCATGGGCAAAGAAGACGGCTCAGTGGTAGGCCAAAGCCCGTTAAGCAGAAGGTCGAGGGTTCAATTCCCTCTCGGTTTCATTCTTTGCCATTCATATGAATTAATTTCTTTACTTTATTCATATTATATTCAATAGCTTAGAAAACTGCTTATAAAATAAAAACAAAAAGACTAGCTTTGTTTGCCAAACAAGTAGTTATTCGATTTGTTTAGCTTGAGCGGATCGCTGTTGGCTATTGGAAATGCAAAGACCCTCAGAATATATCACTTTTCACGACAAAGATGCCAGTTGTGATCATCAGAGACAAGAAAACGAAGAGAAACGATAACTTGTTGCCGATCAGAGACTATTCGGATGGAATTAAGGTGAAAAGATTTCTCAAACTGTTAATTAATATGGCTACAATCAGAAGTGGAGTTTAGCTTAGACTTTCTAGTGTCAAAGTTCTATCAAACTCACAAATTTCTCTTTGTTTCCAGTACTTTGCGTGTCAAGGTCCAATTCTTGACGCCAACGATGAAGATGTCGAGGGGAAAAGTCTTTCCCTTGACATCCCACGAGCCAACCTTTCTGTCCATTTCCCAATGATCGATTCAAGCACTCCTCTTCGTGTGGATGCATGTAAATTCACAGTTGAGATCATTTTCAAAATAAGTTCAATATCAAGAGTTTAGATGTCTCCGGATAAACACTACGTTTTCGATTGGCATCCAAAGTACAAGAACGTGTTGATTGGTGGTTGTATGTCAGGCAGTGGATTTAAAGTAATATTTGGGATTGGAAAGCTCTAGGAATTGGAAAGCTTCGAGAAAACTTCTTTATTAACATCTTTATTGTAGGTGGCGCCCGGTCTCGGTCGAGCTCTGGCTAATCTGGCCGCTGGAAACAAGTCCCCATTTGATTTGTCGATATTCAGCTTGAAGCGTTTCGATGAACTGAAATAACACTAAAAATCTATTATTATAATTCACTATTTTTGATTTGCTATTGAAAAAAGACTGTTTAACTGTGACTCTGTAACTGAAGTCATCTAGCTTTATGATATTGGCTTTATGACATTGACACATGAGACACGAGCACCTCGTTTCTATCTTCTTTCAAACATACATTCTGCTTGTTGAGAAGAAATTTGATGGGGACTATTTGGGGCTTGTCTTTCATCGGTTTCCACCCGCTTTTTGTTTTTGAATTGCTTTCACACAGGATCTTTGAAACCTAAAATCTTTTACTAATCGGCAAATTGAAAAATTTTATGATTTTGTGGGGGTTTCTTATTCCAATCTTTTCTGATTCTCTTACGATTTAACCAATGGCGATGTCGTCGTACTTCCGGAGCTTCTCTTGTCGGGCGTTGATGAAGGCGTCCACGCGGTTCTCGAATGGCATTGTCACGTCGATGATGGTCACCGTCTTAGCTTGCTCATCCTGGATGACTAATCGGCAAATTGAAAAATTTCATGATTTTGTGGGGTTTCTTATTCGAATCTTTTCTGATTCTCTTACGATTTAACCTCTAGAATTGGTGGATTATTCGCGGCAAAATGTTTGTCTCTTTCAGAAAAAAATGTAATTTTTAGGGCGAATATATCACGAATAAATGAAAATGAATTCATGAAATCAAAAAAGAAAATTATCACGATTTGCGCTGGAATGAGAAGAGAAAGCTTTCACAAAGATCACAAATCCCACAAAAAATTCACACTTGCAAAAAATCACTAGGATACCTTGTGAATTTGAAACCTGAAACACAAAAATCGTGAGCCGATCCCGTCGAATCTCGGGTGCAACAAAATACTGGTAAAATTGTTGTCAAAATGTGAAAATGTTAGCCTGCACGTTTAATTCGTAGTCTCGTGAAGGATTGGACAAGTGAGTGAAAAAAGACCAACTTCGTCCCCGGAAATTCTCACAGGGATTTTTCTCCGTCTAAATTTTTAAAGTCTTAACCGCAAAAGGCAATAAAGAATAAAAACCTACCGAAAGGTTAATCACATTTTGAGTCATCACTTCATCCAGAATATGATGATGAAGCCATCACTTCATCCAGAATATGATGATCAAGCCATCGCTCACCTTACAGGGGGCACATCCGCGCGAAATAAGGCAAAAAAATCGTTTTCTATAGGATTTTTACGTTTGAATAGCCAATTTTTTGGGACCCCCGGGGGTCCCAAAAAAAGAAACCTTTCTTTACAAACAGATTTTTTGAAAAAGTTTAAGTGGCATTCCTAGTGTCAAAACTGTTTTTTCTGTGTCCCAATTTTCTGACTCTTTGTAAGAATTTTTTTTGATTATATGGCTCTCCTCTTCGTGAAATTTTTTTTGCCACCATGCTCACCACCAATAAGACTTTTGCCATCAAATTAAAACTTTCTATTGACGTCGTGGTTGCCAGTTTTCGTTAATTTTTCCAAAAAAATTCTGGTGGCTCTTAGTGGTCGTTGTGGTGTCAAAGTGAATATTTGACATTTTTTTTTGACATATCGAGCATCCAAACAATAAATTTAGTTTATAAAAGGAATTAAAGATTAAAATTGAGCCCAAGATCAAAAAATTTGCACTCAAAGAAAAAAGGTGACTTTTTTGTTTGGTCTTTTTCGATTTTTCTCATTGCTAAGAAACAATTTCAAATATTAGCCATTTAATAAAAATTTTAGAGCTCTCTTAGCTTTAAAGGCATCAATTTAAATCAGTCTAGAATCTAGTCTAGAGCCAAGATCGTCGCGCAACAGTGATAAACTTGATTTTTTGGATCTTTGATCAGTTTCTGAAAAGTGAAAACAGAAAACAGTGAGCCTTCATCTTAATTCGGATCTAAACCTGACAGTTCGGCTTCAAAAAACTTTCATTCAATGTTACCTGGATGATTGATCGCGACCTCCAGCACAGATACGGAAAAAACCTTGAGAAAACAGGGTTTTGAAACAAGTTTTAAATCAAAACTCACCCGAATCGATCCGCAATTGTCTGCGTTGAAATCTGAAACAGTTCTCTTACATAGAAAAGTTCTAAACGCAACCTCGGGATCAATATCTTTCAACGCTTTATAGAACTCTTCGAAGCAAATTCACTTTTCGACGTTCAACTTCCGATTCGACGACGAGTTTTTCGATGAATCTCTCGTCATTGACAGTGAAATCTTTTCTGAAAATAAATTTATTAAAAAATAACCGAAATTTCATTCCCGATTATTTTTCAGAAACAAACACACGAGGTGAACGCAGCATATTCATTTCCGGACCTTTGCCCTGAAATCGGGCCAAAATAGGCACGAAAGTAGCCCTCTGAATATCTTTTAAATTTAAATTTTCTTTTTTTCTTTACCGTCTAATAACGATTTGTAAATCTCATGTGGTTTTTTCCGGAAAAGTTGACTGTGGGTTGGGGAGAGGTCTTTGAGCGTCGTCCCCAGAAACCTCTGCCCAACCCACATCAGGATTCAGTGAACTTTCCCGGAAAATTTCACTTTTTGTACAATTTTTTGTAAAAGTGAACTCTTCTTTCTGTGGTTTATTTCTTTGCTTTATTCTTTGCTTGAGAGGGAAACGTTTTAATTTCCAAAAGATTTATTGCCCACCCGCCACACTAAAATACATAATCGTGGTGCTTGGCAATCGGATAACAATGGACATCGAATGGAAACGACTTGGTGAAATGTTCGAAAAATTTGTCTTATCTATCTGCCTAACTTTTTATTCTCTATCTTTTATCTTTTAACATCAAAATAGGTTTCTGTGCTCAAATCGGGACTCTGAGTTTTATCGTTTTTGACTCCTCGACTTTACACCTTTAAAAAAAATGAACTAACGCGAGCTTTTCAGAATTTCATAAAGAATATTTTGTAAATAAATAATAGAATTTTTTGATAAAACAAATTATAAATCGATTTGGTTTATTATTCAGTTTAAAAAGTAATCTTTAAAAAAAGCGGCAAACTTTCCGGCTAATAGAATTTTAGGGATTCGGAAGGTCGAGGGTTCGAACCCCACATGCGACATGGTCACCCCCTTCGGATTTCCTTTCCCTTCGGGTTGAGAGGTTTTCTGGAGGGCAGTCTGGTGGTTGTGGCCCCAGTTCTTTAAAGTGACAAGCCACTCCTTCATCGTCATCTTCCCTTCACCACCAAAAAAGCTATTTAGTTCCCCATTGAGCTTAGGGTTAGGGAGCCGTCTGTCATGACGTGGGTTAAGTTAAGATATAGCCTAGTATTGTGTGTGTCGTTGTATTGTGATTGATATATTTCGTGTATGCGATAAATTCACCACTGGTAGCCCCAGTCGGTATTTTTTAATAGAATTTTAGGGATTATTTTTTCTTTTAAAAAAAATTAACTAATTTAGGCTTTTCAAAATTTCTTAAAGAGTAATTTGTAAATAAATAATAGAATTTTCTGATAAAACAAGTCATAAATCGATTGGTTCATTATTCATTTCAAAAAGTAACCTTTAAAAAAGTGTACAAGAAGTTGCGGTCAGTCCTGGACTCGTGGTTGAACTCTGATCCAGCTCTAGCTTTTATCATGTTACAGTTGAAGCGATAATTCGTGGAAAGGACAACGACGAAAGAGAATCCCTTTATATTGATGCAATCTCAACGTGAAACGCCTCAACTTATTCGAGAATTACAGAGTTAATCATAAAAAAACATTGCTTGTTTTCATACGTTTATATTTTTTCATTTTCGCTTTACTGCTTTTACTTAATAAACTTCGAACTTTTATTTATTTAATTGAAAGGACAATGACGAATGAGAGCGCCTTTATATGGATGCAATCTGCAATCTGCAATTGTTGATTGTTGCAATCTGCTTGTTGTTGATGTTGTTTGTTGATATGCTTTCTTATAGAGCTCATTGTTTTTATCTAAACTAGAGCAAAGCAGATTACTTCACTTTACAATCAACTATTTCATTTCATTTAAAAATACAAAAATAGCACCAACATACACCAAAATTGGTGACAAAATGCTGTTGATTTTTGGTGTGGTTTGTTGTGGAGATTGTTGTGTAATCTCTTCATCGATCTCTTTTTCAGTTGTTGTCGTTTTCATCGTTGTTGTCATTTCAGCACAACTTTCCCTGTCTTCTTCCTCTTCATCTTCTAGATTTCCACTCGGATGAACGCGAACTCGAGCAAAACAACCAGCTTGACAGCCCAAGTATTTCGCTTTTGAACTCCAATAAATCTAGAAGAAATATATAATACTTCTGTTTCATTATTGATACTTTTCAACAATACTAGAGCCACCTAGAGCAATACTAGAGCCACCTAGAGCAATAGTAGAGCCACCTAGAGCAATACTAGAGCCACCTAGAGCAATAGTAGAGCCACCTAGAGCAATACTAGAGCCACCTAGAGCAATAGTAGAGCCACCTAGAGCAATAGTAGAGCCACCTAGAGCAATACTAGAGCCACCTAGAGCAATACTAGAGCCTTAACATCTGGAATTAAGAAAGTTTTCAAGAACATACAGTGACACTTTTGACTCCGATGCCGCTGTGTTTACAAAAGAGATTCGATGAGGTGCTCAGAGTGATTCTAAACTGCTAATGAGTATAAGCTTTCAAAAAAAAATTCATTCATCTGAAGTAAACTTTAGTCTCCTTTAAGCCTGTGAAATCTTTGAAAGAGATTCTTTTTGACTTTAAATCTAATGATTCTCTTTTTAAGGGGATATCAGCCAAGCTTACCGTATTTTCTGTAATAGTAGTGCGCACTACTATTTTTTCAACCCCCCTCCTGCCTGCACTATTATTACAGACTGCACTACTATTACAGAAAATACGGTGTCCTTAATCTAATGGTATAGCTTTGCAAACAAACTTTGTCTTGTTCGTTTTCGTGTAGCCGAACTCGATGCTCATCTTTCCACTCAAAAGTGCCACCACTTCAACACTTACATCGATTGGATCAGCTAGAAGTGAATTAAACAGCAATTCATTTCTCCCTAACCACACTGAACGACACGTTGCAGATAATATGCATCAGGAAAGCATGAAAGCTCATTGGAGTAGGCTGGTGTAGTCACTATTGCCTCTCCGTCGCAAATCGTTTGTTTTTCGTTGTACCAGTTGCCTGGAAGGGGTTTTTGAGAAAGATTTACACTAACTTAAGGCTTGTTTTGGTATATTAACAAGAGAAAGCCAACTGGATGTGCTGGTCAAATCAAATGAGCCATTCGACGCAGAATTTCATGATCATGATGCTGCTTTTCTTTTCGCTACGAAGCCCTCTGTCAAAAGATGTAAGCGTTTAAAGTTTTGTAAGGAATTTCAAACCGCGACATTACGATCCAGTCTTCCGCTGGCCCACAATTTACAGCGGTGGCCGAGTGGTAGAGAGTTAGGACGCAAGGCGAGGGACCACTGGTTTGAGTCCGGTAGCTGATTGCTTGTTTTTGCTTTTTTAGATTTTAATGCCTTGTGTGTTTTGTGTTTTGTCTTAAAGTAAAATGGTTTTGTAAAAAGGTGCTACAGGGCTCGAACCCTCGCCTTGCAGCCGCAGCCTAAGCCGCAGCCAATCGGCTACCGCTGCAACTGTACAGGATGCGGAAGACAGGGTTCTAATGTCGCGGTTTGATTTTTGAAACTCTTTACAAAACTTTAAACGCGTATAACTTTTGATAGAGTGATCCGTAGCAAAAAAGAAAAGCAGCATCATGATCAGCGTGAAATTCTACGTCGAATGATCTATGGCACATCCAGTTGACCTTCCATTGTGACGAAACCAAACCAACCAAACCAAACCAAACAAAACCAAACCCTCAGATCTTTCATCCTTGTCAATTTCGATGGTAACGGCACAGTTTGATGGAACGAATAAGCTGTAGAGATTGTTCTCAAGAAATTGCACAATAAATGGTTGTGAGTCGCTGGAATTGGCTACTTTTAAATAAATTTCTGAAAGTTTACTTGAATTTCATGAGTTTTCTCTTCTCATAATCGTTCTTTGCCGGTGGCGCTCCGGTGATGAGTTCGTAGGAGCAATTCGGGTTATCCGAGATCTAATAAAGAGTTGTAGATCGAGTTTAAGCTCATCATTCAGTCGAGAAATCTCAAAATCTAATAAAAGGGTTACCGTTTGAAGTTTTTGCAAATAATTTAGCCCCTTCCCAGTAGATAAAGCAATCCACGTCGGTTGGGAGACATTCGTCCAATTCAAAGACAACGATGGAGTGAGTGGTGGATTCATCGGAGCATCGAATGGCTCAAGATGGTAACCGATTTTGTCTAAATTATGATTTAAAAACATTTGTAATTCTATCAAACCATCAATCAATTCAGCTAAACGAAACGAGAAAGCACTTCGATGAACGGCCGCTGATGCATCCAGATCATAGTCATTCACCCAGTAGATTGTGAACGATTTCTTGAGATGACTCTGACAGTTCATCAACAATTTACCATTCCTCAAGCTGAACGAGAAGTTTTTACTTTTTTTAATGGAATTTGTTTGAGTCACAACTAATCTAACTTGAATCTGATGGGTTTTTGTTTGAAAGTCAATTTTGAAAGTTTTTTTAAAGCTGAAAGCAGCAGAAGCTATTGGGTTGATGAAGATTGAAAACTGTCGGACTTTAAACTAAAATTTATTGAACATAAATTCATCCAAAATGATTTCCATTATTATTGACGACTTCTGCCCATTTTACAGGCAATTTGCGGATTCCTCTTTCTGCGTAGGATTTTGGTTTGTGTGTGAGACAAGTGTGAGACTCAAAAATCGAGGACTGGAGATGTCCCAGTTTGAGCACTTTCTTCAAAAGAAACCCATTTTGGTGTCAATAGAAAGGTTGTAGAGAATCAAAAATGAGGCTTATAGCCAAATTTCCAAAAAGATACACTTAGTAGTTTCGCTTAAAATGCAAGTTTTGTGAAAATTCGTCAATTTGGCATTTCTTGAAAACCAGTTTTTGAATCGTTCTGAAAATTTGGATATAAGCTTTATTTTTGATTCTCTACAACTTTCCCATTGACACCAAAATGGGTTTCTTTTGAAGAAAGTGCTCAAACTGTCACATATGACACGTAGCCGGCAGTTTTCAATTCACCAACCCAATAGAATGAAATAGATATTAATCTAATAATATTAGATCTAATATTAGATCGAATATTAGCTCCAAACTTTAGCCCAATCAAACCGCCATCTATTTGCTAACATTTTGTGAAGAGATTCGGCAAAAATTCACAAAAAACTGGGCACCTGATGTAAATGGAGTGATCAGAAGAATTCAAGGCACTGAGGTTAGTTAAATTTTAAAGAAAATGGATTTCTTTTGAAGAAAGTACTCAAACTGTCACATATGGCAATAGCCGGCAGTTTTCAATTCACCAACCAACAATAGTTAATAAATACAAGTCAACTATTTGTTAAGAAATAAAAAAGTAGACTTGAATACTAAAAAAAGTTGACTTGAATCCTTGAATACTTGTTAGAGTTAGAATCTGCTCAATTTCTGTGCCCAGTGTTTCATGCAATAACCTCTTTTTACACTCCTCAAACGGTTTTCTCACATCGTCGATGTAGAATGGATTAAGCAAATTTGTGCAATTTCCCGGCACTGAAGCCCATGAGTCACCCTAAACAAAAAAAAATAGAGCTAAGAATTGTTCAAGTAATGGAATCAACAAAAGAAAGTTTCTCTTACTTGCTTAAAATCGCAGAAAACGGCGAAATCTAATAAAACGGTGAAAGTTTTTCCAAAATTCACACAAAGTGGAGTGCCGTTGACTGAAATTTGAAGCTGTATAAGTGCAAAATTTTCTCTCATTTACAAGCTGCGGACGGAAAAAATGCGGTGTTGATCACTTCGATTGGATTCTCATTTGAGAGACTGATCTTTCCGGCACATTTTGTTGAGGTAAATTTGTAGAAAAAGTTGAGAAGAAGGAAATTGATGAGCATCAATCGATCGGCTTTTATTTTAAATAGTAGGCTAAAAACGATTTCAAATGAAACCCTTACAAGTTGAACCCTGCAATTTGCAGTAAACCTTTCAAAATCTCTAATTGCCCTCAGTCGGTTACACTGGTGACATTAAACTCTCAGAAATTAGGCCGAAAAGGAAAAGGAAAACTGGTGAAAGGCACGATAATTATAAGTCTGACTATAAAGTGAAAGAAAAATCTTGGATTGATGAATGGATTTGATTTCTTTGGTCATTCATTCAATAAAAACCTAATCCACATCTTCAATCGCTTGACTGATGAAATCTTTGTTCAAAGTACTCTAATCAAGCCATAGCTTGTAAATGATCCATCGCATAATCCGCATCATATCGCAAATACTGTAATAGTACCCCACCGCCCTCGTACAGTCGCGTAGTCGCAAAAGTTTTTTAGGATTTCATTTTTTGCAAAGCACCCGGACTTTCAAAAAATGCGTCAATAATATCAAAAAATAGCCCTGAATTTCAGCTATTTTTTGATACCTAAGCGCGCATTGTAGCATAAACCAGTGTCGAGAAAAACTCGCTCAAAGCTCGACTACGCAACACTCCGCACCACCATTATGGAGGTGGGGGTACTATTACAGGATTTACGGTAGGTGAGTGATCTATCATGATCAATCCAGTTCACACTCAAACTGCTCGTTTTGTTTGCAAGATGGCCTCGAAACGATCACATGTACTTTCAATTGAAAAAAAAGATTCTTTAATAACATTCTTAAAGATGCATGAAGTAAGCTTATAAACGAATATTTAACAAGCCTTTCACACGAAACATCTAGATTTTTCTACTCCTTTTTGCGTCAATCCACATCTTCATCTTCATCATTGTTTGGGCTTATCTTCATTTACATCAAAGTGGACAGTAAGTGAGTTATTCACCTTTCATTGCTCACAAATTTCAGTCCACTAAAAGAAATGAACTCTAAGTCTTAAGATTCTTCAATAGTTGATTTAAATTCGGACTTTCAGAATTCAATAGACTTAAATTCAGTGCATACCCTGAAAGCCAAGCTGGTGCCAGGGAGGAAAGGGAAGGGTATAGGAGAAGGGCGAGTGCCAGAAAGCGAGTGATTACGCCGCCGTACAAAGAGCACCCTACTGACCCAAAGAGAACAGGCCTTTTATTGCTCAAAAGCAAAATGATACTCCAACCGTATCATTTGAATTTTGGCCCCTAGGGCATGGGCCAAAAACGCGTTTCATTTCGGGGCATTCTAGATTCTCTGATTCAATCCACGAGTAGACTTAAACTCAGTGCATACCCTAGCCAAGTTAAAAATTGCAAAGACTACTTTCCTCCCCCATTCATTCATTTCTCAACTTTCCCAGGTGCGACTTCTACCCAAAACCAGAAATGGAAATTGCCGAGAACCGTCCCACCACCACCGCCACATTTTTGCGTAAATTTCAAGTTTAACAGTGCATTCTAATATTGATTTTAGTCAGTTTTACAAACGAATTGGCCAAAAGTACGATTGATGCATAAAGTAAGCTTATAAACGAATATTTAACAAGCCTTTTCACACGAAACATCTAGATTTTCCTACTCCTTTTCGCATCAATCCACATCTTCATCTTCATCATTGTTTGGGCTTATCTTCATTTACATCAAAGTGAACAGTAAGTGAGTTATTGACCTTTCATTGGTCACAAATTTCCGTGCACTAAAAGAAATGAACTCTAAGTCTTAAGATTCTTCAATAGTTTATTACTGATTGTTCACTTAATTCCAAAACGATAGAAACACAATAAAACAAGTGAGATTTACAGTTTGAAAAATGATTTGAGCGACGACGTGTCGATGCAACAATCTTTTCATTAAATAATGGAGAATTCTTTGACTTCTGAAAACTATAAAATAAATTAGATTAAGAGAAGGAAAAAGACCTTGTTCTAGCCTCATCTTCTTTTTCTTCTTTCATCATTTCTTGAGTTGTTAACTTTTTCGGATCTATGGCTCGACCCTGTAGAACGAGGGCTACACAAGCAGTACTTGTAATGGCAAGACATAGCACAACATAGATACCTGGAAATCGAATAGATTGATTTACTGATAGAGAGAAATATTTGTGTTTCATTTTTGGGTGTTTCACTTTTACGATATCATTGATTTTATCTTAACGATGAAAAGGAAAAGTCAAGAATTCTTTGACTTCTGAAACTATAAAATAATTTAGATTAAGAGAAGGAAAAAAAACCTTATTCTAGCCTATCTAAGTGGGATTTTGAAGCTTTCCAATACGGTTCTTATTGTTAAACAAAATTTTAGACAATAATACATTTCATTTCATATATTTTGCATACAAACGTATTGAAAACTTTCGAATTGATTGATTGATTCTCGGTCAATTTGATCAAAACAAAACGGTCAAAACCCAAAATGGTCAACCTTAGATTTCAAGAGTAAACTAAAATGAATAAAATTCAATGCTTTGCAGTAAGATAAAATGAAAGCTTTTGTGTTTAGCACACCAAAAATAGTTCCTTTATAGTTCCTATTTAGTTCTTTTATAGTTCCTTTATAGTTCCTTTATAGTTCCTTTATGGTTCCTTTATAGTTTCTCTTTAGTTCCTTTATAGTTCCTTTATAGTTCCTTCATAGCTCTTTAATAGTTCCTTTCTAGAAAATAGAGAATCGAAATTTGAAGAAAAAATTAACATGTTTACACGTGTATTTCATTGATTTCTCTTAAAAAAGAAACAAACAAACCTAATAACGGAAAAACGGAAGTCTTTGGAATAGCTGTTGACAGCATGTCCAACAGAACTGTCATCGAAACGAGGGTTGTCAATCCGATGCTTAACTAAAAATGAATTCATCCATTTCGTAAATCATTTCCCTTTTTTTGGTGTGGTTACTTTTGTGAGCTGTTCCTTTCGAATGTGTGGTGTCCAAAACATTCCAAAAATGCCGAGCATTGTCAGGATGAAACCAGGCAAAGCGATCACGTAAACATAATAGTTAGGAACACGCTTCAAGAAGATTGTTGGGAGAAGCTAAATGGTGAAATGAAGAATGTTACACATCAATATAATGTTTATTTATGAGATCTTCACAATGCATTTGTGAACTTCACAATGATTTTCACAATGCAACTCACAAGAGTGTGAACAGTCTCAGTAAGGAATTGATAGGGAACCATCGCCACACCAATCACATCCCATTCACCGTTTCCCTAAATGATTGTTGAACTTTCTTGTTTTCAGATTTGTTTTTAAATCTTTTCTTTTTTATCTTTCTTCTATAATTACCAGTGAATTGAACACATTAACATTTTGAATTCGTCCTGTCATTGAGGAGTATTGCCTGTAAAAGTCTATCAAAATAACATCAAATCCGAACGCACCCATTCAAATCTAAAGCCATTGTGGCAACGGGGATTGGACACGTTTGATTGTCGAATGGGAAACGGGAGATCTAAAGAAAAGCATTTAAAGAAATCGAAAGAAACACTAAGCTCAAGTACCTCTACAACACAGGCAACTTCGATAAAATAAACCATAGGCAAGTGAACTGTTCCATTGCTTGAGAGAGTGATCGTCTTCATTGAGTCCGGATGGAGGGTATCCAACGACTTTCTGGAAACATTCTTATTAGAAAAGAAGCTAACTAGAGAATCCTTTGATCCTAGAGAATCCTAGAGAATCCTAGAGAATCCTAGAGAATCAGGAGCGATTTGTTTCCCAGGGAAACACCCCGTAATCCCGAAACTGCTTTCAAAATCTTACTTATCATAAGCCCTTTTCGTATAAACCTTCAAAGTTTTGGCCTAGCCAGCTAGCCAAACAGCTAGCCTACTTCTCACAGGCATCGATAGCCTAGCGGATAGTCTGCTAGTCCCTTGTTCAGATCCACTGTCGATCAGACTTTTTTTTTTTTAGAAAAACCCTCAAAAATTACTTTTTTTTGATCAATCTCTCTTACATAATGTTGTAAAAAGACGCCGACTTTTGATTAATCGACCCAACAGCCTCTTTTTGGGTATCTCGAACAACACTATTCTCTGTCTCTGCCAAATTGTAGGCAGAATGTTTAAAGTATTGTCGGATTTGTATATTCTTTATTACCACTTGAAATTGTTAAAAAAACAAATGGATTAGTGGATTAGGTACAGGAATCTCTCACAGAAACATTTACCATTTGGAATATTGGGTAGGATTGAGTGAAAGCTGCTGAACTTTGAATCAGCATCTCCACCTTGTTTGCTACTGGTGCGTGGGCATGTAAATGCAATGTAACAGTAATTTTCAAGTGTTTTTCTAAAAAAAACAAGTGGATCTGAACCAGAGACAAACGGCCGGATCGAAACCAGGAACTAGCACACTATCCACTAGGCTACCGATGCACAGGGAATGCCTTAAGTAGGCTAGCTGTTGAGAGAACACAGTTCTTGATCCTCTTACGTGTTTCCAATTTGATTGTCGGGTGTCCAAATGAGGTCAGCGGTGACGAAGATGAATTTGGTGTCGTTGAAGTGCTCGGGATTCCACGACAATCTTGGATCTGTCCAGCTCTGAAAGCTTGGAATCAAAAAATTTCACAAATCAAGTGTTACCATTTCAAACTCGCAGAAAAAGCTCAAAATCTGACTCTCGGCGTCCTGAAATCACGTTGATTTTGCTTTCCTTTTCACTCACCAAACCAAAAACTTTCAAGTACCGAAGAGCCATCTCCACGTTTAAGCGGGCCACATTGCTATCTGAAAAAACTCGTTGTAAACATTGTTAAAACTATTTTTTAAACTATTATAATCGATAGGCATTCTTCCGTAGAGTGGAGCCATGAATCGATTGTAGTTTCTCTTCGTGAAAATCTCGTTGAAAACAGCTGTCGCATCATTCATCCACTTCGAGTATTCTTCTGGAATCGCATTCAAAGAAACCTTTTGAATTCATTTAAACTTAATATCAAATCAAAGTTTTTTTGTACAGTCAAATCTCGTTCTTTAATCTCTTCTGAACCGATCCCTATCGTAGAATCGACTTTCTGTAACCTTTTGCTAAAGTAGTGAACCAGTTTTACGATTCATTTATGATTTATCAACAACATTTACTTTATTTCTATCATTTTTCACTAACCTGGATGCCCGGTCGTTGTGTAATCGAACTGGGCCATGAACAGATTGGGGAACAAATAGAAAATCAACAACAAAATCATCAGCCTTTTAAAAATCGATACAAGTTTTGTTAATAAGAATACAATTTTTTGTTTTTTGACCTGTGTGGAACTCTTTTTGAAATTTGAGAAGATTGAATGACGCCTTTTACTTAGAAGAAAGGTGCTCCTTCTAATTTTCAATGAACATTCTCTCACGAGAGAAACCTCTTGGTAAATAAAGACGAATAAAGGCTAGTTTCTTAAGAAGATATTTCTGTTTTCTTCTGATCAACAAAGAGTTTCTGATTATTTTTAGACTCAATTTGGTCCAAACTTACAAGGGAACCACATATACTTACACCGATTACCATAGTGTACACCGATTGCCATAGTGTACACCGATTGTCATAGTGTACACCGATTGCCATAGTGTACACCGATTACCATAGTGTACACCGATTGCCATAGTGTACACCGATTGCCATAGTGTACACCGATTGCCCCCAAAATTGGTGAGTAGTTAGAATCGACTCTGGGGAACAGTATATTAAAAATTCAGCTGCAAATCTTCAAGGTTACGAAAGTTAAAACGATTTTAAACATTTCGCTTTCTATCGAGAAAATGGTCTCTGCTCTATTTGACCACATACTCTTTCTCCCTCGATCATGGTTCGATGGTGCGATGGTCTTCGGAGAGTCTCTGGTTCGACTCGGTTCGCAAAATTGATGATTGCTTTTTGCTTTTTAAAAATAGACGCAAAATGTTGTCCAAACAGTTTTTTAATGCCTCGAGATCCGACAATTTTTCGATTTAACACAAACTTTTCCTTGCGAAGGATTTCACCTTCAATTCTTGGCGTCTCCACTCGTAAAAAAAAAAAAAAAAATAAAAAAAAAAATAAAAAAAAAAAAAAAAAAAAAAAAAAAAAGAAAAAAAAAGAAAAAAAAAAAAAAAAAAAAAAAAAAATAAAAAATTTTTTAAAAAAAAAAAAAAAAAAAAAAAAAAAAAAAAAAAAAAAAAAAAAAAAAAAAAAAAAAAAAAAAAAAAAAAAAAAAAAAAAAAAAAAAAAAAAAAAAAAAAAAAATTTTTTTAAAAAAAAAAAAAAAAAAAAAAAAAAAAAAAAAAAAAAAAAAAAAAAAAAAAAAAAAAAAAAAAAAAAAAAAAAAAAAAAAAAAAAAAAAAAAAAAAAAAAAAAAAAAAAAAAAAAAAAAAAAAAAAAAATATAAAAAAAAAAAAAATAAAAAAAAAAAAAAAAAAAAAAAAAAAAAAAAAAAAAAACCCCCCCCAAAAAAAAAAAAAAAAAAAAAAAAAAAAAAAAAAAAAAAAAAAAAAAAAAAAAAAAAAAAAAAAAAAAAAATTTAGATCTTGTTTAAAACTTTCAGAATCACTATAACACTTATAGACTCCAATCTATAGTTCTCGATTTATAGTGCTTCAAAGTTGGGGAAAAAAACCGGAACTTCATATATTTTTGTTCAGTACTGTATTTTCGAGAACTCTATCAATTGTCACCTGTAAGAGCTAGTTCAGAGTCAGTCTTAATAATTAACTAATGTGGTGGCTCCTTGGAGCGTTCTTTGTGCCGACTTGTAATCGCTCTCTTTCTAGCAGACTTCTTTTCCTTATAGCCCTTCCTTTCCTCCTTTTGCTATCTCTGGTTCGTCTGCATTTGACCGAGAAAATCTTTCGCCTTTTACTAAAGATTTCCGTGCAGACGAACAATTATGAGTATAAGTCAATTTTTGGAGGTCTCCTTGAAAAAGCGGGACAAAAAGCTCATAAACGGCTTTTCTCTGAATTGAAGTTGAAAATCTGTGTGAAACAAACGGTTCCGTCAATTCGATTCAATGAAGGGACAAAAATTCATCCACAAAGGTTGTTCCCGTGGTTTTTGTCCAAGAATTAAATTGAACCATTTGCAAACCTCTATACCTAACTTCAAACTCATCGCTTTCACTATTCTTTTATTCTGTCATCAAGACGTATGATTACTTAGAAATCAGATCCAAAGATTTTTAGCAGAAGATTGGGGCCTTAATGAACAAGTGTTCTCTGTGCACGAGCGTAATCGCTCTCTTTCTGGCAGACTCCCTTCCCTTATACCCCTTCCTTTCCTCCCTTCCCTATCTCTGGTTCGTCTGCATTTGACCGAGAAAATCTTTCGCCTTTTACTAAAGATTTCCGTGCAGACGAACAATTATGAGTATTAAGGAATTTTTGGGAGTCCCCTTGAAAAAGCGGGGCAAAATTTGCTAGCAAAAGAATGACACCAACCGAAAGTTTGGCTTTGGAAAAGTTTCTTTGTGGCGGCCCGTGAAGAGTCCGAAATTTAAGGCAATTTTCTATGCCATATTCCCTGAGGTTGCGTGGGTGTTTGCAGCTAATTTTTGCAGCTTCAGAAAGCATAGCCGATTCTATGAGATGCACTCGGCCACCAAGCAATTCTGAACTTCGAGCTGGTGTCGTTTCCTTGTAAGATGACGGGCAATTGAGAGGTTAATTATGGTGGCTGCATAAATATGCCGTACAATTTCGCTAAAAACGAGACAACTTGAAGTTGACTCATTGCAATGCCTTCAAATCAAATAGCGATTAAATTTTTAGTTCCAACCAACATTTTTTTGTGCCAAATCTCCACTTCCATTAATATTCAAACCTTGAATCCACCAGTTTCAAATAAAAGAAATGAAAAGTACTTGCTGTTCTGCAAGGAAAAGGAAGTCCTTTGTTTTTCCGATGCCATTTTTCCCGTCAGAAGTTTCTTATCAACAATCGGAAGTCGAAACGCAAAAGTTTGCTCTTTGTTGGTTGCTCTTTTCACAAAAGACCATCAAAATTGGCACCAAAATGTCGCCATTTTCAACAAACAAAGGAGTTTTGAAAAAACTGATGTTCACTTCTTTTTCATTTCCTATTCTAAACCTGTTGAAAAACAGCTAGACTAAATTTAGCTTTCAAAACAGAGTCATGGCAAGTTATGAGAACGACTACATAGATCTGTCCGTATGTGGAGGTGAGTATATTGAATCCTCTCGACTAATCCATTTTTTGAAAAGCACTGATTTTAAAAAGCTATAAAATAAGAATTTAGGCTAAAGATTATTTTATTAGAATGCTCTTTTTCCTTTGACCATTAAATGATCTCTGTACCAACCAGGTGTTCTCTGTGCGCTCGATAATCGCTCGCTTTCCGGCACACGCCCTTTCCCTATACCCTTCCCTTTCCTCCCTGAAGTCAGCTTTGCGCAGAGGCGATAACGTGACCAATGAGGCTTAGCCGAGGTGCGTTTATTGCTGGTTGAAAACTGATACCAATTACCCGTCGCTTTCTGCCCTGAAATATGGGTGTCAGCGCAATTTTTGGAAGGCCCTAGGGGCCAAAAAGTGTTTCATTTGGAGGTTTGGTGAAATCTTTACGGCTTTCTGGTCTTTCATTTCGGAGGTTTGCTCTTTTCTGTAGTTTTTTGGACATTCTAATCTGGACTATTCTGTACTGCGGCAAAGATTACATCAAATCTCGAAATGCAACCATTTTTTGGCCCCTAGGGCCTTCCAAAAATTGCGCTGACACCCATATTTCAGGGCAGAAAGCGACGGGTAATTGGTATCAGTTTTCAACCAGCAATAAACGCACCTCGGCTAAGCCTCATTGGTCACGTTATCGCCTCTGCGCAAAGCTGATTTCAAAGCGGAAAGGGAAGGCTATACAGGAAGGTCGTGCGCCAGAAAGTAAGCGATTACGTTCCCGCACAAAGAGCACCCTAGTGCCACAAAGAGAACAGGCCTTTTATTGCTCAAAAGCAAAATGATACTCCAACCGTATCAACTTGAATTTTGGCCCCTAGGGCATGGGCCAAAACGCGTTTCATTTCGGAGCGTTCTAGATTCTCTGATTCAATCCACGAGTAGACTTAAACTCAGTGCATGCCCTGAAAGCCAAGTTAAAAATTGCAAAGACTACTTTCCTCGCTCATTCTTTCATTTCTCAACTTTCCCAGGTGCCACTTCTACCCAATACCAGAAATGGAAATTGCCGAGAACCGTCCCACCACCACCGCCACATTTTTGCGTAAATTTCAAGTTTAACAGTGAATTCTAACATGATTTTAGTCGGTTTTACAAACGAATTGGCCAAAAGTACGATTGATGCATAAAGTAAGCTTATAAACGAATATTTAACAAGCCTTTCACACGAAACATCTAGATTTTCCTACTCCTTTTCGCATCAATCCACATCTTCATCTTCATCATTGTTTGGGCTTATCTTCATTTACATCAAAGTGGACAGTAAGTGAGTTATTCACCTTTCATTGGTCACAAATTTCAGTCCACTAAAAGAAATGAACTCCTCGAATCGTCTCGAGCTTATCGGATTGTTGATTGGAGCCGCATTTTTTCTCACTTATATTATTTTCTGTTTGATTGGAATTGCTGGGATTCTTTTCAGGAAACGAATCTTACTTCTCATTTTTATGTTTTATTTGGTAAGGTAATTTTGAGTTGAAAACAAAACCCTTTTAGTTAATCTCATCTTTTGGCTGTGGTTTGGATATCACTTTTGAAATCCTCAGTAATTACTACGGAAAAGTCGCAGTTGGAGCGTCTAGATTGATCTGGTATCTAGCATTGATCTTTCTTTTAAAGATTCATCTTTATTATATGGAGTTGTGTCCGAAATGTTATTGATAGAATGAAATAAAGTGAAATTGATAAAACAGTTCATTTGCAGAAGTTCTTTTATCCGAGATTAAAGTCCAGATTCGCGTCAATTCGAGACAATTCGATATCCGACGGCTGAAGCGGCGTTGAGAATAATGACTGGACCATACGTCGCACGGCAGTAGCTTCAATAAACAAAGATTTTTGTTTTTTAGTTGGATACACCAGTTCTTTTATGGGTTGAGGCTGTGAATACCAAAACCAGCAACCTTACTTTCTTAAAAAACTAATTTGTCATCTCTATCACATTCTAAATTGCATTCTAAACCTTCTAAAACATTCTAAACTAAACATTCTAAAATTTCTAAGTTTTCTTTGCCCTTAATCAAATTTCAGAATTAATTTGCTTCAAATTCGTGTTGATTTCAAAAAATTTCTAGCTTTGTCAGCCTCGTCAGCTTCATCAGTTGATGTTTTCAAGTTTTCAGGGTGAAGGCTATATCTTTGAAGCCATATCGACCTGCACAACTCTTCCAAGCTCTTCCAATTGATCCACAATTTGACATAACCCTGACAATTGAAAAAATGCAGCACAGAAAATATTTATGATATCATCGTATTGAATTTCTTTTCAACTTTTAAACGGCGTACTCCCAAGCACAATTTCACTTTTCAACTCGACTTTTGAGGCGGTTGTGTGCAACGAGTGAGCGATCACCTAAACAAAAATTCGGTTATAAAGCCAATGTTAGACGTTTTCTATAAAATTTCTATAACTTTTACCTTCAACTGATAATCGAGTTTACTTATCGGACACTCAAAAGAGCACGAAGCAGTCGGGATTTGCAATGAAATGGTCAATTCCTTCACTGAATTTTGAGGCACTTGGACAGCCTAGAGAAAATTTTTTAAAGAAAAAGTTCTTTAAAATACAATTTTCTCCCAGACAAGTGTTTTCGTAGCTTTTCTTTTCTCTGCCCAACTTCCATCAAGCAATTTATCATCAATTGAAATCCCTTTCTTTCTTCTGAGATAACCTCGGAAATGATGACGTTGATTCAAAAGGATTTCTAGCTGAAAATTTAGAGAGATTTTTATGGTGAATCTCTTTGTACTGGAAACAACAACAATAATACTTTTTAGACACCAAAATGCTTACGGTCTTTTGCAAATGAAATACATCTTTTAGAAAACAATTGAACAAGAGAGCTTTCATTTTTAGACCCCAAACATGATTGGAGATCATTTGCAAATGAAATACATCTTTTAGAAAACAACTGAACGAGAGAGCTTTCATTTGTAGATCCAAAACATGATTGGAGATCATTTGTGAGAGTGAAACAATTCAAATTTGAAAGTAAAAAGCATAAATTCTTTCCCTAACCTGATCAATGACCCGACTACTCGAATTCTCAATAAGAACTGTGACCGGACAAAGCTCTCCCCAAGCCCATCCTTTCCGTGGAAGCAAGACCTAAACATTATATTTTACTTAGTTTTATATAAAATTACTTTCATCATAACATCTCCTTTTTTAAACGGCCATAAACCAATGCTTTTCTCGTTAATAATTTCCAATGGTTGACTGAGTTCCGGAAAATAACGTAAATCAAGATGATTGTTTATGAAGAATTTCTAAAGTTTTTGTTTTTGGAGGAGTTGAAAAGTTTTTATCTTTCTTACTGCTTTATGTTTTGTTTCAGTTGAAGTGTTTTTTAAGATAAAAACGGTGATTTTATATTCGATTCGTGCATCGCTTTCTTTGAATGAAGGGAGACAGTTGGGCGGTATTTTAAAGCTGAAAAAGATTGCATAACATTCGATATATTGGCACACAAAAGCCACAAAAGGTCATTTACTCATTAATGTACACAAAAGTCAGATAGAATAAACCATTAAATAGCTTGAAATAGTTGGATTTAAGCCTAGATTTGGTGAACTTGATTGGCTTGAGTTTTTATGCACTTTGTGCAGCGAATCTCTTATGCTTACTTGAACGGAATCTGAGCCTCGTTGAATCGACTTTTCTCCAATACAACAACATCGGTTTTCTCAAAGACATCGATGATCGCTTGATAAACGAGTGTTGATTGTCCTGTCGAAATGTACCATCTATTCTTTACTTTTCCTTTTGCTCGTATTGAAACGGTTTTGCCAGCAAATTCTTGGTCATCCTAAAGGAAATTTTCGGTTTCAATTTAATTAAATTCAAAAGAAATCTTGAATTGATGAGTATAACTCGATTCTCTAAAAAGTTAAGCGATAACTTTTTCAGAAACTTTTACTTCATAACAAGTAAAGAGCAATTCTTTTTGTTTCAAATTTTTATCCCGATTTGATGCTCAGCTTTTGAGAAAAGTGTTTGGAAGAGTCAGATTTTTGTGTTAAACTTGAACGCTTCAAAGTTAGCTCTAAAGCTGAATCCAAAAGCAACTTATAGCAGTAAACTTATCCACAACCAAGAACTAAAATAAACATAAAACAAGAAGAAAGACTTTTTATAATTTCTTCAAATATTAGTAAATAAAAAAATTTTCAATTCTGAGGGTATGGATGATATTTTTGCAGAGACAAGAAACGAGTTTCGATGCGATATTAACTTAAGTATCAATTTTCATTCTTTAACTCTAGAAATTGTACTTTTAAAATCACGACTTGCTTTGAAATTTAAAATTCCTCCTTTCTGTTGGGCATCAATGAGAACTGACCTTAAAATGAACGATTTTCGGTCAAACGGAGCTGCCCCTCAAAAATGCCGAACATCAGATCGGGATGATCATCAGATTGATCATTAGTAAAGTGTGTTCCTTCCAAGTAAGTAATTAATTGAGTAAAATTTTCATTGAGTAATTATTTACTCGATTAATCGACGTTTTTTTGGCCGAGTAACTACGAGTTGATCCGCTTTACACGTCGAGTAAATTCAATATCTTTACATGTGAAGGGAATTCCCCACCAAATCAGTGAAACGGCTGAATATCTTTAAAAAGAGTCGTATATAAGTCGTCGCTCGTGATTTTTTGCGCCAATTTTTTGGGGTAGACTAATTTCCGTAATTTTTTTTTTGCGCGACTGGGTCGTTTGCGCAACTCGTCATAACTTTCTTCTAGGTGAACCAATCTTTATGATTTTGATTTGATTTTGTTGCACTTATTGAGATCTACAAAATGAAACCAAAATCATAAAGGTTAGCTCACCTAGAAGAGAGTTATGGCGAGTTGCGCAAACGACCCAGTTGCGTAAATAACGCAATAACGCAAAAACGCAAAAAAAGTTGCGGAAACTAGTCTACCCCAATTTTTCAAATTTTCTACTCACCCATCATAAAAATATAGAAATTCGCAAAAATTTGTGCTGCCTTAGCAAAAGCTGATCCAAAAGCAGCATGCTGAAGTTGGAATTGCTTAAAATTTTCTAGAATTTCACACTTTTATCGTAATTCCAGCCAGAAAAAGTTTCTTTTCTTCTTTCGATTGAAAGATTCCTTGGCGATCATCTGAAATGAGGATTTACGATCTAGATCTAGATCTAGGGGTAGACTAGTTTCCGCAACTTTTTTTTGCGTTTTTGCGTTATTGCGTTATTTACGCAACTGGGTCGTTTTGCGCAACTCGCCATAACTCTCTTCTAGGTGAGCTAACCTTTATGATTTTGGTTTCATTTTGTAGATCTCAATAAGTGCAACAAAATCAAACCAAAATCATAAAGATTGGCCCACTTAGAAGAAATTTACGGCGAGTTGCGCAAACGACCCAGTTTCGCAAAAAATTTGGCGCAAAGTAGCCTATCCCAATTTTCTTGCAATAATTTTCGCTAAAAGTACGATAACTTTTCCTAAGTGTGCGTTTTAAAAAACGCATTACTCGTGAGGAACACACTCTAATCATCAGTACGGGATAGCACCAAAAAGGGCAACTCTTTACTTATTATGGGGAAAGATTTTCTGAAAAAGTTATAGCTTAACTTTTTAGAAAATCGGAAATCAGTAAAGTGCCAGTTCATACCCAACAAATCAATATTTTTCTCTAAAACTGACCATTAAAACCACCGTTCCCTCAATGATTTCACCGACTTCAAAAACTGGCGGTGTTCTCGAGAAGTTGATTTGAATTTTCATTTCTAAAGAAGGAATTGGCATCTTTGAAGAGGAGAATAAGGAATACGGTAGCTTTTTTCAAAAGTAACTTTTAGAAAAGAGGAACAGAATGAAAAGGCTATAAAAGCTCTTCGCTTTTATATTGTGGGAATGAATAGGAGATTCCCTGTGAGATCTTAGGTCAAAATAAGAATCGAACTCATTGATACTTGATATTCTCGTGGATATTTGGAAACACTCAGAAATTTGGTTAGATGAGATCTTAGATCAGAAGGACAAGTTCATTTTTGGGAGACTTGATCTCATTCGATCTACACTGAATTCATTTCATATCAAAGTCAAGGAATCAAAGTAAAATGATAGTTTCCTTGAATGCTTGATGGACATTCTTGAAAGTTCTTGAACTTTTTGTGGAGAAATGGGGAGCTATCTCTGATCTTAAAATGATAAAAAGGATGGCTAGAGTTCTGAAGGCAGAAAAAGATTCGGATTTCAGTACTTTTTATCAAGGTCAATTGAGTTAAAAGTTTGCAACTGAAAACTCGGGTTTTCAGGGCGGAGAATCCGCGGTCCGTAGCTTTGGCTCTTCAATAAAAACAGGATAAATGTAAATTTCCCCATCATTTTAGTTTAGTAAAGATAAGGGAGGAAATTGTTGCAAGTTGCAAACTTTTAACTCAATTGGTCTTGATAAAAAGTACTGAAATCCGAATCTTTTTCTGCTTTATAAGATTTATATTCATTAATTCCAACTTAAAACTGGTCAAAAGCATCCTGAAAATAGAATCTAAAGCTAAAATTGAATGATAAAAGATGTCGAAGGTTAAATAATTGTTGACAGAGCAAAAGATACGGAAAAATAATCAAAAAATAATCAAAAAACAAACCTACCACGATATTTGATTTTTTAAATTACATTTTAAAAGTTAAAAACAAAAAATTAGTGGTAAAATTGTTCTAAGAAAAGTTATGAATCTAAAAAATGATCGATTTTTCAAAGTAATAAAGCGAAAATTATTCTGTAACTCATTTTATATAAAATTTTCTTTTTAAGAGTAAGTTTTTTACTTTTAAAAACGAAAACAAACAAACAATTCCCTAGAAAAGTAAAGAGTTGAACGGAAATATTGGATTGAACGGGAGGAAAGGGTTCGAATAACAAATAAAGGGAAAGATTATGGAAGGTGAAGAGAATTGGAGAAATCTCTCGTGTTGATTCTGGTGAATCATCGAGTTTCACTTGGAATTATGAAATGAATGACGTCACAAACTCGTGCTCTTTTCAATAGATTCAATGACTTTGAATTTCAATGACTGCTCTGTGATTCTTTCTTCAGGTATCTATCTATCTTTTGGGTGTATTTTGAGTGTAATTATTGTGATTTTGTTTTGTCGCTATTCAACTGAATAAAGCATATATATATAATAATATTTATTTATCAATTTAGTTTTTGAAGACGTGTACGTTTTGATAGTTCTTTTGAGAGGAATTGTTGGTGTTTTAAAGGTTTATTGTGCTTTTTGTTGGTTTTCAAAATCTAAATCTCTTTTCTTTACAAATGCCTCGCAAGCTTATTGTTCAAAGCAACCTTTTCCATTTTCCCCAATGAAGTCAATGCCTCTTCTGGGTCATCATCGTTTCGAAAAGCTCTCAATAAACAATGTCAAAATGTGAGCTAACTTGTGTTGGACCAGTGAACGATACAATAAAATCAAAAAATACTTGATGTGGCGAATAGCCACTAAAAAGTTATCTAACTCTGAAAGCCTAAAAATTGGAAAAGTATTGCGGAAATCCGTGCGCCTTCATTCTTCCCCAAATCATTTATTATTTTGTAGCTTGTTAGCTGAATATCTTTTGTTAAAGCCTTTATAAGACAACTGTTGTTCATTTGATGTGATTTTACTTTTTTCTGCTTTCCTTTCATCGTGTCAAAGTTGTGTCCTAATTAGGACGAAATTGCTTCTGTTTTTATCGTCGCTTTTAATTCAATTCTCGATTTTGTGCTAAATTTGCTCAAGTGAGAGCCCAAAAATTCCGAGTCAGTCGACTATTGAATAAAGTCTCTTAGTTCAAGTGAGATCAGATATCTCGAAACAAGAAATAACGTGTCTTGAGTGAAGAGTAAAAGAATATTTCTTTACACTTGAAAAAGCTTTCAGCATTCTTTTATTCTAGTTGAAAAGCATGTAAAAGTCCAAAGTTTCACTAACAATTTAAGTTGTAAATTGTAAGTTTTGCTTATATTTTCTTATAAGTAAAGCTATTCAAAGCCAGCCATGATTCCATATTCTATTTATCGTCTATCCTTTTTACTCTCATCAGCTTCTTGTTCACTTTTTTTCAGCATATTTGCGTCACACTCGGTTGGAAAATTTTGGGACACAATTTGAGATTTAAAAAACTCCACTATCAGGTAGTACTTTGAAAAAAAAAGATCAGTAAAAGAGCAGTAATTGAAGCTGAAAAGATTAGAAAAAGTGAAAAGAATAAAAAGTCTCGAGAAATTGATTGTTTTAATAAAAAGTAATATAGAAGTAATACCAAATATGATAAAAATTGTATTGGCTTCTTTTAGCATTTCTTTTTTATCAAATATTCAAAAGAAATTTGATGAAAAGTGGTGGAAGTACAAAGTTTTTTTTGGTTGATAATTAGATCCAAATGAATTTATTCTCAGAAAGCTTTTTGTTTGTTGTTTATCAGAATATAAAACTTTATTCAATACAATTACATAAGGTATTCTAAACTTCAGTCACATCATTGCTTACGACTTTCATACAACTCTCCAAATGGGTGTGAAGACTGAAATTTTCATAGGAAACTTGTTCTACCGTAAATACTGTAATAGTACCCCACCCCGCTCGTACAGTCGCGTAGTCGCAAAAGTTTTTTAGTATTTCATTTTTTTTCAAAGCACTCGTACTTTCAAAAAATGCGTCTTTGTTCTCAAAAAATAGCCCTGAATTTCAGCTATTTTTTGATATCTTAACGCGCATTGTAGCATAAACCAGTGTCGAGAAAAACTCGTTTAAAGCTAGACTACGCAACACTCCGCACCGTCATTATGGAGGTGGGGTACTATTACGGTATTTACGGTAAGTACTTTTTGATCAAAAATTTAGAAACGAATCCTTTCTGGCGCACTGAAATTCTTGCTAATAAGCTTATTAATGCTAAAACTAACTATGTTTAGAGCGTACTTTGTGCGTAAAAATGGTAAATGCATTTCTAGTGCATTGATTTCTCTTACTGCTGTGAAAAGGTGAAAAACTCGGTAAGTATGCCAGAAAAGTAGTGTTTCCACTGCGAAAAAACCTATTTGAACGAAGATTTGAACGATTATTTTGGTCTTTCTAGATGTTCTTGAAGCTTTTCAAACTTACATCATAGCCACATGCAATGAAGTGATCGAAATCGTGAAATTCACCAGTAGAAACAAGGAAAAACCCGCGCGTTGAGCTGTTGCTGAAATTTCTTCTAATTTAGGAATCCAAAATCTTAATCCTTTCAAGTATTTTATTGTTTGCTGTTTCATTTTGTGACTAGCCAAAAACGGACTTTCTAGCTGGATATTTTGGGTGCCAGTCTTTGGAAATGGTTATAAAATGGTAGGGAAATGGTTATAAAATCGTAGTCTTAATCTCTCACTATATTATGCTAAAGTAAAAAGATCACATTTTGACATTGTTGATTGAGAGCTTGTCGAAACGATGTTGATCCAGAAGAGGCATTGAATTCATTGGGGAAATGGAAAAGGTTGCTTGTCTACGGCCCACACGGCTCGGGTTCGATTCCCATGTGTTTTTGATTCCCACCCAAATTTGATTTTTTTAAATTTCTTTAATGGCATACAATATATTCTAAGGTTTTCTAAAGAATTTTTAGCTTTATAGGCCCGTACAGACAGACAGACACCGCTCTTTTATAGTGGATTTGACTCTCGATATAACGACTCTCGATACAACTGTTTTCTCGATATAACGATTCCATTTTGTAGTCCCAATAGGACCACAAAGGTTCTCTATCGTAAAGGAGGATCACAAGGGGATCGTTATATCGAGCGTTGACTGTACTTTTAAACTAATTAACCAATGCTTTTCTTGAGATTTTCATAATCACAAAACACTCACAAAGAGGTTCTAAAAAGAAGGTCATCTTTGATCGAATTCTTTCAATTCCATCAAAATCTCCGTCAAGAGTCAATGGAGGAATTGGATTGAAATTATGCAAATGGAAAATGCAATACATGAAGAGAAATAGGACGAGAACGAGGATGATAATGGCCGTGATCTGAAATGATCGCAAAGTTAGAATCAAAACACTATAAACCTGATAAGATTACAGATATTATCTTGGTTTATATTTTGAGTTTATGTTAGCATAGGAATGTTAGAGATTCTCTTCTCAAAAGTTTCTGGACTACTCATAAACGGCCATTTTCAAAGCGATTCAATTCAGATTTTTCAAAATAACATTAAATTTAGAAAGTTCGAATATTTTTCTTTAAGCAAACTCACTTTTACAATGAAATTGAAGCCTTAAACTATTATTTTGAAGGATCTTTTAGGAAAACAGACAACTCTGGGATTATTGACAACCAGTCAAATTAGAAGACGCAATTTCTAGAGATACTTTTAAAGCTTCCTTTTAAACGCTTCAAATGTTTGCATTCACTTACTTGATGAATGATAAACGGTCGTATACTGAAGGAGAGATTACTCAAAATCGCATAGATAAATAGGCCAATCGTTATGAAACCGAATATGACAGGAAAATTCGCGAATAGCATGTCCAACGTCGTTACACCACAACCTAAAGCTGGATATAGAAAATTTCAAATTTTCTACTCACCCATCATAAAAATATAGAAATTCGCAAAAATTTGTGCTGCAGTAGCAAAAGCTGATCCAAAAGCAGCATGCTGAACTTGGAATTACTTAAATTTCTTCTAGAATTTCCCACTTTTATCGTAACTCCAGCCAGAAAAAGTTTCTTTTCTTCTTTCGATTGAAAGATTCCTTGGCGATCATCTAAAATGAGGATTTAAGATCGTTTTTTGATTTATCAAAAAAGGCGATCATCTGAAATGAAGCTTTAAGTTCGTTTTTTTATTTATTAAGACTTCCCTAAACGAAATTTCATAGCTTAATGCTTGGAATTGATTTTTTTTATGTAGAGAAACCCTAAAGTTTCCTTAAAACCAGCCAAACCAGTCAAAGAGAAAATTTTTGCTTAACTTTTTTGCCTATCATCGTCTGTTTAGAGTTATTGTAGACAATAAAATATTCAACTTTAAGCGCTATTTTTTCTAAATTTCTTTACCTGAATCAGTCTCCGATCCAGGATGAACATAACCAGTGGAAAAGGATCTCGAATACGGGGCTGATTTTGAGGAATTGCCCACTGAACCCGTCGTCACCATTAAATAAAGTCAATTTTTGGAAAAGATTTCCTCAGAAATGAAATTTTTCAAATCTAAATCGAAATTTTTTGATTTCCCAGCTTTAGTTTGACTCAAAAAAAGCTCAAAAAACAGGTGTTTCGGCAGAATTCTTGTATCTGAAAATGATAAAAAGAAAAGCTCAGGTACACTGGATAAAAAAGTATGTTAAAACTTTCAAGAAGAAAATGAGAATTTCAATTTTTTTATGGTCATTTTTCTTCGAGAAATTCTCAAGAGGATTCTCTTTTCTTTTTTTGATGTGAACAATGGGTCTTTCTTTTGATCGAAAAGAAGATTCAACTAAAAGAGGAACATAAAAATCGAATAAAATGAATAAGAATGGAATTTTATTAAAAACAATCATTGCAAAAGATAATTCTTGTTTCCCTTTGAGATTTTGAGTATTTGAACTTTAGTATATCAAGAGTTTAAGTGTTAGGCTGTCCGGAAATAAATGAGCATTGGTTTTTTGCATTGTTTATTATTTGGGTACATTTTTCTCCATAAAGTATGCTCTGTACCTTGTAATCGATGTGGGGTCGGAAAATGTAGCTGACGATGAGATCTTATGGAGGATTTGAGCGTTGAGCTTCTGCGAAAACTTTAGAAACCGTAAAATAGTCATTAGAAAGCTGAGTTTGTGCTCTCTTTAACCATACTTTTAAATTTTGTTGAAAATAAAATTTTTTGCGAATCCTAAGCTTCGTCGTTTTAGATGTCCGAAACCAACTTTCGCTAGGTTTCCTTTTTGAGTTCAAACTCGGTCGCAATGCAGCTGAAATGGCTCGTAACTTTAACAAAGCTTGGGGCGAAGGCAGGGTCGGCGAGTCAACAGTGCGAACTTGGTTCTGAAAATTCCGAGCTGGTGATTTTGATCTCGAAGATAAAGAAGGCCGTGACCGTCCTGTTGAACTCGGTGACGACGAACTGAAGACCCTGGTGGAAGCAAATCCACGTACGACTATTCGAGAGCGTGTGGAGGAGCTTGGCGTGGGCAAGACGACCATTTCCGACCACTTGAAATGGATTGGAAAGTCAAAAAAGCTTGATGCCGCACGAATTGTAATATTTTCACCTGTCAAAATCTAAGTTTAAGTCATTTGATTAAAAAATCGTCTGAAAAAACGAAACAGTTGGAAAAATTTAAAGAAACTAGGATAAAATAGAGACCACCGTATTCTCTCTAATAGTAGTGCACCCCGCCGAGTTGATGACTATTTTATGGTTTCTAAAGTTTTCGCAGAAGCTCAACACTCAAAAACCCCCACAAGAACTCATCGTCAGCTACATTTTTCAACTCCACATCGATAGGTTCTGATAAGCGGATAAATGAATTTTTACTTGTTCTGAAAATAAAAAACGAAACATTGCTTTTGTGATCTTTGTTCAAATTCAATTCAGTTAAAAGAAAAGCTACAACGTCGAGATTTTATCCTAGAAAAGTTTCAATTCGAATTCGAATTTCTATATTCAAAGAACCTTTGACGGGAATCAAAATTTCAAGTAAAAATAAGAAGCTTTTATAGAAATCGAAAGTTATTTGATCATCGAGACATTTAAATGTTCATAAAACATTCGTGAGCACTTTGAGAAAGAGAATTTCAGAAATTGAAATGTTTGAAATGTTTTAAGAAAGCGAAATTTTAGATTTCTTTAAAAGATGAGAATCCTTTATATAAATAAGGGTCAGGTTGCGATTGGGAAAGGCGAAAAAATTGAGAGAGAAAGGGGATTTTGAAGAGGGGAGAGGGGATCTCTTGGGGATGTCCCTATACAAAATTAATGAGGGGAAAAGAGAGGATCACTCTTTGAATACGAAAGGAAAGAAATAGGAGAACATCTATGCCTTACATCGAGATGATTAGTACGAACAACAAGAAGAGAAAGTTTCTTTCAGAAAATCTTTCAGAACTTTTGACTTTATTCTTTGGGATTTAAAGATATTAGCAATTTTTGATTTTAAAGTATTCGTAGAATGATTGAAACGTGGGAATGAGGTGGTAGAAGCAATTCACTGAACTAATAGGCCTAATTTCGTGACTTTTATGCTAGATAGGTCATAGAAGTAATGAAGAATGATTTAGAAAAGCTGTCTAGCTACAAATCAACCCGACTCTTCTCAATAAACTAAGTAGAAGCGATTAAAGAAGCGATTGAGCTTTTGGAATTTGCAAATTACTAATTTGAAAGTCTAATTTGCAAAATTTGATAGACAACAAACTCTCATAACTCTTGAACTCGTATAAAATTTGCAAATTGATTTAAGACTAGTGGCTCAACAAATTCAATGAGTTGCTCATGAAAATAGACAAAAACGATTTTATCAAGGGGTGGCTCAAATGGCCCACGTGGCCCACGTTTTTGTCTATTTTCCTATTTTCCTATTCTCTATTTCCTATTTCTGTTTCACAATGGAAAAGAGGGATTGTTGGAAGTCTAAAAGCCGATATTCTGCTATTAATTTACCTATATTGATTTCATATACAATAGATGGAACCAATAATCTCGGGGAATTGAATCCTTGATATCCTGACATCCTTGACATCCCCACTAAGATACAGGGCTCTTAGTCAGTCGATCATAGTATCATCTGACTAGAAAATGAAGAATCTTACGGTAATTCAAAATAAGATTGATGGTTCAGTGGCAGTTGTCTTTTGGAATGTTTAAAAGCAAAAAAAACTGACAAATGACCGCTTTGCCGTGATGAATCTGAAAAAAATGGATAACCATTCATTAGAAAAAAGAGAAAACGATGAATGTTCAATGTTCCATGTTCATCTTTCTTGAGTAGTTAGCTTTTTGTGAATGAAAAAGAAAGAGGAAAAAGATCGGGGCAAAAAACATCTCGTTAACATGAGTGGATCTCCAGATGGGTCTCCATTTCGCCCAATATCACTATTCTCTAGCTTACATCTCAATTTCTTTCTATCTCTCAGATCTCTTTTCATTCATGACTCTCGATTTCTCTTTTGAAAGCTCAAAAATCCGATCTTCTCCCATTCCCCCTTCTTATGCTCGTTGCATGCAAATCAAATCCCGTTCCTTGAGACCACTCCAACACCAAGAAAAAGCCTCATTCGTGAAAAAGCAAAAAAACAGCTCTTGTCTGAGTTTGAACTTTTTGAATGTTAGCAGCTTTATGCTAATCAAACTTTGATTTGACGACGGTTTCAACTTTTTGATTTGAAATTAATTATTGAAACATTTTGAAGTGATCTGCCAGAGAAACAAAAGCAAGCATAGCCATAAAAGCTGAAAAATTATCATCGATTAATTTTCAATTCTCAATTGATTTCCAAGTTCGTCGGCTAGGTTGTCTTCCACAATTTCATTTTCCCATCTCTCCTCCAACGGTGCGCTGATTTCTTCTTCTGTTGGAATCCAAGGTTCCCCGTTATCTTAAAAAGATTGCTGAGGTAAACTTCAAAATTTTAAAAGAGCTACTTTATGAAAGAAGTAAAAGAAGTGAAAATCAAACAAAAAAATGACTAACATTCTTCTTTCTTTTATGGATTATCTTTCTATATCTTTCTTTTATGAATGGCTTTATCAGTTTGTGACTAAGTACAAAAAATTGTAAGAAAGAGTTTATTGAGATTTTTGGTTAGTAAAATGTTTAACCTAATTTTCCTAGTATTTGTCAAAGTACAATGTTACTTTCTTTTACCTTGTAAGGCGTGGAACTTTCGCGAATCACTCCACATTTTCAGCATTAGCCCATCCACTACTACACGAGGTCGCGGATCTCCAACCTCGAGCCATTCCGCTCTTTCCACTCTATCCCATGTACATTGATCATTCAATGGGACCGCTTTGAAAACCACAAAATTTACAAAATATTTTACTCCGTCTTTGCTGTAATCGTTTGTCCACCATTTTCCTTGAGAATAGTAAAGAAATGGGTTCTTCTCAAAAATATTGAGTCGTTGAATTCCTGGGAAACCAATGAGAATCTTCTTTTCAAAACTCGAGTTAACCAAAATGAGACGAATTTGGTAGATTGGTCCAAAAGGCGAGTCTGTTTCAGCAGAATTTTGGCAATAGTACATTTCGTAGCCTTTAAATCGATCGAGCGGGACGCTTACTCTATAATGGTTAACACATTTGTGCTGAATAACCATGTGCTGGATAAGCGTTGATTGTTGGTAATCTATTTTTACATTTTGGATCCTGGATAACTTTTGTTCAGTCTTTTCTGGAAAGTCGTTTCTATTTAATTGAACTTAAATCCTAGTATTTCTAAACCTCGTTCAGTGTGGCAAATGGCAAACAGCTGAATCTTTAAACTGGTTGAGTCATCAAAGAATGTATGAAATTTTGAATAGTCTATGGCCTTGGAACTGTTCAACTTAACTATTCAATACACATTTCTTATCTGCCAAACTTGATTTGTGACATGGTAAGCAACCTTAGCTTCGACCATTCTGTCTTCCGAAACGATCATAAACGCTGCACATTCCCCTGATCGTGCTATTGGCCCCAAGATCAAATAAGTATCAAAGAGAAAACACAATTCGGGCAATGTGAATCTAAAAAGTGGCCAAAATTCTCCTTCTTCTACGGCTCAACGACTGAGCGCCAAATAAAGCCTTTATGACTTCGTGATAAAGGCTTTATTTGGGTTTTTACTAGGCTCCGAAAAGTCGGCATTTCTTTTCTTTATTTGTCACCATTAACGTTTCACTCTAGCTCTTTATGGGGTTATGAAATTTGGAAAGAAAGTGTTTCAAAACAGCGCCTGAGAGCTAGATGTCTTGTTCGTGATTTTGCAGAATGAAAATAACGGAAAAGAAACAAATGACTACAAAATTGCTATAGCATGTTGTTAACAACAGAGAATTAACAACACCGAGAGAATTTAACCAAACCAAAAACCGATTTTCACACCTTTGCTTTCCTCATGATCCCGATCGCAACCAACCAATGGAATATGATTCAAAATCAAAAGGTGAACATAATGTTCATACAGATCGGAATCATTTTCCAGTCATGACCGTCATGAAGAAAAATGTACAAAGTGAAAAGTATTTTGCGATAAAATGAAAGATTTCAAAAAGTTTTCCTCAAAAATTTCTAGAATTTCAATCAGGCACGCGGAAATCAAATGTTTTCTTGAGTAAAGTTTTACTTTGTATCAATGTAATTGTGTCAATGTGTTGTTCATTTGCATCGACAATGAACGTTTGTTAAAGCTCCACAAAAGATGGAACATCTAGCAAGAAATCTACTTGCAAAACTTTTTACTTCTCTATTTTTGGTGAAACTCTTTAGATTCACTAAATTCTTGAATGCTAAAAAGCATTCAAGCATCAATCTCTTAATCTCTTAAGCATCAACTGTTTCTTTTTCAACATGTTGTATAAAATGTTCAAAGGATAAAATATTTAGGTTTACGGTATCTACTAACATATCTCCAATCTAGGATCAGCTTGAAATTTCTATGTTTTCTATTTCTCAACGTTCCCCTCCTCAATGAAAGATTCACAACAATGTGCAAAGTGCACGGATTTGAAATTTCACGAAAAAGTTGGTTCAATTCTCAAGATTTATCATAAATTTTCAGATCTGTCCAGATCAGGCAATAAGAGCTATTTCATTGTGTGGACATTCGGCTTTCTGTGCGTGAAAGATGCTTTAACTTGGACAACAATTTACTTACTCATCATAACATTTAAAAGACAAACGAATAAAAGAGAAAAACAAAACTGAAACAAATGAATAGCAGTTATTGATTTCTTCAAATAGAAGCCCACGAGTTTCTATTTTTAGTAATCCTTCAAATAAAACAATTATTAGGGCGAGGGCCTTTATTAGAAGAAATTCAGTCATCAATTTCACCTTTTTCAGGGGTTTTTGATAATCTTCTTGACTGTATCCCAGTCGTAGCCCTCTTTTGGTCCTAAATGCAATCCCTCTGGAAGAGGGATTGCATTTGAGACCAAAAGATGCACATAAAAATGGTGTTTGCGTTCGACTTTTGGATCATTTGAATTTGAATACCATTTGCCATTTTCTAGGTAAAGATAATTGTTTTTCTTTTCCTTGAAGGGGAGTTCTTGTAGACGATATTTTTCAAGTTTTTCTACTTTATTTTTTTTTTTTAATTTCTCTTTTAATTTTTGAATTTCATCGAATCCATTCCTATCATTAATCAGAAGAAGTTTCTCCGCATCCGTCTCATAGTTTTCACGTGCAGTATTTTCATAATAAAACATTCGATAGTATTTGAAAAGATCAAGGGGTACTAAGACCCGGTGATATTTCTTCTCTTTTCCTTTGATTGGAAATGGACTTTTGCCAGGAAGTTTCTCATTGTACAAAGAAGAGCAGAAACAAACAAATTTAAGCCCATCTAGGCCGGGGTTCATGCTTTCTTTCACAGGATGCGGTTTAAGTTTCTCCCTTTTAGGCTTTGATTGAGATTTTGGCCCCTGCAAAGTTTGTTGAAAGACATTAAAACCGTGATAACCTGCGATGGTATTTTAGTGACATGGTAAGCAAATTTGGCCTCAGACATTGTTATGTTTTGTTTTGATTTGATTTTGTTTTCATCATCTTTTCCAAAGTTCAATTTACCCATCCCGGTGCTGAGTCCTTCGACGTTTGCCGAGTTCTTCGACGATTCTCTAAATGGCAATTGTTTTCAAACTTTCAAACGATTTTCAAGTCTGCAATAATCAACTAAAACAAAAATTCAAAGCCTTTGAAAGTATTTTTTAACTCACTTTCTTACGCGATCAATGATCAATGAAGTAATGAAGTCTGACGGAGAATCTGTCAAAATAACGATGTCCACTACATAATCAATTGTTGACATTTTGCGATCATTTGTATACCATTTCTGATTTTCGTAATAGAGAAACGGATTTTTTTTGCTTTTTTTCAGCTCTTTGATTCCATCCAATTCCTTTGATTTCATCAAATTCTTTTTGTCTTCCTTTTTTACCAGAAAAATCTTGACGTTGAATGACTTCGGCTCTGGATAATAGTACATATCAAATTCGGTAAAGTTCTCAAGCGGAACGAGTAGGCGAGCATAAACCAACCCCTCTGTACCATTGACCGGGTATTTACTGCCTTCTGGCAATCCATAGTTTTCAAGAGTTGTCGAGAAAGACATATAATTTTGATGTCCAAGCAATTCTTCAACAAGAGTAGACTGGGTATGCCAGTTAAGTGGGTTCATCAACATTGATTCATCAGCATCCTATAAACTTGAGATTGACTTTTTCGCAAAAATACAACTTGATATAGCTCTTCCGTAACACTGTAGGCGTATTCTGCCTCACGCATGGTACCTCCCAATACGGTTTTTTCCACTTTTTTAAGTTGCTGGCATTGGCCGACATCCTAAACTTAAGAAAGGGACATAAAGATGTTAGATTTGAACGAAGAGGAATAAAATAAGAAGACAAGAGGAAGATAGGCAAAAGATCTGCAAAGTGGTTTGGCAAAGTGCGAAGTGCAAAGGGGTTCATGGAACTCTTTTCGTTTGTTTGTAAAAGATCTGCACGTTTGCTGTGAAACGCGTGCTTGATAAAAGTATTGACCAACAAGCATTCGGTTATGTTGAAATACGAAACAAATCTAGCAACTCTAACACAGACAACTTTGAGTCTTATTAATATCTTTCTACTTCAATTGATAAAGGTTACTTGCGCAAATTTCATTTCAAACTTGTTATATTAAATTTTTAGGCTAGCCCAAGTCAAGTCCCAAGTCCAAAGCCAGTTAAAGAAGCTTATTCTGAAGCTTATTAGCCTTTCTCCATTTTTCTCATCAAATTATTGACTACGCATTTGACTAACATCGGCGACAAGATCAGAAATATCCTTTAAAGATTCGAATTCAGAGATTTCGTACTTTATTTTGAATTTTCCTATTTCATTTAAACTAGTCCATTATAATTTTCTCTCAACAATGGGCAAGTGGGTTAAATTTCAGTGGATTAACAAGAACCGAATTTTCCAAGTACAAAAATGCATCAACGATAAGCTACAAGAAGTGATCCAGAATTGCTTTTAGGCATTTATGAAGAGCTTAACTGACTTTGTCTATTTGTCTGAGCTATTGTCTATTTTGAGGCAATGAATCGGTTACTAGAACTCCCATCTTTCACAAAGAAAAGGATTTCCTTGAAAGTATAAGAAGCATTGGTATGGCAAATTGATTCAATAAAATATTGCCAAATGTTAGTATTACGGCAATATTTATGAAAGTAATAATAGTTAATAATTATTATGTTGTCAGGGTGGTCTTTTTCTCTAGAGATGTCAGGGTCACTGGATCCGTTAAGATCCTCGCCGTAGTTTGCCCCTGCCCCCAGTTATAAAAAGTGGATTTGTAAAGAAAATGAGAGAAATTTGTGACCCAGGTTGGGTTTCGCAAAAAAAAAAACGAAAGAAAAAATACTAAAAGTATTCGTTTCTTAAAATATTATGAATTAAAATAGTAGTCGGGATTTCAAAATGAAAAAAAAACGTTCATGACTGTGCTCCAGGAGAGTTTTGGGGAGTATTTATTGAGGTTTTTGAAGGGGCGGAGAGTTCTTCTTTTTCCATTTTTGCCAAAAAGAGCGCTTTACCTATCTTCCAGAAAAAAACGATTGTGAAAAGCGTTTTCTTATTGCTTTTTTTGATTTGAAAAGTAAGAAGAGAGAAGAGAAAAGCGCGGTAATACGTAAATATACGTATATAATATAGTATTTAAATATAGAAATCTATTAATCTAAATTTCTATTTCTAGTTGACTAACGACCACTCTGGTGGCTTCTCGTTGAAACCATTGCGACAACGAGTGGCCAGCGACGGAGTTGTTTATCTGTTACAGGTCAGTATAACTGAATATCTTTTATATTTCTTAATTTCTTGTATATTTATCAAGTTTTAGGAAATTTTTGGCCTTGAGAACAAGGAACACAGTGGAAACAATGAGGATACAGGATTTGAGTGCATCATTTGTATGACAGAGGTGAGAAAAACTCATTCGTCTTTGTGCTCTTGCAAACGCATGCTTTCTAGTAAACATAATGGGTAATTTAATGGATAAAATAGCAAAATCTTATCGAGATTTTAGGTTCGAGACACCCTGATCCTCCCGTGTCGTCATCTCTGCATTTGTGCCGGTTGTGCGGAGAATTTAAGGTTTAAGGTGAGACAAAGATATGGTCTCTAGTCTGTTAAAATGTTTTAAAATTGCATTAGACACAATCCTAAAAAAACGCTAAACTCAGATCCCAAAAGAGATAGGATCCTTGTCTCTTGATTTTCATGTCAGCTCACAAACATGTTAAGTGTTAAGCCAAATTTCATTCAAAAAATGGTCTATCTTCTTTGAAACAATGTTGGCGGATGAAATTTGAAACTAACAAATGATTATTTTCTCTGTAATCGATAGATTGTAACCTGAAACGACTCTGAACATTTTGTCATTTTAATCTTTCCAAAATTCTCTTTAATCTTTTTCAATCTTTTCTTTCAAAATTTTCAGGCCAACGCTAAAGTTCTGATTTTGAAAATTTTGAAAATATTGATTTTTAATGAAGAATTTCGGCTTTTTAGTCAAAATGCGTATGAAAACTTTCCAGAAAAGACTGAACCAGAAAAGACTTATCCAGGAAATTGTTCTTTGAAAGATTGAAGCATCAGCACGAATAAATTTCGTTACAATCTTTCTAAAAACAATGGCTTTGTGTTTACTCGAAATCCTGTTGGACCAAGAGTCTTCCAAATTCGTCTCACTTTGGTCAACTCGAGTTTTGAAAACAAGATTCTCACTGATTCTCCAGGAATTCAACCACTCAATATTTTTGAGAAGAACCCATTTCTTTACTATTCTCAAGGAAAATGGTGGACAAACGATTACAGCAAAGCCGGGGTAAAGTATTTTGTAAATTTTGTGGTTTTCGAAGCGGTCCTATTGAATGAACAATGTACATGAATGAACAATGAACTATTTTGAGTTTTGGCGGCCGGGTCGGGTCAGCGAGTGGGGTCAAGCCAAAAATTTTTGCCGGGCGCCGACTCGACCCGGCGAAAATTTTGAGCTTGACCCGACCCGCCGACCCGATCCGCTAACATTGTTTCAAAGAAAATAGACCATTTTTGTTGTGTTTGTGTTGTGTTTGTGTTTGTGCATGTTTGTGAGCTAAACTTTGAAATGATTTCATTAAAATTTCCTTTTCATAGCAATACTTTATTCAACTTGGAACCCGTTGATACAATGATCGGACAAAGAAAATCTTGAGCAAAAAGCGAAAAATCTTTGGCGGCTTAAACTAGTGAATTTCTAGTGCTACAAAATGCAAATCGGCAAAGGAAACAGCACCAAAAAGTGTGAAAATTTGAAAATAAACAAGTAAATGATGGTGTTACCAATATCTATCAGATCTAGCTGTGTGTTCAGCTCTTTGTCCATGTATATATCGATGTGTCTGAGCTGGTTCAGCTTGTAGGGAATGATCAGCAAAATCGGAATATCCATCCGGACTCCGATGTCCTCCACCCTCCAAAGCCATCCACCTAAAAATGATCAAATCAACGACCAGGCAGACTACAATTAACTACTTGATTCAAAAGTTGGAACTAGGGTAGATCAAAACTCGTGCGCCGCCGGGACTCGAACCCGTGACCTTTCGCTTAATGGGTAATTCTGTAATTCTGTAAGAGCTACTTTATGAAAGAAGTAAAAGAAGTGAAAAATCTACAAAAAAATGACTAACATTCTTCTTTCTTTTATGGGTGAATGGCTTTGTCAGTTTGTGACTAATTGTAAGTACAAAAAAAACGCCTAAGAAAGAGTTTATTGAGATTTTTGGTTAGTAAAATTTTTAACCTAATTTTCCTAGTATTTGTCAAAGTACAGTGTTGCTTTCTTTTACCTTGTAAGGCGTGTAACTTTCGCGAAGCACTCCACATCTTCAGCATTAGCCCATGCACTACTTCACGAGGTAGCGGATCTCCAACCTCGAGCCATTCCGCTCTTTCCACTCCATCCCATGTACATTGTTCATTCAATGGTACCGCTTTGAAAACCACAAAATTTACAAAGTATTTTACTTCGTTGCTGTAATCCTTTGTCCACCATTTTCCCTGAGAATAGTAAAGAAATGGGTTCTTCTCACGAATATTGAGTGGTTGAATTCCTGGGAAACCAGTGAGAATCTTCCTTTCAAAACACGAGTTGACCAAAATGAGACGAATTTGGAAGACTCTTGGTCTAACAGGATTTTGGCAATAGTACATTTCGTAGTCTTTAAATCGATCAAGCTCCAACAAGTGAACCTTCATATCATCATATCAAATCTCTAATTGCAAAAATTCTTACTTCTTCATTTTTGGTGAAACTCTTTAGACTCACTAAATTCTTGAATGCTAAAAAGCCAATCTCTCAAGCATCAACTGTTTCTTTTTCAACGTGCTGTATAAAATGTTCAAAGCATAAAATATTTAGGTTTACGGTATCTACTAACGTATCTCCTATCTAGGATCAGCTTGGAATTTCTGTGTTTTCTATTTCTCAACGTTCCCCTCCTCAATGAAAGATTCACAACAATGTACAAAGTGCACGGATTTGAAATTTCACGAAAAAGTTCGTTGAATTCTCAAGATTTATCATAAATTTTCAGATTTGGTCCAGATCGGGCAATAAAAGCTATTTCATTGTGTGGATATTCGGTTTCTATGTGTGAAAGATGCCTTAACTTGGACAACAATTTACTTACTCATCATAACATTTAAGAGACAAACGAATAAAAGAGAAAAAGAAAACTGAAACAAATGAATAGCAGTTATTGATTTCTTCAAATAGAAGCCCACGAGTTTCTATTTTTAGTAATCCTTCAAATAGAACAGTTATTAGAGCGAGGGCCTTTATTAGAAGAAATTCAGTCATCAATTTCACCAAGCCTTCAAGACTTCATCCCATGGTGAAATAGGGATTTCATTTAAGACCAAAAGATGCACATAAAATTCGGGTGTTTCTTCAGGTTCTGTATTATTTGCATACCATGTGCCATTTTTTAGGTAAAGATATTTGTTTTTCTTTTCCTTGAAGCGGAGTTCTTGGAGACCAGGTAAGTTTTTAATTTGATCGAATCCATTCCTATCATTAATCAGAAGAAGTTTCACATGCTTCGAATTTTTAATATTTTTATAATAAAACATTCGATAGTATTTGAAACAATCAAGGGGGTACTTTGACACGGTGATAATGCTCCTCTACTACTCCGCTGTTTGGAAATGAACTTATGGCAGGAATTTGCTTATCGTACAAAGAAGAGCAGAAAAAAACACCTTTAAGCTTACCTAGGCCGGGGTTCATGCCTCCGTTTACATCATTCATTTGAAGTTCGTCCCATCGAGGAATTGGTTCCTGCAAAGTTTGTTGAAAGACATTAAAAACGTGATAACCTGCGATGATTGGTCAGTGACATGGTAAGCATATTCGGCATTAGACAGTTCGATTTCATCATCGCTTTCCATGTTCATGTCTTCCATCCAGGCGCCGAGTTCTTCGACGATTGCTTCTCTAAATGGCAATTGTTTTTAAACTTTCCAACTGTTTTCAAGTCTGCAATAATCAACTAAAACAAAAATTAAAAGCCTTTTAAGTATTTTTTTAACTCACTTTCTTACGCGATCAATGATCAATGAAGTAATGAAGTCTGACGGAGATTTTGTCAAAATAACGACGTCCACTACATAATCAATTGTTGACATTTTGCGATCATTTGTATACCATTTCTCATTTTCGTAATAGAGAAACGGATTTTTTTTTGCTTTTTTTCAGCTCTTTGATTCCATCCAATTCCTTTGATTTCATCAAATTCTTTTTGTCTTCCTTTTTTACCAGAAAAATCTTGACGTTGAATGACTTCGGCTCTGGATAATAGTACATATCAAATTCGGTAAAGTTCTCAAGCGGAACGAGTAGGCGAGCATAATCCAACCCCTCTGTACCATTGACCGGGTATTTACTGCCTTCTGGCAATCCATAGTTTTCAAGAGTTGTCGAGAAAGACATATAATTTTTATGTCCAAGCAATTTTTCAACAAGAGTAGACTGGGTATGCCAGTTAAGTGGTTTTCGATTCATCAATATTGATTCAAGAACATCCTATAAACTTGAGATTAACTTTTTCGCAAAAATACAACTTGATATAGCTCTTCCGTAACACTGTAGGCGTATTCTGCCTCACGCATGGTACCTTCCCAATACGGTTGTTCCTTTATTTTATCTTTTGAGTTGCTGGCATTGACCGACATCCTAAACTTAAGAAAGGGACATAAAGATGTTAGATTTAAACGAAGAGGAATAAAATAAAAAGACAAGAGGAAGATAGACAAAAGATCTGCAAAGTGGTTTGGCAGAGTGCAAAGGGGTTCATGGAACTCTTTCGTTGGTTTGTAAAAGATCTGGACGTTTGCTGTGAAACGCGTGCTTGTATCGACATCAAGTATCGACCAACAAAAATTCGGTTATGTTGAAAAACGAAATAAATATAGCAACTTGTGTAACTCTAACTTTAGATAACTTTGAGTCTTATTAATATCTTTCTACTTCAATTGATAAAGGTTACTTGCGCAAATTTTATTTCAAACTTGTTATATTAAATTTTTAGGCTAGCCCAAGTCAAGTCCAAAGTCCAAAGCCAGTTAAAGAAGCTTATTCTGAAGCTTATTAGCCTTTCTCCATTTTTCTCATCGAATTATTGACTACGCATTTGACTAACATCGGCGACAAGATCAGAAATATCCTTTAAAGATTCGAATTCAGAGATGTCGTGCTTTATTTTGAATTTTCCTATTTCATTTAAACTAGTCCATTATAATTTTCTCTCAACGATGGGCAAGTGGGTTAAATTTCAGTGGATTAACAAGAACCGAATTTTCCAAGTACAAAAATTCATCAACGATAAGCTACAAGAAGTGATCCAGAATTGCTTTTAGGCATTTATGAAGAGCTTAACTGACTTTGTCTATTTGTCTGAGCTATTGTCTATTTTGAGGCAATGAATCGGTTACTAGAACTCCCATCTTTCACAAAGAAAAGGATTTCCTTGAAAGTATAAGAAGCATTGGTATGGCAAATTGATTCAATGAAATATTGACAAATGTTAATATTACGGCAATATTTATGAAAGTAATAATAGTTAATAATTATTATGTTGTCAGGGTGGTCTTTTTCTCTAGAGATGTCAGGGTCACTGGATCCGTTAAGATCCTCGCCGTAGTTTGCCCCTGCCCCCAGTTATAAAAAGTGGATTCGTAAAGAAAATGCGAAAAATCCGTGACCCAGGTTGGGTTTCGCAAAAAAAGCAAAAGAAAAAATACTAAAAGTATTTGTTTGTTAAAATATTATGAATTGAAAGTAGTCGGGATTTCAAAATGAAAAAAAGACGTTCATGGCTGGGTTCCGGGAGAGTTTTGGGGAGTATTTATAAGGCTTGTGAAGGGGCGGAGTTTTTCTTTTTCCCTTTTTACCAAAAAGAGCTGTTTACTTCTCTTTCAAAAACAAAAAACGATTGTGAAAGGCGTTTTCTTATTGCTTTTTTCATTTGAAAAGTAAGAAGAGAGAAGAGAAAAGCGCGGTAATACGTAAATATACGTATATAATATAGTATTTAAATATAGAAATCTATTAATCTAAATTTCTATTTCTAGTTGACTAACGACCACTCTGGTGGCTTCTCGTTGAAACCATTGCGACAACGAGTGGCCAGCGACGGAGTTGTTTATCTGTTACAGGTCAGTATAACTGAATATCTTTTATATTTCTTAATTTCTTGTATATTTATCAAGTTTTAGGAAATTTTTGGCCTTGAGAACAAGGAACACAGTGGAAACAATGAGGATACAGGATTTGAGTGCATCATTTGTATGACAGAGGTGAGAAAAACTCATTCGTCTTTGTGCTCTTGCAAACGCATGCTTTCTTGTAAATGTAATGGGTATTTTAATGGGTAAAATAGCAAAATCTTATCGAGATTTTAGGTTCGAGACACCCTGATCCTGCATTTGTGCCGGTTGTGCGGAGAATTTAAGGTTTAAGGTAAGACAAAGATATGGTCTCTAGTCTGTTAAAATGTTTTAAAATTGCATTAGACGCAATCCTAAAAGGATGCTAAACTGAGATCCCAAAAGAGATAGGGTTCTTGTCTCTTGATTTCCATGAAATTTAATGATTCAGTTAAGCTTTATTTTATACCATTCTTAACCCCGAAGTTTTCTCTTTAAAACTATATAAAAAGTTAATAATATTTGGTATCATTTAAAAATCTGGTGTCTTCCTTAAAACTATAAAAGTTAATATTAATATTATCTCTAAAGTGAATTAATTATTTAGTTAAACAACTGCCCAATTTGTCGTTCTCCTTTCCGAGCACTCTTGACGGTGAAAGCGTTGCGCCAAGCCGGACAACGAACCGATTCACATAGCAGGACACAACCAAGGTACTAACTCAGATCCCAAAAGAGATAGGATCCTTGTCTCTTGATTTTGATGTCAGCCGACAAACATGTTAAGTGTTAAGCCAAATTTCATTCAAAAAATGGTCTATCTTCTTTGAAACAATGTTAGCGGATGAAATTTGAAACTAACAAATGATTATTTTCTCTGTAATCGATAGATTGTAACCTGAAACGACTCTGAACATTTTGTCATTTTAATCTTTCCAAAATTCTCTTTAATCTTTTTAAATCTTTTCTTTCAAAATTTTCAGGCCAACGCTAAAGTTTTGATTTTGAAAATTTTGAAAATATTGATTTTTAATGAAGAATTTCGGCTTTTTAGTCAAAATGCGTATGAAAACTTTCCAGAAAAGACTGAACCAGAAAAGACTTATCCAGGAAATTGTTCTTTGAAAGCTTGAAGCATCAGCACGAATAAATTTCGTTGCAATCTTTCTAAAAACAATGGCTTTGTGTTTACTCGAAATCCTGTTAGACCAAGAGTCTTCTAAATTCGTCTCACTTTGGTCAACTCGAGTTTTGAAAACAAGATTCTCACCGATTCTCCAGGAATTCAACCACTCAATATTTTTGAGAAGAACCCATTTCTTTACTATTCTCAAGGAAAATGGTGGACAAACGATTACAGCAAAGCCAAAGAAGAATATTTTGTAAATTTTGTGGTTTTCGAAGCGGTCCTATTGAATGAACAATGTACATGAATGAACAATGAACTATTTTGAGTTTTGGCGGCCGGGTCGGGTCAGCGAGTGGGGTCAAGCCAAAAAATTTTGCCGGGCGCCGACTCGACCCGGCGAAAATTTTGAGCTTGACCCGACCCACCGACCCGATCCGCCAACATTGTTTCAAAGAAAATGGACCATTTTTTGAATGAAATTTGGCTTAACACTTAAAATGTTTGTGAGTTGAACTTTGAAATGATTTTCGTTAAAATTTCCTTTTCATAGCAATACTTTATTCAACTTGGAACCCGTTGATACAATGATCGGACAAAGAAATCATCATACAATGATCATAATACAATGATCGGACAAAGAAAATCTTGAGCAAAAAGCAAAAAAATCTTTGGTGACTTAAACTAGTGAATTTCTAGTGCTACAAAATGCAAATCGGCAAAGGAAACAGCACCAAATAGTGTGAAAATTTGAAAATAAACAAGTAAATGATGGTGCTACCAATATCTATCAGATCTAGCTGTGTATTCAGCCCTATGTCCATGTATATGTTACGTCCGAATCTGAGGAGACGTCCATCTCCGATCCGGACGTCCGAATCTGAGGAGATTCTTATTTCTCTATTTTTGGTGAAACTCTTTAGACTCACTAAATTCTTGAATGCTAAAAAGCCCAGCTCTTAAGCATCAACTGTGGAATAGAATGTTCAAAGGATAAAATATTTAGGCTTGCGGTATCTACTAACGTATCTCCAATCTAGGATCAGCTTGGAATTTCTATGTTTTCTATTTCTCAACGTTCCCCTCCTCAATGAAAGATTCACAACAATGTGCAAAGTGCACGGATTTGAAATTTCACGAAAAAGTTCGTTGAATTCTCAAGATTTATCATAAATTTTCAGATTTGGTCCAGATCGGGCAATAAAAGCTATTTCATTGTGTGGATATTCGGTTTCTATGTGTGAAAGATGCCTTAACTTGGACAACAATTTACTTACTCATCATAACATTTAAAAGACAAACGAATAAAAGAGAAAAAGAAAACTGAAACAAATGAATAGCAGTTATTGATTTCTTCAAATAGAAGCCCCCGAGTTTCTATTTTTAGTAATCCTTCAAATAGAACAGTTATTAGAGCGAGGGCCTTTATTAGAAGAAATTCAGTCATCAATTTCACCTTTTTCAGGGGTTTTTGATAATCTTCTTGACTGTATCCCAGTCGTAGCCCTCTTTTGGTCCTAAATGCAATCCCTCTGGAAGAGGGGTTGCATTTAAGATTACTCCTCCGTCAAATTTTGTATCATTTGCGTACCATGTACCATTTTTTAGGTAAAGATATTGGTTTTTCTCTTCCTTGAAGCGGAGTTCTTGGAGACCAGGTAAGTTTTTAATTTGATCGAATCCTTCCCTATCATTAATGAGAAGAAGTTTCTTCACATCCGTCGCATACTTTCCAGATGCAGTATTTTTATAATAAAACATTCGATAGTATTTGAAACGATCAAGGGGTACTTTGAGCCGATGATATTCCTCCCCCTCTTTTCCTTCGCTTGGATATGGACTCTTTGTAGGAAGTTTCGTATTGTACAAAGAAGAACAGAAAAAAACACATTGAATATGACCTAGGCCGGGGTTCATCTCGTTGTTTACAGGACGCAGTTCAAGTTCCTTCCATTTAGGCTTTGGTCCCTGCAAAGTTTGTTGAAAGTCATTAAAAACGTGATAACCTGATCTGATGCGTTAGTGACATGGTAAGCATATTCGGCCTTAGAGATTTTGTTTTTATCAACCTTTTCAAAGTTCAATTTTTCTTTCAGTTCTTCGACGAGTTTTTCGATGTTCTTCGACGATTCTCTAAATGGCAATTGTTTTCAAACTTGCAAACTGTTTTCAAGTCTGCAATAATCAACTAAAACAAAAATTCAAAGCCTTTGAAAGTATTTTTTAACTCACTTTCTTACGCGATCAATAATCAATGAAGTAATGAAGTCTGACGGAGAATCTGTCAAAATAACGATGTCCACTACATAATCATAACCAATCAACGACATTTTTCGATCATTTGTATACCATTTCTGATTTTCGTAATAGAGAAACGGATTTTTTTGCTTTTATCCAGCTCTTTGATTCCATCGAATTCTTTGTGTCTTCATTTTCTACCAGAAAAATCTTGACGTTGAATGACTTCGGCTCTGGATAATAGTACATATCAAATTCGGTAAAGTTCTCAAGCGGAACGAGTAGGCGAGCATAATCCAACCCCTCTGTACCATTGACCGGGTATTTACTGCCTTCTGGCAATCCATAGTTTTCAAGAGTTGTCGAGAAAGATATGTAATTTTTATGTTTAAGCAATTCTTCAACACGACTAGACTGGGTATGCCAGCTAAGTGGGTTCATCAGAGTAGATAGGGTATGCCAGTTAAGGGGGTTCATCAGAGTCGACAGGGTATGCCAGTTAAGTGGGTTTAGATTCTTCAACATTGATTCATCAACATCCTATAAACTTGAGATTAACTTTTTTCGCAAAAATACAACTTGATATAGCTTTTTCGTAACACTGTAGGCGTATTCTGCCTCACGCATGGTACCTTCCCAATACGGTTGTCTCATTATTTTTTCTTTTAAATTGCTGGCATTGACCGACATTCTAAACTTAAGAAAGGGACATAAAGATGTTAGATTTAAACGAAGAGGAATAAAATAAAAATACATGAGGAAGATAGGCAAAAGATCTGCAAAAGTGGTTTGGCAGAGTGCAAAGGCGTTCATGGAACTCTTTTCGTTTGTTTGTAGAGGATTTAGACGTTTGCTGTGAAACGCGTGCTTGATAAAAGTATTGACTAACAAACATTCGGTTATGTTGAAATACGAAATAAATATAGCAACTTGTGCAACTCTAACTTTAGACAACTTTGAGTCTTTTTAATATTTTTCGAATTCAATTGATAAAGGTTACTTGCGCAAATTTCATTTCAAACTTGCTCTATTAAATTTTTGTGTCAATGGAAAAGTTGTAGAGAATCAAAAATCAAGCTTATATCCAAATTTTCAGAATGATTCAAAAACTGGTTTTCAAGAAATGCGAAATTTAGAAATTTTCACAAAACTTGCATTTTAAGCGAAACTACTAGGTGTATCTTTTTGAAAATTTGGCTATAAGCCTAATTTTTAATTCTCTACAACTTTTCTATTGACACCAAAATGGGTTTCTTTGGAAGAAAGTGCTCAAACTTGGACATCTCCAGGCCTCCATTTTTGAGTCTCACACTTGTCTCAAACACAAACCAAGATCCAAGAAAGATGAATCCGCAAATTGCCTGTAAAATGGGCAGAAGTCGTCAATCATAATGGAAATTATTTGGAATGAATTCATGGCTTTAGGTTGAATGAATTTTAGTTCAAAGTCCGGCAGTTCACCAACCCAATATTATTACTTTGATAACTATTGCCGTAATATTAACATTTGTCAATATTTTATTGAATCAATGCTTCTTATACTTTCAAGGAAATCTAAAGAAAAACTTTTAAGAAAATTTATTTCGGACCATGAGTAATGAGCTTGCGGGAGAACACTTAGATTAGGAAGAAGCAGTCAAAAATTGGCTCCAAAAGTTTTTCGATTCAAGACCAAAATCCTACTACGAAAGAGGAATCCGCAAATTGCCTGTAAAATGGGCAGAAGTCGTCAATAATAATGGAAATTATTTGGAATGAATTTATGGTCTTATGTTGAATAAATTTTAGTTCAAAGTCCGGCAGTTTTCAATTCACCAACCCAATAGAAATTCTTCATTAAAAATCAAAATTTTCAAAATTGGCTTTAGCGTTGGATTGAAAATTTTGAAAATATTAAAAAGACAAACTGTTCAGAGTCATTTCAGGTTACAATTTGTCAATTACAGAGATAATAATAATTTGTTAGTTTCAAATTTCATCGACTGTTTCAAAGAAAATAGACCATTTTTTTTGGAATGAAATTTGGCTTAACACTTAACATAGAGCCAATAATCTAGCCGGCCTGTAACTTTTATGGATCAAAAGATTTTCAAGAGCCAAGATGTTTCTGATTGTTTGTGATTGTCAAGATTGTTTGTGAGCTGAACTTTGAAATGATTTTCATAGCAATACTTTATTCAACTTGGAACCCGTTGATACAATGATCGGACAAAGAAAATGTTGAGCAAAAAGCGAAAAATCTTTGGTGGCTTAAACTAGTGAATTTCTAGTGCTACAAAATGCAAATCGGCAAAGGAAACAGCACCAAATAGTGTGAAAATTTGAAAATAAACAAGTAAATGATGGTTTTACCAATATCTATCAGATCTAGCTGTGTGTTCAGCTCTTTGTCCATGTATATATCGATGTGTTTGAGCTGGTTCAGCTTGTAGGGAATGATCAGCAAAATCGGAATATCCATCCGGACTCCGATGTCCTCCACCCTCCAAAGCCATCCACCTAAAAATGATCAAATCAACGACCAGGCAGACTACAATTAACTACTTGATTCAAAAGTTGGAACTACGGTTGATCAAAACTCGTGCGTCGCCGGGACTCGAACCAGTGACCTTTCGTTTAATGGGTAATTGTGCTGACCATTACACACAACGCACTTGATTTCCTTACTTTAGAGGGAGTTAACTAAACATGTAAAGCTAAAACATCAGCTTTACTTTATCGACTTGAAAAAAGATGAACAGAAACCCCGTACGTCAATTAACACTCCTTTGGTTTGCTACAGGGTGCATAAAAAGTTTTCGTTCGGTTTTATGTCGTTGGAAATCGTTTCTGGAAATTCCCTATAGAATTTTTGTAAAGTACTATACTATTAAAAAGTCCTAATTTTTGTCGACATTTCTGTACTAAAATGTTCTCGATTGGATTTCCACAGGATTTTCACATTTCCAGTGGAACTTATCGATTAAAAACAAAATTATCAACACTAGCATATTGTTTAAAATCCTAAATAGCCATTGAATTTTAAGTGAAACGGAGATTCATGAGTCGAAAAAGTCTTGCTAACAGTTATAAACTCATCTTTTCTATCAGAATCCATTCACTTTCTCATGATTAACCTTGTTCTTCATTGTTGAAAGCGTGCTTTGCTTGCTTTCGGCCAAACATTTGTGCATTAAATCTTTAAACTCACCAATTTTAAGCTTTAGATTTAAGCTTTAATGTATCTTTAGGCTTTTAGCTTTTTACTGACCAATTGCATTGGATCCTCTTATCCTCAAGGGGAAATCCACCCAATGTGGCGGCATCCAACAGGCTAACTGAAATAACAAATTTGAGTTCTTTGAATTTGTTTGATTTAAGTTTTTTTTGATAAGTATGTTAAGACGTAGAGTCCCCAAACTCCGAGACTCGCCACGGAATTTGGAAGGGATCCCCAAACTCCTCACGGAATTTGGAAGGGATCCCCAAACTCCTCACGGAATTTGGAAGGGATCCCCAAACTCCACACGGAATTTGGAAGGGATCCCCAAACTCCTCAAGGAATTTGGAAGGAGTCCCCAAACTCCTCACGGAACTTGGAAGGGATCCCCAAACTCCTCAAGGAATTTGGAAGGAGTCCCCAAACTCCTCACGGAACTTGGAAGGGATCCCCAAACTCCTCACGGAATTTGGAAAGGGTCCCCAAACTCCTCACGGAATCTGGAAGGTCAACTTTGACGCAAATTTTCTTTATATTTTTATACATAAGTATACAAAACAAATTCTCTACAACCAAAAGCCGTAAGACGTATATGTTAAGACTTAGATTATTATTCTTGACATAAAGATTTGATTCTTTAAAATCAATTTGGCAACTCTTCAACTCACATCAGTATTCGGCATAATTCGACACCACGATAGATCGAGACTTCCCAAGAGATAAACCATCGGTAAAACCATTCCAAAAAGGGAAACCTAAGTATTATGCAAAAAGATTTGAATATTTGTTCATTGCAAATTTTCAGATAAGTGAAAAAAACTTACAATAACCAAAATCGCTGTCCACAAGAAAGACCACCAAAATCCCATCCTCTTCAACAATTGAAATTGTTGGTAATAGGCGATCATGAATTGGAGGAATGACATAAAAACGTCGAGAAACACAGTGACACTAAAATTCATTGAATCAGTTTAATCTTGACGCTTACCTGAGAGCCAGCACCCATTGCGGGTTAACGTAGCCCATTTGGAGATCACGAATGTCTTGATCAGTCACTTCAGGATCGAAATCTAAACTCACTCATATATGACATTGTGCAGAGAATTGCTGCTGCTGCCGTGGCCGACTTGTTAGTCGAAAGGTCAAGGCTTTGATCCCGTAGGATAGATAAACAGTTTTTTTTAGTTTAGTTTTTCGCGTTCAAAAGTCCAGTGGCAAAAAAATTATGATATTTTTGTGAATAAATACTCCCATTACATTACCAATTACCAATTTCCAAATGTTTAAATGATGCCAATGGATTGTGTTTCCTGATATTCCATGTAACAAGAGCAAACATCGTCACCATTCTCAACATGTTCAAGAGGAGATCGATCGCGTCGGTTAGAAGCTTTCGTCTATAAAAGTTTTGTGTTAAAGTGTATCCAAGTTTTATGCATAATCTAGCTATTAGCACAATCTAAAGCTTGATCTATTTGTTCTTTAGCATTGCACAACAAAGTATAACACAAAGTACAACACAAAGTACAACACAAAGTACAACACAAAGTACAACACAAAGTACAACACAAAGTACAACAACAAAGTACAACAACCAAGAGTACAACAACTCTTTAGGCAACTATTGTAGACCTTGCGTATTGTAAGATTCATTGTAAACCTTTCCTATCTTGCCCACCTCCTCTCATCTTCAGCTTTCAAAAACCTTCAACTATTTGTTCTTTAGAATTGCAAGCACAAAGTACAACATAAAGTACAAAAACAGAGTACAAAAGTACAACAACTCTTTAGGCAACTATTGTAGAACTAGCGTATTCTAAGATTCATTGTAAACCTTTCTCTTTAAACCTTGCCCATCTTGCCCACCTCCTCTCATCTTCAGCTTTCTCTTCTAATTCTTTTCTCACTCGATCTCTCACTCTTTTCCTCAACACTCGCACATCTTTCCGCTCTCTTTTTCTCGCATTCTTTTGATCATTTACATCAAAAATATTAGAGTAATCTGGGTAAAGTGGATAGATGTGATCATCTAAAAGTTGATTTGCATAAACTCAAAATAAAAATTCCAATGAAACCTTCTTCCTCTTCAATCTCAATCGTTCGAATCTCGATCCGTCTCTCCACTTTCGGACTTGTCACTTTCTCCACGATTCCTTTGACAAGTTCCCATTTTTTACCTTTAAAAGATTAAAATTACTATATGCTTAGCATATTTTATATAAATTTAGAATATATTTGTTGAATATTTACCCTTCAATGTGCCAGCCTCGTCTCCTTCCTCTTTCTTCGGTAAAAGTGCTTCTTCGGCTTCTGAACTTTGAAAATCTGATTTCTTAAGTACTATTATCTTCAAAATCTTAATTTTAACAATATTTTATTATATTCTTTCATTTCTATCCTTTCCAAAAAACTCACTCGATCGCAAATCCCGATATTTTGTCTGTATCGTTTGTCGAATGTTTGCCGCTTTCCAGCCCTTCTTTTTATCCAAACCACTAAATTTTTGAATTTAGTTTAGGGTTTTTTAAGAATTAAATCTAAGCTGGCTTATTGATTCGAATTGTTGAAATATTGCCTTTTAATGAGTGCCTCAACTTCTTCATCAGTACTCGAATCACTGGAAACTTCTTCAAATTTTCGCGATCCAGCGGTGATTGCCTGAAGATTTTAGATAAATTCATTCATAAATTCATTCATAAATTCGTTGAATGTATTCTACACTAAAATTTATGATTCATAATTGTATTTTTGTTAAAGCTGTTAAAGTTGTTTGTTGTCTTTCTCGATACAATCTGCATAGCTTTTACTGCATAGCTTCGACAGATTCAGATGAGTAACCTGGTAAAATGAGCTGGGAATATCTAATTTAACCTAAAATATCTAATTTAACCATTGTCTTTTAGATTATTTTATTGTAAATGGGAATGTATTGAATCGCTTACTGGGTAATTGTGTCAAGCATTACCCAACTAGGGTAGATCAAAACTCGTGCGCCGCCGGGACTCGAACCCGTGACCTTTCGTTTAACTGGGCAATTGTGTTAACCATTACCCCACAATGCACTTGATTTTCTTACTTTAGAGGGAGTTAACGAAACATGTAAAGCTAAAACAGAAGCTTTACATTATAGAATTGAAAAAAGTGATACCCGTGGAGCCCGTAAATTAGATGCACATATTCTAAATGAAAATTTATGATCCATAGTTTTATTTTTGTTCTGTTAAAGTTGTCTTTATCGTTACAAGGCATAGCTTTTACTGCATAGCTTTTACTGCATAACTTTTACTGCATAACTTTTACTGCATAGCTTCTACAGATTGAGATGAGTAACCCGGTAAAATGAGCTGGAAAAGTAAAATATCTAATTTAACAATAGTTTTTTAGATTATTTTATTGTAAATGGAAATGTGTTGAGCAGTAAATCGGACTTTTGTTGCTTTCTCTCTTCTTTGTGATCTCATACTCCTTCGGAAGGCTCGATCTTTCAGTTCTTTCTTTTCCTAAATCTTTTAGAATGAGTTTAATTTGAAAAAATAGACAATATCTAAATAAAATAGTATATTAATTATTAGAATCCTTGACTTATTTAACCTTTTCCAAAGCCTCACCGCATTATCGATCCTCTCTAATTCAACTTCCGATTGTGTGGCGCTCCCTTGTCCATAAATCATCATGTAGATTTCCTAGAAGCTTCTAATTTGTTATAAAACTTAGATCTAAACTTCAAACCAACCTTAATACTGTATGCTTTATGTGTTGTGCATCGTTTTGTCATCAAATTCCACCAAATAACTTTATAGTTTTCTCTACGTAACGCCCGGAAACAGCTACATAGAAATAAATGCATCCAAAACCAAAATAAATCAAACGATTTCCAATAAATAACATAAACACATTTGATCTGAAAAAATTTAAAGGTTTAATTTTTAGGATTTTGTAAAAACTCTAGCTGCAAAACTCGATTTTATTGAGTTTTTTGCTTGACAATCGAAGCATTCACTAACACACTCATTTCTTTTTACAATAACCTTTAAAAGACAAAAAGAACAACTATTGATCTCATCAAAAACACTCATTTCTATCCAAGTTTCTTGTTTACTTTTTTCTTTTCAAAAACCGACCTTGAATGCAGCCAACCAGTTGAAATGAGCTAAAAAAGCCAATGCTGTGCGGAAGACTGTTCCAAAAAGGAAACACTTGAACATCCTCGAAAATTAATTGAGGAAATCAAGAGGATACAAGCTAGATCATCTGAAAAGTTTTTGAAAAATCAGTATCATTTAAGACAAAAAGACGGTGATCAAGATTTTAGTTTTAAGTTTGGGGTAGGCTAGTTTCCGCAACCTTGTTTTCCGCAACAGGATTATTTGCGCAACTGGGTCGTTTGCGCAACTCGCCATAACTTTCTTTTAAGTGGGCCAGCCTTTATGATTTTGGTTTGATTTTGTAGATCTCAATAAATGCAACAAAAGAAAACCAAAATCATAAAGATTGGCCCACTTAAAAGAAAGTTCTGGCGAGTTGCGCGAATGACCCAGTTGCGCAAATAACCCTGTTGCGGAAAACAATTTGCGGAAACTATCCTACCCCTTAAGTTTCACAAAAAGAAATCAATTGCAAGTCTCTTTCTCTGGCTGGAACAAGTAACTGGCTTCTTTTTGGAAAAGTTTGTAAATAAATGAGTCACCATTTGTCGACCAGAAGTTATTTTTGTTAGCATAGTTTTTAGGGTTTTGGATGAAATTGAATATTCTTCTTTGTTGATGAGTAAAATCGAAATTGAAAGAAAAGAAGAAGGAAAATGGCAAAAAAAATGGGAGTGAGTCAGGATAAAAGAAATGGGGGGGAAGGAATCGACAATATATGACTACGAGAAATGGAAAGTTGAAAGGAAATGAGACTGAATAATGTTAAAAGTGGTGATTGGATTGGATGTAAAATTAAATAAATTTATAACATGTAAAATTGAACGTATAACATTTCCTAAAAGTAAATCGTTCACTTTTTAACATAAAATAATTCTGGTTGTTGAAAAAAAGTGAATAAAAAAGTGATTTTGAGATTTTTATCCTATGAATTGTTGTAATTGTGTAAGTTTGAAAGTGAATTTTGAAGGAAAAAGCTAATTTCATTCTTCTAATTGTTGCTTTTTCTTTAACTTTAGTTTTTAAAGGCTTAAGCTAAAATTGTGGAAGCTATTTGTCTACAAAATTTCCTTATTCACTGATAAAAATACGTAAAAATAGCCTTTCCTATCTGAGCGGTTGGTTGAAAATTGAATTCAATTATCTATTTATGATAATCTATTTATGATTTCAATTATCATGTATCTACAGTACTGGACAATGAAATATGATATTTGAAAAAAGATCGTCACTTTCGCGCGTCTGTAACTCCTCTGTCTTTGAGTTTAAACTATTAGTGTTATACATTTTCTGAAAGCTCTTTTCAACGGCTACACAATGGTAATATTAATATTTAGAAATACGGTAAAGACAAGGGAGTTACAGACGTGCGAAAGTGACGATCGTTTTTCAAATATCATATTTCATTGTCCAGTAGCGTATTTATCTTTTGGGTGTGTTTTGAGTGGTGTCCTGGCTAATTATTGTTTTGTTTCCAATAAATAACATAAACGCATTTGATCTGAAAAAACTTAGCGGTTTAATTTTTAGGATTTTGTAAAAACTATAGCTGCAAAACTCGATTTTGTTGAGTTTTCCATTTGTTTTCATTTTGTTCTGTCGCTATTCAACTGAATAAAGCATATTACCCTAAAGTCTCGAGTATAAGTTCATCCGAGTATAAGTTCTGCCTTAATGAAGAGGCTAGGGAGGGATCCATAAGACTGAGCACCGGAGAGGAGCAGGGCGGACGCGCCGAGCCACGCCCAGAGCAACAAATAACAGCATAAAATTGCTATAACCCTCAATAAATTTACTTCTATTATTGTTCTTAAAAAGCAAAAAAGTTATGCAGCAGCGGGTTCGAACCCTCGACACACCGCACCGGAGACAGCCGTCAATTTGCATGCGAAAACCAAACAGAACTTATACTCGCGACTTTCGGGTATCTATTTATGATTTCAATTATCATGAATCTATTGGGTTGATGCATAATTATCCGGACTTCTTTTTGCGTGCTTGTATCTTTTTTGTTTTGAAAGCTTTTTGTCTATTTCTTTTTTTTAAATATTCGTTATTCTTTAGTGAACAAAATGCGTGTCGACAATCATATCCATCTTCGCCATATCATGCTCTACCACTTCGAAAAGGGATGGTCTGCCGCAGAGTCGTTTCGCGATCTCAAAGAACTGGAGAAGCCCCAACGGACTACCACGTCAATCGATCGCTCAAAAATTGGCAAACAAATAAGATCTACAACGATTTGGATGACTTGATAGACGATGTTAAAGCGTGGATTGCCTCCAAAGATCGTTTATTCTTCGCTCGTGGAATCGATCGTCTTCCAAGCAAATGGCAATCAGTTATTGATGTAGGCGGTGAATATGCTCCAGAATAATCAATTAAACATATTTTTCTAACTATTTATGTTATTTTTTGTTAAATAAAATCATTTATAAAAGAAGTCCGGATAATTAATGCATCAACCCAATATTTATCTTTTGGGGGTATTTTGAGTGGTGTCCTGGGTAATTATTGTCATTTTGTTCTGTCGCTATTCAACTGAATAAAGCATATTATATAAAACAAAATCACCAAAAAAAAAATCGAAGAAAGCTAACTATTTGAGTCATATAAGAGAAGAAAATGGCAAAAGATTGTCAAGAAATTTCAGTAAAAGAGAGAGCCCATCTCTTACTTCAAAGAAGAGAAAAGAAAAAGGAAAAAAGCAGTCAGTTGTACATTGGAAAGACGAAAAAATTATCGGCGATTGGAAAGAAAAGAAAACACGAAAAGAACTCCTCGAAATTTTGGGTCTTTTCACCAAAATTTCGTTCTTTTTCTTTTTCTAACCGGATTCCCACAACTCATTCGATTCAATTTTGTTTGTTCAATGAAGTTTTGAAGTTCACCGTTCAAAAACCCTTTTGTTGCTTCAATTAGGAAGAGTTTATAGGACAATTTTCTTAGCTATAGCTGAAACAAACAAAATTGAATTTCAGCTATATTAGCTATAGCTAATATAGCTGAAAAATCGTGAACAAATTTGAGGCACTAGTGTCAAGAGTGGAAAAAGTTTGAAAACATGAAAATTGGCCTTGATTACTTGTCTTTTATGTCTTCTTTTAGCACAGTGAACATTTTGAATGCTTAAACTTTGAATCTAAAGTAAATTGAATTCAATTTGTAAGTGAATTACTTTATTCTAACTATAAGAAGGTTAAAAATTTGATCATTTACTATAATGAATAACACTATAATGACTTTTAATGAATAACAATTCATTAAAAGTCAAACTTTTTCTAAATTTTATCCAAAGCAAACGAATTCAAAAGTTTATTTGAAAGTTTTATTTGAGTAAAAAGGCCAGATAAAGCTGTTGAGCTGGTTAATCAATGGGGGAAACATTGGGGTTTTGTGAGGGTGAAAAAGAGGGGTCAATAAGCATGGGAAAGGAAAGAGAAAAGGGGAAATGGGAAAGGGGAAAGATGCCAATAAATTCCCTTTTCAATGGCTTGATCTCATGAAAAGAATAAGGAAATGAAGAGATTTAAGACAAAATGGAAATCATCATTAGCATATGGCATAAAATTAAAGAAGAATGAAGTTATAGAACTGGCAAAGCCAAGTCTAAGCTTTAAAATGGGCAAGCTAATTGAGTTTACTGTTATTTTGAGGGCAAATTGCAATGGTGGATAACTAGATTGCTTCAAGACGTCTTAGATTATCTTAGATGTCTTCAAGACAATTCTAGAACTAAGGGAAAGAAATATTAAAACAATATTGTTAATCAATTTAGTAAAGTAAGGATATGACAAGGTTTTTTTACTAAAATTCTAATGGTTTCTGTTTTTCGAGAAAGGTCAGCTAAAAATTTCTTTAAAAATCTATGAACTTAGACACACGAAAAGAATGGATTGTTTACCAAAATGCGAAAAACGAAAAAATGGCAATGGAGTATTTGGGAAGAGATTTTAGAGAAGAGAAAAGGAGCAAAAATTTCAGCGATCGACTGCCTTTTTCACTGGAAATCGATGTCTCGTTGAGTGGAAATTGCATGCAAAAATCACGCATAGTTTATTTAAAAAGTTCGAAAACATTTTGAAAAACTCCTTAAAAGCAAGAAAATTTGTCTTAAAGTCTCAGAAAACTCGACTCAAATTTGAAAAATTCATTGCTTTCATTAAAAGAAATGAATCTATTCGATGAGTTGAAAGAAATTTCATTTATTTCATTCAATTTCATTGAAAGAAATTCTTTTCTTTTCCCAATTTCCTTTTCAATCATCAAAACCGGCTAACTAACGATGTGCTTTTGATTGGAGAGGAAATTTCATGCTTTCAGAAACGGGTTATTGAATATTTTTTTTTGATTTATCATCAAGTGTCAACAAATTATTTTTTGTGGAATCATTTGTTAAAAAGATTTTCTTTGTTGCACTTTGTGCTTTAGATGCTTTAGGTGACTCTATTTGTGACAAATCCAGTGAAATCCAATGTGCCAGAAAGAGGTGTTTCCATTTTTCGACCACAAAGTACATCAATAGATCACAAGATCACAATCCCATTGTGATCCTCAGGGGCCCTGGACGGTCGGATCTGGCAAAATTCAGGCCAGAAACAGCTCTGGCCAGCAGTACTTGAAATTGTTCAATAACACCTCAAAAATGCGGCGATGAAGCACGACAACGAATGCCAACGATGGATGCATTGAGTAGTCCGACAACGGTGGCTACAGGTCGAGCATCTACAAAACAAGCCGCAACAACACCAACGTCTGACAGTATCACGGCTACAATGATGCTCACTTTGGCGCTTGTGTCCTTTAATTGAATTGTTCAATGATTCTTGGTTGATTGAATTGTTCAATTTCTACAAATTTGATTCTCTTAATAAAAGTAGTTTCTGAAAAGCTATCGTGAACTTTTTCCAAATAAAATTTCCCGTTTCTCTTTCAACAAACGAACAATAACTTCAAAATTTTCTCGCATTTCATTTTCTCGCAATATTAGTCTACTTTTAATTATGAATTTTTGAAAATCATGAAAAAAAACTGTCGAAACAAAGTAAAAACATTGAGATAGCCTAAGAAAAAGATGATCAGATAGAAAAGAATTTGTTGGCTATTTTATGAAATAACTTTCAATTCAAAACGATCGGAAAAGTTGAAAAGACGTTTCAAAGAGTGAATGCTCTTAGTCACCAGGAGCATTCGTTGACATTCGTTGTTGTGCTTCGTCCTCGACCTGTAGCCACCGTTGTCGGACTACTCAATGCATCCATCGTTGACATTCGTTGTCGTGCTTCATGGCCGCATTTTTGAGGTGTTATTGAACAATCTAGTCACCAGGAGAAGCTTAAGACCATGATTTTGAGTTGTTCATTTTTCTAATCATATCATCAAGCTTTTCACTTTTCATTTTCTTATGCACTTTTATAGAATATTTTTTTGTTATCATAAAATCTTTCTTTCTAAATAAAATGCCTAGGCCTCTAATAAATCTCAAAACCCAGAATCAGAGCCAGACCAGTCCAAAGCTGACTGTGAAAGGGGGAGCGGTAAAAATTCGACAAAAACCAGGATAGGTAGAACTTTCCATAAAAAACAGACCCCCTTCTGCGGCAATCAATTAAAAATGAGGCAAAAAAAAGCATAAAGCAAAGTGTACATGCCATCGTTTCAGAACAAAAAAAAAATGACTCTCAAAAAAAGTTTTTATTAAAGAGCATACTATTGTATTGACAAATTTCTGCTTTCTGTCTAAATTTGACATTTTAAAAAAATAGGAAACACATTTGAAAAGAGATTTTTTAGTTTCAGCTTTTTTTTTTCTTTAAATTTGAGAGAAATCTGCTGGTTTATTGATCAACTCGGTAAAATTGTTCCTTTTATCGAAAAAAGTAGTGAAAAATGATTTGCAGAGAGAAATCATCGTAGAGAACTTTCAATAAAGTTATGGATTTTCATTTGATTGCACTGTTCTCACAAGTTTACAATGCCGAGCCGAATCGCTGAGTTGCTTCAGCGAAAAGATGAGAAAATCGTTGAAGAGATCAATTTGGGAGGATTCAAGTATTTGGCCGAACAACAGAAATGGGTTAGGTGAGTGGGGGAAATCGGGTTTTTTTGGGTTTCATTGCTTTTACTCTTCCTAGACTGCTTCCCATCCTGTGACCGCTGTTTTTAGAATTCTTTGGCTCTCGGTGATCATCCTCTTTCTCATCTTGACTTTCTATCAAATATGGACACAGGTGAAGGGAAATCTTCTTAAAGCAAGTTACAGAGAACAAAATTAAAAAGCTTTTACAGATTTCTCAAGCCATGAAAGAAACTGAGTTAATTGCAGTTACCGTGAAGCTTTTAATAAGTGTACACCCAACTTTCCTCGCCCCGTTCGCAATCAAATCCTATCCTGAAGTCATATTTTATATATCAAAAGATAGTTCCAAGTCTCAGATATATTTTGGTACATAAAACATGTTTATAGCTTAGAATTTGATCGAGAATGAAGCGACGAAAGTTCAACATGGCTTATTAGAAGTTTTAAGTCACTAGCTCTGTAAGTAGTAAAGTGAAAGTAGCTAAAAGTAAAGAAAATCAAGATGCAGTGCTTTGGAAACTTTGCTAGTTGAGATTCGCTTTAACATTAACTCTTTCTGATTTCATGTTCCCCTAACTTCTCCCCAAAGATAGCCCGCTACATGGAGCATCCGATCTCCACAAATGTGGACGTGCAATACCCCGAGAAGATCACTTTTCCTGGAATCGCTCTATGCAATAACAATCAGTTTCGGTAAAGTTAATGAGGGGAAATAAAATTTAAAACCTATAGTTTAGCCTCAGCTACTTATACGACCCAAAAGTTCGCGAGTGGGCTCTTCCAAATAACACCATTCACAGTAAAGATGCTCCATATTTTGAGCAGGTTTGCAATGAATCAAAAACGCGCTTAATTCAGTTCTCAGGTGATTGATTCAGTTGGAAACTGGTCAGCCATTGAGTTCCTTCAAAATTCGACTCATGAGATTACGACGATGCTTGCTAGGTTAGTGCATTTTTTTAAAAGCCATTTAAAAGCTTTAGTTGTACTCTACCAAATGGGACAAAATGTACTCCAAAAATGTGGCGTCAGTACTGGACAATTGATGGGATTTGTTGGGCGTTGAATCTTGACAATGAGACTCCGATTGAGGTGACGAATTCCGGTAAAGAGCATTTACTTTTCATTTTGAGGAGCTTTTCAGGCTCAAGTCATGGTCTCCGATTAGTGCTAAACACGGAAAGCTATGAACATGCGGAGACTTGTGGTCGAGTCAACAACGATCAAGAAGAAGCTGGCTTTAGGGTTTCCTCAACATTTATGAACCTTGATCGGCTGTCTAGGTGTTACTCTTTGACCGATCCGATCGTCCAATCACTACCTCCGATGGAGTGAGCGTCTCTCCGGGAATGTCTGTCAACATTCCATATAAAATCAAGCACGTTAGTGGCTTGCCGATTTTTCAAACTTCTAACAAGGAAAGATCAACGGGATGCCTGTCAAATGACATGAGCTATCGGCCATTCAACGCAGAATTTCACGCTGATTCCGAATCTTCTTTCCGTTTTTGCAACACAGCACTATGTCAAAGTTATAAGCGCTCAAAGTTTTGGATTGGATTTCATCCATCCCTCGAGTTTACAAGCAGATTTTTCAGAGACTTTGGAAAGTAGTGGTGACCGAGTGGCAGTGGGTTAGAATACAAGGCAAAGTTTCTCTAGTTCGAGTCCGCCTTTCTGCTTTTTTCTTCTCCTTTTTTGGATTTACAAAGTTAATTGTTCTCCGTTTCAAATACAACAATTAACTTTGCAAATCCCAAAAAGTAGAACGACGGACTCGAGCTAGAGAAACTTTGCTTTGTATTCTAGCCCACTGCCACCACTGCTTTCCAAAGTCTCCGAGAAATCTGCTTGTAAACTCGAGGGATGATTTTTGAAATCCTTATAACTTTTGACATAGTGCTCCTTAGCAGAAACGGAATGGAGATACGGAGTTGGCGTTGAATTTTGCGTCGAATGGTCTATGGCTGATGTCATTTGACCAGCACACCCAGTTCTTTTTCCCTTGTAAGATTTTTAGAGAGTAAAGCTGCCCGGGCCTAGTTGTCGTGAGGAGACTGAGCAATCAAGAAATCTTTCGAATTTGATGTCACCAGATAATTTAAGGTCTAACTTTTTAAGTTGATACCATTTAAAAGTCACGCGTTAAAATTTTCAATTTGAATTTCAGAGCCTGTATGGGTCGCTCTATGCACGAGAAGTTTGAGGAACATTGCAATTGCTCGATTCGTCGATTGTACACTGGAGGGCCTAGTACAGTGGTTTAGTAAAGAAATTTGCAATAAAGTTTTAGGACAAGAAAATGAGTGCAACGTTGAGACCTATTTCAATTGTGTCTTACCCTATCAAAGGAGGTGAGTTGAAAGCTGAAGGTTGACGAAAAGAGCCTCTAGACTACAAGCTAATCTGAGTGCCGAGATCGGTCAGAGCTGTTTAGCGCCGTGTGATTCCATGGAATACACTCTCACACAGGTACAGTAAGATCAAATGTTTCTAACGCTTGGTTTTTTTTAGGACATCAGTGGGATCCCAAAGAACCTAATGCCAAAAGTCTCCGGCAACAGTACTTTCTACTATGAGCAGGTAGAATCAGTTGTAGAATAGATCAGGTAGATGCACTTCTTACAACAATTTCAAATTTCTTAGGACACAAGTGAAATCGGTGCTGAGAAGTACTTGATTGGCGTTGATGGGAATGGGAAAAGACTGTATAAAGAGGTCACTCATTCGTGCGGTGACTCAGCCTTTGTCAGCAAGGAATTCGTGAGTTGAAAACTTTCGATCTTTGAAAAAGGATTCAGGCTACAGAAACTCTTCGAAAAGTGCTCTTTGTTATAAATTGGCGATCGAGATTGAACGTGGTGGAGAGGAAAGATTTGTTGAATCTGAAGGATCAATATTTCGAGCAAAAGCTCGAGTTCGTTAATAGAAAAAGAGTTTGAACTTTAAAAATGAAGAGATGAGAAAAAGAAGCTTAATCCCCCTGTTGCCTTGCAGTCTCTCCGATCACGGTTGGCCCGTTCAAGAGTCAGACATAAAGCCGTACTCTATCGGGGAATACATCATCGAGTACGAACAAGACTGCAACGATATCATTAAGATTTGGAAGAATGTGGGTTTAACTTAAAAAGTGAAGCTGATTTTGCGAATTAACAGAACTCCGATCTTTTTCCGAATCTCCAAACAATTGAGCTAATGATAAAGAAGAAATCAGCTGATTTTGTGAATTGGGAATTGCTGAGGAACTTTCATTTGGATCGAGAGTTGCAAAGGGTTTCAACTTTTCAACTTTCTAAATCTTCAAAAGCTCCTGTAGATTTTAAAGGTTATTTTTAGTTTTTGGATGGAGAAATCTCAAAGTATACTTTTGCTGAATACATTAAATATCACTCATATGTATACTTTTTTCATCAGGAATTTCAACGAGTTTGTTAAAGAAAGAAAAAAAGAAAAACAAGAAGAAAATTTCAGTACTGGATTCATCCGATTCAGGATTTTCTTTACGAGGCACGTTTACTACTTCGGAAAGAGAAAAATGAGCTTAAAGAGATTTTAAAGGTTAGTTTAAAGTTAGCTTATGTTTCAGTTGTTTCAGCTCCTGGCCTGGCTACTGATTTTTTTTTTGTGGAAACCTTTAGATTCTATAGCATTTTTAAAGAGAAACTAAGTTTTTAGAAGTTCAAAAGCGTTAGAAAGCTTTCAGCACAGTTTTCACGTGCTGTACTTATGTCATTTTGTCGTTCTCTTCTCGTTTAATCCTAAATCAAAAAAACTTGTATTCAAGTTAATTGCTCAATTTCAACTACAATCAATTTGCCATTAGTTTGAAATAAAACTTGAGCTACTTTACTTGTTTCAGTCAGAGCAGTTCTTAGCCAGGATTTTGCAGGCCTGGCCTGGTTCCCTCTCCTTTACAGCCGGTTTGAGCCTGGTTACCAACGAAACTAACAGCTAGCGCTCTTTCCAAAAGGTCATCTTGTGTTAGTGCCGTTTTTTAGTCAGCTCGGCCGGCAGTCCTGGTTTCAGAGAAACTTTGGCGACAACGAGAACAACACGAGCGATTTCACGTTGGATGATGAGGACATCGAGTTTTGCATTGACAAACGTTTACCCCAATATGTCAGCGAGCAATTTGACGAGTTTCGAGAAATGGCTGAAGATTTTGCGGTTAGTTTATAGGTTTGAAGGAGAGCCTTTCCCTATAGATGATCTTCAATGAGCTTTTCCGTGATCATTTCGGCGATTATTACAAGAACGCGCAGATCAATGCCGAATTTGAGAAGTTGAGATGGGTTTTTATTTGGAATTGTTCAGTTTCAGGCAAAATTTGGCCATCGTGAATATTTATCTTCAATCGAATGCAATCGAGACGTGGACACAGCAGGAGGAGTACCCGTTTTGGACGCTGGCCTGTGAGTTTGAGTCGAAATCATTTCTTTTTGGCTAACAAAGACATATTAAAAGGTTTATGAGAGAGCCTCAAGATTCAAGATGATTTCTAAAGTTTAAAGCTAGGTAATGAATATAATATGTATTTAAGTTTTAAGTTTTTAACAAAGTAAGTGACTCCTCTTGTTTAGGCGACGCTGGTGGTGCCCTCGGGCTGTATTTAGGTGCCTCGGTGGTGACCCTTTTGGAGATCGTCTACGTTCTTTGGACTCGCTACAAAATAGGGGCAAAACAAATGAGAAGGTGATGGGAGAAATGTTAAAAGATAAATTGAAAAACTTTAGAGAAGCTAAAATGCTCGGAAAAGTGATCGATAATTTGGAGATGGCCAAGAGAAGTGTCGTCACTCGGTCACAAATTGAAATCACTCAATGAATGCTTTCTTTTTCGGCTAATAAACTGTCAAAATCTTAGCTTTTAAAAGCTTTAAAAAGCTTTAAAGTTTTCATTATAAAATTACGAAAAAAAGTTTAAAACAATAGATTTTCTTTTATAATCTTTGGGCAGACGATTTGTTGAGTGAATCGATTCATTTATATTCAGTGATTCTTTATTTGTCAATAGAGAATCACTGAACTTGTTCTACACCGGTTCTGATTTGAAAAGTTTTCTAGAATATCTAAAATTTCTAAATAAATGCAGGCAAATTTGAAAGTAGAATAAATCCGTTTACGCGTCTCGTGTGCTCTCGCGAAATTCTCCAAATTATTGTGCCCCTCTGCTTCGCGATGGTTGTGATTGTCGACGATCGCTATTGGCAGCGTTGTGCCCACGATCACGATGATCCTCACTTTCCTCATCTCTTTCATGTAATTCTCTTTCACCAACTCTCCGTACTCATTATTGTGCAGCTTCTTTGCGCGAGTAGTTTTCGAAAACCTCCTCGAAAAGGGAAGTGCTTTCTGGAAAACCCCCGAAAACTTTATGCATTAAAACTTTAAACTTTAAAACTTCTAGCTACAAACACATGCAATTTATTGGGTTGGGGAGAATGAGTCGGCGCCGAAAATGAAAAAAATGTCTAAAACTTCTATTCGACTTCGTCAAATAATATGCGTTTGATATGAGTAGAATGGTTAACGAATTCTCTACAAAATGACATTTAAAAGAAAATTCAAACAGCGCCTCCGCTCAAGAAAAGGCCATTTTTCCACAAAAACTACAAACTGCGATCTAGAAAAAACCATTGGTGGGATCTTCCTGCAAATTTGGCAACTTAAGTAATTGAATGTGCTCTATCTTTTTTATATAAACACCAAAGAAGGTTTATGTGAAAGAAACTGTTCAAATGATGAGTCGGACTCTTTGCCATTTTAACCAGCTGCGTTTGGAAAGTTCATAAACTCCACGAAAGAAAAGCTTTGTGGAATCTCTCAAAAGTGATTTTGTAGAGAAATAGTGGATCCTTTTGATGAAACCAAACGTTTGTTTAAAGAAGGCTTTATGTGTGCAAAAAGTCCCTTTAAAGTTTGGCGCCCACTCATTCTCCCCAACCCAATACAATCGCAGACTTTAAAATTCTCATCTACAACTTCGTAAAGTCTCTTAAAACCGTGGATCCATTTACTCGATTTCTAAACAAATCTTTAAATAAAGCATCGACAAGTCAAATCACTTTGAAAACGATTGATTAGATTGGAAAGATTGTCAAAGTTGTAAACTTTAATCAAATTTATTCCACATAGACTTGCGAATTTACGCTAAAATTTGTGTGATGAACTTTTACATAAAAAGAGAAAAAAAGAAAACCTAATTACTTTTCTATTATTTGAGTTCTGGTTTCTTATACATTTTTCATTTTTCTTTACTTTCACATAGGGTCAATAATTGGATGTACTCAATAAGAGAGAAAAAAATGACCTAGAGATGTAATTTGAAGTTTTACTAAAGATGAATAAGAAAAGTTTAGAGTAAAAGTTTGAATCTTTTGATCAGAAGAATGCAAAATCAAATTTCAATGATTTTTGGGAGTCGTCTTTTGTCTAAAACTGAGAAGTATCCAAATTTCCGTTGACCAAAATTTCAACACCAACTCTAAAGGTCTAGCCAATGATGATCATTTGACCTTTTTTCTTTAATTTTCTTCTAAAAATGAACATTTCTCTCATTGACGACAATATGGACAAAAGCTTATGTCAGAAAAGAAAAAAGCGGAGGATAAATGTGATGGATTAAAGTATCTAATTTCTTGACTTCTTCACCATTTTCCCCATCTCATTTCTCACTGTTTCATCAAAAATTCGAGTTTTTTTTTGTGTAAAAATAGACGAATTCTTTTGTTGATTAATCTCGAGAATTTCAGAAATTTCAGAAATGATTTTGAGTTTAGTACAGTAGCTTTAAAAGCTTTAAACTAATCATATTCTTTGTACTTTAAATGACATTCTTTTCTTACATCTAACCATTCATCTCAAAGCTCTCAAACTTTCTGTCTCTTCGATTCTTTTGTCACACCCTTTTCTTACATTTAACCATTCATCTCAAAGCACTCAAACTTTCTGTCTCTTCGATTCTTTTCCCACAAAATGCGCAACAAATAACATCTTCTACTTAGTTAGTAAATCTTATATTTCTTTTTAAAATGAAATTTTGTGTTATCAAAGTTGATACAACATATCGATTCTGTCACCGTGAACAAATGAAATCTAAACACAAGTCTCACATAGCTGGTTGAAAGTTGGAGTTGATCTATTTTCCTTGATTCTGAACTTATTCTGAACTTAGTTTCTATGGTAGCACAAGCACAAGATCACAAGGTGATCAAGTACTCCTGTATCAAGTACTCCTATATCAAGTACTCCTGTATCAAGTAATCAAAAAGTACTCATCTCGTTTGGAGTTTTGCTAAAACTACTCCTCAAGCGAATGTCTTCAAATCAACAAACGCTTTCTCTAAAAATACCCTCTTCTTCAACTATTCTCACATTCTAATCCCATATTCTAGTCTCTTTTTTTCCAAAAGATCAATGACACGTCTATTTCTAGAGTTCTTCTCAATTTTCCCTCATCGAACACTCACACACTTTGGCACGATTAATAATTATTCGTTTTGCAAATTTGAAAGAGTTTTAAGTGGTTAGGGAAAGGAATTAAGATAAAGATAGACAAAAATCGAAATGGAAAGAGAGATTTTGTTTGCAATTGGGTGAGGTGCAGAAAAAAGGGCAACGGGAGGAGTGGCGGGCGGAAGTTGGACCCAAATCTGAAAAAAAACTAGGAACTCTAAGATTGAGCTAAGTCTACAACAGTGATGCTATATTGTTTTCCTCATCTTATCTTCTTTAATTTCCTTTTGCTATTTCTTTACATCAAAGACACTAATCAAGATCAAGAATCAAATACAGGGCTATTTCAAAAGCCTTTTTTTGGAACCAAGCCAAGATAGGCCATGGCCAGAAGTCAGAAGACTCATAGTCAGAAGCCAGGACCGAAATCTTGACTTTACTAGGACTATATCCGGACTTGGATCTGGTCTTGTCTTGCCCTGACTTATCTTGGCTTATGTTAAGAACTGATAAGATTGTGAGTAAAGCATAATGCCTTACACTGGCGGAAATGGGGTATGTGTCGATGTAGCTCATTCGTAGAGTGTTGTAGCTAAGCGAGAGGTCGCTGGTTTGAATCTAGGCGCCGACCATGTTTTGTGTTCCCAGCTCCAACCCATAAAAGGATCGGCATGTCCAACGTGTGATTGAATGTCAAACTAAGCAAATATTGTTGTTTGCGTTAAACCTTGAATCACATTACAATCTGTTTCAGCAATTTGCCCACTCACAAGTTTTACTCTCCAAATTGCCTGTCAACTTCTATTTCAACTACGATATCTATTCAATATTTATAGAAAATTGAAATCTATCTTTCAAATCCATATTTAGATATGGTTTATTTAGATTCAGGAACTCTTTTTAGCAAATCTTAGTACGAAACATTGTACCCAATCTGTTTTTCTTACGACAGCGCGTTTTTCAGCTGCTTTTCATAAAATTCTATACAAAACTCGGATCTACCAGTCATTTCTGGATACTCTTTCAATCGAATTCTTATGCTTAGCTATAAATAACTCATCGTTACAATCATGAAACATCTGCAAATCATCTTTTCCCTTCACCGTTTTTCAGAAAATTCTGTACAAAACTCGCATCTACCAGTCATTTCTTTTTTATTTTCTCCTTCAATTTATAAAATTTCAGAAACACTATTCGCTTTTTTATTTAGTTTTGAATGTTTCATAGATTGAAATCTTTCAAAATAAATGCTTTCCATATGGGAAAATGAGGGTGTCCAGATGTGGAATGATTTTGGATTGACGTCAATCATTAGATCCTTAACTCAAGTGGTTTACTTTTTTAAAACAACTAAACAACAAATTCAAGCTCATTCACTTGTCCTAGCTACAGTAAATTTAAAGTTTCAAAATTATAGTAATGACAATTGGTCAATAAACCGGACTAGTCTAGGTTCAGGTTTTTTCGACTATCATCAAGAATTTTAACTAGCAATGAAGCCAGCGCAGGCCAGAACAAGGTTTGGCCAAGAAGTCGGCCAAGAAGTCGGCCAAGAAGTCGGCCAAGAAGTCGGCCAAGAAGTCGGCCAAGAAGGTTTGGTCAAGAAGTCGGCCAAGAAGGTTTGGTCAAGAAGTCGGCCAAGAAGGTTTGGTCAAGAAGTCGGCCAAGAAGCCAAGCTTTAAAACCTAGCATCTTCAAACTCCACACATCATTAAGAAAGTTGATTGGATTTTCGTTTTCATTAATAATCTCAGCTAAGCGGTTTCACTAAAATCGAGTCTTCTATAGTCAACTTTTAATGTCGTAACCGAATTCTACCATAAATCATTTACTCCAAAAAAACTCACTCTCAATCTGTTGCCATTTTTTCATCTTTCCATTGCTTTTACCCTCATCAAAATCCCCTCAATTGACTTGATTTCGAAACTCATCTTTGCAATTTGTATCTTTTTTCTCTCATTCGTTCATTTTGTGTTTCTCATTGGTCACAGATGTGTCCTCTACTCGCAAAAAAACTCGCCTCCTACTGAAATAAATTGCTCTCTCACTCGCAAAAAGCGATTTCTTCAGTCTTCAGGGTCTATTTTCATCGAATTCCCCTAAACAACACCCACCGTTTTTTGGTGTTCTGATTTGAATTGCTCAATTTTTTGTTGAAGAAAAAGACAATTTCTCACTCACAACAATAAGCTTTTCAGCGAAATTTTCGCTTCCTGAACGCTGCGCATTGAACACTTATTACGAGATGAATTATCGCTGGAAAAAGGTTATTTTTAGACATAAAAAAATGATCTATCTTGAGTTCAGATAAGAATTTCAGAGTTTCAAATCAAAAAAAAAGTACAAAAGATGGCTTCAGCTTTGTCA